TTTGGCTACTAATAAAGAGTTTTAATCTTATTTTTTTTTAAATAAAAGACAAAATTTAAATCTTCCTACAGTTGGAGACGTCCGTGACTCTATTTTGATTTAATTGCCTTTCACTTTACCCATACTTCATACTTGCAGCTTCTCAGGCACCGATCGAAAGCAAATTTTTTGGTACTGCCGTAGTATGTAAACCAGGGTAAAGTTAGGGCATATATTTATTCCGATTTTTCTAATTTTAATTCTAATACAAGTTTGGGGACTGTTTGTGTTAGTCCCTTTACACAACGTCATGTAAAAATTACTCACCTCCATATTGACAACAACACTTCTGGAGCGCCAATTTTTCTAGGTTGTTAAAGAAAGTGTTTGAAAAGCATGTTATATTGTACAAGTTTCAATTGATCGATTAATTGAGTTTTTTTTCAATTTGATCAGGAGTGACTGACTGGAAAAGTTGGAGTGATGGTGAGTAAATATTTTATCTAGTACCCGACAACCCCATTATAGAGGCTGAAGACATAATCTGAGTGTCAATAGAGAATAGTGCAGTTTGAACTCTCAAACATTATTTACAGTTTACACAATAGTGTGAAAGCCTATATTTGAATCATGCATGTGCGATGTTGAAAGGAAAATACATTTAGAATATAAATACTGTATGATCAAAAATATATCAGAAATATAATAGATATATACGTGAAATGGTGTTGGAGTGTATTTCTGAAAACATAGAATTTGAAAACTACCATGATTTTAGCGTTTGTTAGTATCTGATTTTTCATCCATTAATATTTTCTAACACCTAATCTACCTCTCGAAATAATTTTTTTGAATACTTCAGAAGTGTATGCACCAAGATGGCGGACACCGGAACGTCGAATGTGTACTAGGTTAGGGTTAAGTCTTAATTTTAGGTACAAATACTACGGGAGTCACTTGGCCAGTCTCCGATTTCGTAATAAAACTAAAACAAGGAAAAGTGGAATAAAATTATTGCCTGACCCTAACCTGGTACTCATACGACGTTCGGTAACCGCCATCTTGGTGCACATGCTTCTGGAGCGCCCATTTTTTTATTTTAAATAAAATTCTCTATAACTTCTATTAATCGATTATTTTCTCTTTTAGTCGATTATTAACTTTTGCATTAGAGGTAATTGATCATTGATTCTATGTTTTTGTCACATTTATTCTTATAATTTCTTTGATACTTTGCGTTAAAGAGCAAAACAAATGTGTTAGGTCAGACACTAATTAGTTTTAATTTTTTTATTTAAACAGGCAAAAATTTTGATGATATCTGGAAAATGTTTAAAAGTAAGAAAATGACTGAATAAATAGATTGTGCCTTAACATTTTGAAACTTCTTTGATTTATTTTTGACAGATCTTCGTCAAATTACCGTGAAGAATAAATGTCCAGTCAATTGCTTGAAAACACACAATTAACATCATATATCATTTATAGATAAATTCATTTATTTATTCTAAATAAATACAATAAATTCTAAAATAAATCTTTGTGTGGAATTATTTCGGGAAAAAAAACAATTTTAACACAAATTGGTATTACAATTTTTCAAATTTTTTAAATGCCCTTGTTGCTGGAGTTGTGACCTGAAGCTGAAGATAGGCTGAATAATTGTCAACTAAAAATTGTCACAATGTAAGGCCACGTGAAGTCACTCCGAAAGAAAACAGATTGAATTTTGAGATAAGTTACGAGCGACCAGTGAAGTGTCACCTATAGAAAACGTATTTGAAATAAGTTGCGATTCTCATTGAGTCAGCAACACGCAGTCAAATTGAACTTCCAAGTACGTGTACTTAATAGTCCTAATAAATCACCGCAGCAACACAAATTTTGCCTTAAAACGCAAAAGTGAACTTTGTTACAAAAGTAATCAATTTCCCAGGTATCGGGAGTTGATTTGGTTTCAATTGGCAACGAAGCACTTGAACTGTTAATGACAATGATAGATTATTATTATCGTGAACGGCAGTATAAAATAACACATCAGTGTAAAGTTGACCCTTAACTCTTTGAACTCTGACGGCTCTGAGCGAAGTTACTCGCTCACCCTGAAGGTTCGCGGCGCCGTATTGGTAGAACAATAAAATAAGTCTAAATACTGGCTATTTGGCACGCTTGTAACTTTTTACCAATTATAGGTAGCACGTTATGAGACATTTCAATCGAAAGGAAATTTTATCGTGCATTCAGAATGTATTTTCCATTTTGAAATACATTTTGTCAAAATTAATAAAATTGACCCTAATCTAACAGTCATTTTTCTGCATGTATGTGAGTTTTGGCTTGAAATTTTGTTAGTTTGGTACAAAATATACTGCCAATATTTGATGTTCATAAAGAATTTTTTATAAGCTTTTTGTTGATATTCGAATTACTATTGTGGCTGCCATATAACTAATTTTATATTTAAATATTTAATTGTGTATCATTGTGTCGGGTGAACAACATCGATAAGCGGCCATGACGCACTGATTACGCAGCTACGCAAAAGCCGATCACGTGACTACCGTCATGAAGATGTTGATAAGTACGTTCGAAACGTATTGCGTGGCAAAATGCGCAAGATAACTTTCACGACGACGTCCTCAGCGGGACATCGGTCGCCGAGTTTCGATATGATATTAACCCTGTATGGATTGAAGTACCGACGTCGAGTAATGCGTGCAGTAATAGCGAAGTGAAGTTAATATCGTCATATAAAATTTCACGTGGAAAATGTTTTATTCGCCCATGAGTATTTGTTCAAATATTAACCAAAATAAGTACTTGCCTGCTCTGCAGATCAAAATATCTGATTTTACGAATGTTAGGCGAAGCAAGTGGATGGAATAATATCTGAGAGCACTAATAATGCAGAAAGAGCAACTCTTATTCCAACAAGATCATATGCGTCGCCAGAACTAGATACCCCACCGCAAAACGCCAGTTCTAATAATAGATGCGTCGTATGCAGCAAAATTTACATTATTGCCAAAAAACCAATCCAGCTGCTAAAGACAAAGCGTTGCTGAAACGATGCGAGACAGTATATAAGTACAAATACTGTAATGAGTACCTATGTATAGGTAACGAAACCAACAACCATTGGTATAACTGGCACAACAAAGTGCAATATTGGATTTAGTCTGCCTAATATTTTCATGTTCTTCATTGTTCCGGGCACAACAAAGTGCAATATTCAATTTAAAATTTTTAGCAAGCAGTCTTTTATGTACATACATTTTTCATGGTCTTTATTGTTCCGTTATCCGCTAATAAAATCACAATCTTGTTCATATTGCGTATACGTAACCACAACTTAATGGGGCTTGAGCGGGCAGTCAAAGTCAAAGCGTAGTGCGAATTTTGAATGCGTAGCATCGGGTTAATTAATTACTTCCTGCGGACATTTAAATAATAACATCTCGACGTAACCTTATTGCGGATATCGTCACGTTTAGTTGCATTTGCGTAATATGCGTAAAGTTGTGCGTGACGAGACGTTGCCTCTCTTCATTGAGAACATCAATTTGACGCAGCGTCGCTGTTAAATTTACAGATAATTTAATATATTTGGTCATAAAATTTGAATGGCTCATCGTAAAATCGTTTTGGATACGTATACAAAAAGCTATTCAAATTCTCCACATATATTGCCGATTGAATATGTGGCTATTTAGGCTAGAAGTCGAAATTCTTTATATTAAATATTTGTTATCATACAATAATTTCATAAGCACTTTCAAATTGCCAATTTTACTGAAACATCGTATATTAGAGCACCGATCATCACAATATAATTAGTTCCAATAACAAGCTTTCATGCAATATAAAATTTATTTAAATACTCATTGTGGTTCTTGAGATACGAGATCATAAAGTTGATTCCCTCCGACACGAAAAATAAGCCGGTAAACCGGCTTGCAGGGGCACAGAGCGTACTCAAACAAGCCGGTAAACCGGCTTGCCGGGTTCAAGCGGTTAAGCAAAGGATGGATACACAGGCTTCATTGGTTTGTGCGAACCCGTTTTTGAAATGTCGTGACAATCAACGACCCCGATCGTGTTTGTTAGAGCTATAAATTCGGCATGTTTTTAGAGCCTTCGACACAAAACAGAAATTGCTTAGAAATGTTGAATCCCATCGTTGTTAATCTGTCATGATGGCATTTGATCTTTAAGGATGTTATTGAACATAAACTGTATCTATCGTTTTGTTATTATTATTTTGTTGTTGATTTTATAGTTGGTAATATTTTGCTTCTTGTTGCTGTTGTGAAAAATCGTTTTTTTTTACTGTATCACTAAACCAATTGCTCTGTTTAAAGATTCTATTTTTTGCAAAAAGGCTATTACTTTCATTTATTTCAAAAATTTGTTTGAGTTGTATGTAATTCGTGTTGTTGCGATGACATCATCAAAATTAAAATTTGCGCACCTTGTGGCGGTTCCACGTTCGCATTCGTCAGGCGAAGTCGTGACGACTGCGGTACAGGTAGCCTACTGTGACTGATTGCATACCCGTGCTACTTAGTTTTGGTCTCCGTTTTCATATAGGCCTATTTGGGTATTGTTCTATTGTATCAAATTTATATATACCTATATATATATAATATGCCTATTTATATTAAACATATGCAAACTTTCTGCTATTCGCAATAAATTGAATACTGTATCAAGAATCAAAAATAAAATGTTTGCAGTTGCATTCTATATAATAGTCAACACCGGCATAAACTATACAAGTATTCTGAACGGCACAAATATGTAAGTGGTGGTCAAAAATGAATCGCCCCGTTAAATCACATTGCTCAATGAAAAGCCAATTAGTACAATTAAATTCAATAATTTTGATTCAATGCAAAGTTTAACGGTAATTAAATACGTGAATATGCTGATTCGATTTGCCTTGATAAGAGTCAAGTTATTTTTTATATTACTCAGGACTGGAGACAAATTATGAATATATCATTGCACCAAATCAAACAATATTAATTGCAATACCATGTGCTGAATTTTGTATTATAAATTTAATAAGTCTTCTCTTTATAACGGCACGGTGAGCAATACGTAATTTTGATCACGTCACCAAAAGAATCTTATAGAGCCCACAGCAATTTTTATAAACTGAATGAAAAAAAAATCTAGTAACTCCAACAATCCTTTAACCACGAAAACCTTCAAATAAATTGGTTTAAACGTTGAAGGAAAAGGCGATATTTCACAACAAAAGCATTGGAAAAACAGCGACACATTGCAAATTTGCTACGATATATGATTATGATTCAGCATAGCTGACAATTTTAAATCAGCTTATCTCTTTGTTCCTTATTAGTTATTTGAATAAATTACTATTGCTTCCTTTATATCACTTGTTACTTGAAATTAGAATCCACGATAATTTTAGAGCTTTTGAGTAAGTGTTTGTTATATACGTTATATAGATTAAAGTAATATTACAAAATAAACAAGATTTGAAAATTTGAATGTTCAATATAAATAATAAAATAAAAACTAAATGATAATTCTTGAATTTCATTAGCTTACTGAAAATAAAAACAAAGTTTCAAGCTTTTCAACGTCTCAGTCAGTTCGCATCAGTTATTATAAATTTTGGTAGGTGCTTTCCATTGGTTGTTCGTAAGTTGGTTCAATAGTTATATCAGAATAAGCTGGTTCTGCGTATTGATGTTCACCACTGGTCTCTAAATCCAAATTGCCTTCTAAAATATTAAAAAAAAAATTGAGTCTCATTGGCTTAATTTATTTTTCAATTTATAACTGTTTAAACCTGATAGGAATAAACGTGAAAGTTTCGCAAGCTTTCTTTTTTTTTTGATTTGCTGTCCCAAAGACAGATATATTAGCCCACATGGTCAATGAATCAAAACACGAATATTGTAATAGGGAAGTAAATATTTTCAATATATCGGATATACTGCAAACTGTTTTTATAGATAATTACTTTTAACAAAACTAAAGAATAATCAGTACCGCTGTCCATTTTCCTATACACCAATGATTTAACAAAAATAACTCACCTCTCGGACAGTTTTCGTTGTTTGGAATGTTTTCTGTTCCCACATTTCCTTGTTGCTTTGCACTTAAAATAAAATTAAAAAGTGATAAATAAAATCAATGGCACACATATTGTAAAACAATCACTTTAAACATCTTCATTCATTCATATGAATCAAAAAAAAATTTCTCAAATTTGAATAAAAAATGAAAATTATGTGTCAAAATTTATGTCCTATCAGACTCAAAGTTGATTTGGAAAGAATATATAATTGTATACTGATGCATCTATTATATATTCAAAATTTCGTTCATTAGTTACGTACAAGTTTGTTTGTTTAACTAACAAAAACAACAACAATAACAAGAATATAAATTTAATTAAACGAGACTAGCAATTTCAGCAATTTGTCTCACATTTTCAATTTTTCGCATATCGCCACAGTAAAAGCAAATTAGTTACGTCACATTTTCTAAGGAATTGATTATTTTATTTTCTGTCATCATGGACAAGGGGCCATATTTTGGTTTGGTATCAAAGATGTACCTGTTTCAGTTTTTATTTTGGGTAGTGCGTTATGTCCATGTTTAGGTTTGGCTGTTTGAAAATTACAAACATGCCATTTTTGCAACTTCCTGAAATGTGATATAACCAAATTTCGCTCTACTGCAGCTATGTAAAGATATGAACAAGGAAGACGATTCGAAACCAAATAATTTAAAAAACAAACAAAATCTCACATCATAAGCTGTTTTCGATACCATAGTATTAACCAAATTGCTATAATCAAAATAACAGTAGGAATGATGAGGCCAATCACCATGCTGACGCCACTTAAGGTAAAGTTAGCTTCATTGAGTGACTCATTTTCGGGTAAGTTCTTTGCAGGAAATGACTCATTGTCGTGTGATATAATGGATGGCTTGGAAGCTTTGTAACTGATATGGCGAGTGGTTCTAACTGTAAAAATAATATATCGTTATTTTGAGAATTATACACGCATATGTATATAGTTAGTTTTATTCAATTCTTACGAAAATTATATTTGAAAGTTTGAATTCGATTACACTAACAAAGCATTGTTTTTTTTAAATGTACAATAAACTTTTCACACCTCATAAAGTCCGACTTCTAATTTTAACATATACCTACTCGGAATATCTCTTTTAATTCAAGATTTGAACAAAAAAATTGAATTGGGATCTGGCTTGACAAGTTTGTGAATAAATAGAACTTAACGTTTGTAACCATTTTTAGTTTAAGTTGAATAAATAGACCCCTGTCTCCGGATTTGAAGAGTCTAAATTTCCGACTGCAACTCCAGAGTGGTCAAATATGAGACTCGACACCAGTGAACTTATAATAATTCCCGCTAAGACTAAATTATATATATAAAAAAAATAAAATTCATCCCATAGTCCTAAAGTAATGCGATTCTCACCTGGTGTTGTTGTTAATTCTTGTTGGTAGATATATGCCATATCGATGGAAAACTCAAAGTCCATATAATAAGACGGTGTGAAACTAATATTCACAGGAAATATATCATCTTGTACTATCCAAAAAGCTCCCACACAACCTTCCGAACTTATGATTGAAAAATCAGGTTTGTATATATTACGAGGTTTAAACAAAAAGCACATGTTCTCGTCTCTTTTCAGAATTGCTCCCTTCCATTCATTTGCTGTTAACCGAATATATAAAAAAAAACATCATTGAGGGCAACACGATTTCTGTTTTATATATTTACGCAATAAATTTTGGAACAATTGTCTTGAAATTGGCAATGGATGAAGGCAGTTATAGTTGCTAGTTGTCTATTACTCTGATTTATTCAAAAAATTCTTGTGATTTTTATGGATTCGTTTTTTACTTTAAAGTTTTGTGTGATGAATCCAAAGTCGCGCACTTTGTGGCAATTACGCAATCGCATTTTAGCAATTTGGTATTTAGCGAAGTTGGAAGCGTTTTATAATAAATAAAATTGGAACTGTAAAAGATTTGATAATTAATTATTCGTTTTGATTGTGGTATCCTACTTTGTCTTAAATAATGCATAGTTAATGGAATACGGATATTCAAGCTTTTGCTTCAGAAAAGAAATACCTGACTAACTATTCCTATTCCCGACATGAACTGGTAACCGGACGAAAGGCCGTGTTTCGCCACATGATTAAGCCGTCTTATCGGCGTTCCTCTCCCTCGGGATGAATATGTGAATCCTATGATATTTTTGAAAGTAATATATCGACTTACTTGACACTTGCAAAGAATGTTGACGCCTAATTCTAAAGAAAGCCCACTCCTCATAGTCTATACTTGTCACTTTTAGCACCAATACTTCGTTACTGTGAGCACATCCGTTTTTTGTTAAAGTCCATTCGTTTTCTGTTATAGACCCTTTATCAATTCGTGAATCATTGTTCTTGAAGGAAGTTCTAGCTTGGGAACAAACGTTAACTATTTCGCAACTTCCGATATAGAAGAAAAGAATGCTCACTGTTCAAAGAAATAATAGCAATAATAATGAGATTGTCATTTTACGCTACCGCTCAAGCGTTGAGTCCCTCCCTCAATTTTTCTTTTCCGAATTATCTTACTAATTTGTAGCACCACGTCTCGTAGGTAAATTGATTGAGCTGGACAACTTGCAATGTCAAGTCAGGCCGACAAACACTCCTAACAATAAGTACCAAGGCGTACCAATGCCCTGATTTAAAAAAAGGAATTTGCCCGATGTCTAAAATCATCTATACGTAAACTTACAAGCGAGTACTATAAACCCATGAGCAACTTCACTCGTATGGTTTACTCGCGATATCGAATGCCGATAATCGTGAGTGGTGAGAAGTACCTTAAGTCAAAACGACAAGCAAAAATAAATCGCGTGAAACCAAATGATTGAATTTTTTCCGGAATCAATTTTGGAGTAAATATTTCTTTCCCTGATCTTTCGACTTAATTGTAACCAATTGTATCGACTTAATTGTATCGACTTAATTGTATCGACTTAATTGTATCGACTTAATTGTAACCAATTGTATCGACTTAATTGTATCGACTTAATTGTAACCAATTGTATCGAGTAATTAATTACCTGGTCAGGATTAAAATCTGAGATCTCCCAATCGCGATTCTAAATGACAAGACCCACGCCCAAACAGATGGATGTTCATTATCAGTATAAATCGAAATCAAATGGCGGAAACCTTATAATTGAAATGATGATGTTAAATAAAATAAGTTTATATCGTGAGTCAGATATAATTAATGCATAAGATAAAAAAACAAGCAGTAGTCAAAATTATTTTTCAACATTCTCGATTATTTTTACCAAAATAAAGAAAATTTATATGACACTTGAATTTCAGTTTGAATATGATTGTACACAAATTTTTTTACTAGACTATAACACTTTACACAAAGGTTATTCTCTTTCTAGAATATGTTCCTAATAAACTTGATTTTTTTTTGAGGGAGGGGGGGACTTTGTATTACAAAAAACAAACCGCTTCAGATTTTTAAAATATGTTCACGAAGTGTGAATGCGCTCATACTGAGTAAATTCGCAATAAAATGAAAAATCAAAATGAATTGGGCATTTGACACACATATAAATTCATTTGATGAAAACAGTAAGGTTACCTGCTATCAGAAGCAAAAATAGTCTCTGCGTAATTGAATATTTCATGGTGAAGCTCTTCACATTTGATTTGCAGAGAAATAGTGTAATATATATCCTTTCAAAAGCACGCTACAAATAAGTGTATGGAAACTATATTTAAAAGAGATCAAGTCTTAAATACGTGGCACAAAAGTTCCGAATTTTTATTAATACAGAAAGCACCGAGTTTGCTGGAAATATACGTAAAAAAAAAAGCAATAGTTAGACTACGGAAGAATGCGGAATATTAGTGTTTCATTCAATTAAAAAAACAGTAAACGTAGGGTTCTATAGGTACATTTTATAAAGTACAAGTATACGACAGCTATCCGTCTATACCAAACCCAGACTGGTAAATATCGCCATGTCAATAAATTCTTAGTTATAGTCTAAAATAATGTGATCCAATTGCCAATCATATTCTACGTAACACCACGTTTACTAAATCCATTACTCCGTATGTCTCTCTGAGTTTTTAAATATACCTATAGCAATTTAATTGTTTTGCTGTAACTCCCATTAAAAATGATACATGGGCATTGAGTACCCCTGAAAATAGCAAGTTGCGTCTACAAGTAATTGTTTATCGGTCAGTTTGTGAATTTCGATCTGTGATGACGCATTCTATTGTATTATTAGACGTACGTGATAAAACTCATTCTGGCTACGTACGGTATGCAATATGGATTATATTTTACAACAAAGTACCGTTACTGTGTTGGAATTTTTTATAAATCAACCTATTACAATAAAAGTACGAAATGCCTCATAAATTACGAGCTATATTCCGTCATGATAGGCCCTCTTTGTCAACTTGTGTGTGTTGTATATATATATGTGTGTGTGTGTGTGTGTGCAGCTGTATCGTATAAACGACTGGACCGATCTGAATGAAATTAAACACTTGGGTAACTTGTGACTCTAGTAATAAGCGTTTCACCGCCGAAGATCCAGATTGATGTTTTGTTTACATGGGAGTAGCGGCAAAACAAAAAGAAGTTGCAAGTTTCAGAAACCCGGTCACCCGGTCAGCGATCTTCGCGGCTATGGATTTTATCATTGATTCGTTGTTCGTGAATATGTTGGGAGGCTAATTATTCGTAGTGCATGTTCGTAAATCGTAATACCTTTCAACAAATATAAGATCTTTAAAATTAAAATTTTAACTATTCAGATATTTGAAAAATAAACTTCAAAATATACGCAGTGAACGGGTAACGTGGACCTCAGCTGATGCCTAGCATTCATTCGTCATTTCGGAAGTTATGAATTAGACTTATGGAAAGCGCAGACGCGTAGATGTAGCTCAGGTGATATTATAAACGTGACTCATAGTGATATTAATATAATATATTCTCTGAAAAGTAAGGGATCTTTTGTTAGTAAGTAGATGCAAAAGAGAATATGGTCTTCAAATTTGGAATCGCACCGCTGTATATATGCATATGTATTCCTAATTTACGTCCTATTATTGCCGTAGTGCATATTCTATGAATAAAATCATTAGGCTACATCAAGTAGGCCTTTGAAACACCCACGAAACAGGTACAAGGTACAAGTATTTCCTTTTCAAATTGAGTGCTGCGCTACAGAATCGTTTTTGTTAGCGCTTCATTGGCAAATAAAAATGTAGTGCTAAAACGTTAACGGGCAATTCGGATCCGAAATATTATAATACAGTAGAATATACGATTTTTTTTAACAGGGTTCCGTAATAGTCTACCCACGCTATCATATGATGCTGCTATTGAATGGCTTTTAACGTTTGATCGATGACTGGTTATCAATGAAACTCTGTATGGCGTAATAAGTCTTAGCGAGTATATATGAAACGGTCGTAGGTGGAAGGTCGTTATAATGTCGCAGTCTGAATTGAAGGCAATTTGACAAGCCTAGCATATATGTGAAGTGAAGCGTCGAGTCTGAATGGGAAGCATACAGATAACTAGTACAGGGGAATCGGCGATTATCATTGCATTTAGAGGCTGAAATGATTTTATATAATATATATGAACGTAAGAGGGAGATTTAATTCATTTTCGTGATGCACAGTGCGGTAATGTACATTATGAAATACAGCTTAATCCTTTATTTTTAGTTAAAATTGAGTATAATTTTGATGAGCATAACTACAAATCCATTAAATTAATAAGTTTCTAGTAATATGGAATTCTGTGAGTGTACGATTGCGTTACTTGGCCTGGCTCTCTTATTGTGTTGGTATCTGTTGAAAAGACCGAAGAATTTTCCGCCAGGTCCTCATGGGTTACCATTGGTTGGTTACACTCCATTTATGGGCGACAACCCTGCTGAATTATTTCGAAAAATGAAAAGTAAATATGGATCCGTCATGTCAGTACAAATGGGTCGCGACGACTGGGTAGTTTTGAACGACTATGACACTATCATGGAGGTAAGAACAGAAAGATTATTTTTTATCCACATTAAAGTATATATGCATTTTCAGAAGTCTCGTCATGCACCCTCAAGAAGCTGCTACAACGTTTAAAGCTGTTCAAATGAATAAATTGCATGTTATTCATTAGTGAGGTCTCAATACGAGCAGTATATCATCACGCTAATAACCGAATTGAGTGGGTCATTTTTAGCAGTTTTGAGAAAAACGTAAAAAACTTCCTTATGATATTGTTATGCCATCGAGAGTCAATAATTTGCCATGGTTCAATTTTTTGATCGTAGCCGGATTTAAGTTAACTTGTATGACGCAGTTAAGTGACGTCATAATGGCGCACTGTGACTTAGGCAGAAATGTGTCTATGACTTGGGGACATACGTAATTTTGCAACATTACTATATGCACCAGTCCTGAAAATTAAACATTCCAAAAACGAATGTAATTCTCAGTATCTGGTATCTACAATGTCTAATTCCCAAAAGAGCTAATCAGTTTCAATTACATTATTTTTTAAGTTTTAAAATATATATTATTTTGCCTTTGTGAAGTCACAATAGTCCTGCGGTATCAATGATAATTCATTATGACGAAACAATTGCACAAATGTGCATGTCATACTAAATCTCCATTTTTATGGGTTTCGGAATTCTTAAAATAAAATCTGAGTTAACAGACAGGTGCGCAGCATCACATAAATACCTATTTTATAAAACAAAAAAAAAAACAAAAAAAAAATATGACTTACGCAATTCGGTTAATAGGATGACGATATGCCAAACAGTTATTTCTCTATCTTCAACATGTTACGCTTCAATCCACCTAAATTAATGTCATTTTCTCCTTACTTTGAAGCCGTTAAATTCGAATTGGCGAGAATACTGCATGGCATTGGAGCGATGCATTTGACTTTTCTTCATAAATTTACAAAGTTAACAATAAGAGCAATTGAGAATTGTAGATTTATATATCACAGTGATCGCTTGTATAAAGCCCTGTTTAATTAATATGAACACTGGAAACAGATGCGCAGGACATCGATATATATTACAAAAATCAGCCCGCATAAAATGTCAAGCGCGTTTGCATACAGACACAACAGTACGCCAAGCCAATACTCGTTTTGACAAACACAGTTACATTTTCCACTTATTTATTCCTAAATTTTGTTTGACACGCTCGCTTAATTATCTCACGATTTCACTAAGATATTGTAATTTTTACATGTTTTTTATATTCATTTTTATGCATCTATACTTCGCAGGCTCTCGTGAAACAAAGCGAAAAGTTTTCTGGCCGTCCTAAGCTTTTCATGCTAGAATTAGTAACAGGGGGCCGTGGATTGGCCATGGTTGATTATGGTCCTACATGGAAAACTCTTCGAAAGTTTGGTCTGATGACTTTGAGAGGGTAAGTGTATGGTCTAGTTCAGGGTGGTCCAAACCCAGGCCCGCGGGCCACATATAGCCCGCCGCTATATTATCTGTGGCCCGCGTCACATTCGGAGAATTATCAAAAAATCGCATTTCGTGTTGTTTCGTAATAAAATTAATCAGAAAAATCTTTTGACATATTGTTACATCAATAATGTCACTGAATTGACTAGTGTTATGGCTAGCTGAGGCAACTAGCGAAGTCGAATGATGTGCTTGGCAATCTAAAGTATTATCTGGCTTTCTATTTTTCTGGTCGGGAATATGTGCTAACAATATAGGCATCATAGAAAACTAAAAATCGAATGCGGAATATATTATTCTGGGATGGCTATGTCTGATAACTATGTGTTTGCACAATGAAAGTGTTTGTTTTGTATTGCACCGGTTTACCTATTCCTGGCACTATTGTAGCCCGCGAACAATGCAAAAATAATTTTGTAGCCCGCGTAGCCGACAACCTTGGACCACCCTGGTTTAGTTTAATAATATAAATGTAACATGTTGTTCTGCAGAATTACACATGCTAATAATAAATGTGTTGGGTACCTTATTTATTTATTTTTCAAACGAGTTATTTATATGTCTTTCGCTCCAAAATAGGCTGTACATAAGCAACCGGTGCTATGATATGGTTGGGAATGAAAAGAATCGGATTTTCTGTACAAAGCCCCGGTCACTGATACAAAAATGTGAGATTTGAGAAATACATCCCCGCCACGTTTTAAAATCCATTTAGGGTTGGGGATTCGGGTTGGAAATGATTTGAAAATTTGATAAATTTGCATGGCTCAGTTCTATGTAAGAAACATTTTTGATTTAAGAAGTAAACTCTAACGCTAAAGTCATGATATGATGGTTTCTCCCTTCGCAGGTTTGGCGTTGGCAAAAAGGGGATGGAGGAAAATGTTATTGAAGAAACTCGATCTCTAACCGAAGATTTGACAACACAGAGCAAGCGTAGTTTGAGTGTATGAATTTTACTTTTTGATACACATGAAATGAAGATTAATTTATCATAACAATGAAATTGCCAAATATTGTATCGAAAAACAATTATAAGCTCAAAGTATTTTTATATTACAGCCTTTTTCAGCCATGGATAAATCTAATTGTTTTATAGGGAAAAACATTTTAGGAACGTTTAGTAATGCTATTACTCTTTCCTTAATTAGAATTTTTTTCTAAATGTACATACATTTTATACTATATATACACAGTAAAAAAGTCTGATCCCGGGATGTGTGTAACATTAGATAATGATCTAATAAAATGCAACAACAAACGTCAAAAGTTTAATAAATAATGAGGGAAACCAATAAAAAGTTAAATAGGCAATAAAAGAAATATATCAAAAAGAATGAGAAAAAATGCTACAGAATATGCACTCTTATTGGTATTTTTATTGATATCTTTAGGTAAAGCCTATCAAAAACAGCGTACAATTTTGAATCCACGATTTTCTTGAAGTCTTGGCGTCTATAATACCCACTACTACTACAATTGTAGCATCTTCCACTATATTTAATTATGTTAATTCACCTTCTAGAATTCTTTCTCATTTTTTTTTCAGATGAAATTCACTCAAGCAGTGTCGAACATTATTTGCCGAGTTGCGTTTGGCTCGAGATTTGAATATGACGACATAGAATTTCTACAGCTACTTGGAATATTACGAAAATAGTAAGTTTCATTTTGATACGAAATGTAAAGATGAATAATTTTACAAAATCGCTGTCGCCCCTCTCTGCATCTGGAGAACAACGTGGCCAGAAAAATATTATTTGTTTCCGAAATTTACTCCAAGTGCTATACAGGAGTAATGAATAGTATTTATATTTCATCTAAAACATATGTGTGTCCTTTAGTCCATGAATGTAGAAAAATAGCTTTGTGGCTTAGTTTCAGAAACACCGAAATAAACGCATAATAAAAAGATTAATAAAATATATCAACAATATTAGAGTTAAAAAATACTCCAACTTCCCCATTAACGTTGTTACCAATTTTCGTCAATAAAACTTATTTTAAACAGTGGCATTTCTATATCTAATTCTAGCCTTGGAGATACGACAGCAGCTAAGATGGATGCATTAATGACTATGGCTCCTATTCTGAGATTTTTACCCCCATTTAGCAGCCACTTCAAGGAGGGATTGAAGGATGTAGAGTTTTTCATGGGTAAGTTTTGGGAAGCTTTTTCACATTGCTCATTAATACGGAGCTTTCCCCACGCAACCTCATGCCCCACCTCATCCAGGGTGTAATAAAGTGTGTAGAAATGTCGAAGCAAACCGGGCAGATTTTGGTCCTTCTTCAAAAATAGTAGTCTCTACATATAGATGATATCAATGACTGTTTGCACAAGGCCTTGTATGGGCCGAAAAGCCGTATGTAAAAATTGACTTTGAACGTGCGAAGCTCTCACTCTTTGTAAAGAGCACTATATTTGAGGAGATCAAAATATTGCCGGTTCAAAATTACCTACTTAATTTATTACATCACTATTGGATCACACTCTATTGGGTTTCAACCGTAAAGCAACATTTATTTGAAACGCAGAGTGATTTTCAATATATCTAAAATAGAGGCATTTCCTTGGTGCTCTGAAAGTACTGTTATGTTAGAATCCAATCAAGACATCGCAATCTGTATGAAATTATCCCATGGCTAAAATTTGATAAAAACATTTCATCTTATTCCATTTTTTAATTGAATTAAATTTTATACTCAGGTATAATAGGCAGAATCATTGAAGAGCATAAAGAACAGTTTGACGAAAATGATATCAGAGACTTCATTGATGCTTTCCTCAAAGAAATGAAGACAAGAGATAAAAATGACGCCAGTTTCAACGTAAGTTGAATTGTAATTGCACTTTTATAAAATACAAATCTGGTTAATGCAAGAGTACTCATATACTTAAGAAAAAATTGTCGTGATAGAAAACTAGCGCAACTCTATAAGATATTTGGGCGCACCAAGATGGCGGTGTTTCAGGTTGTGCGCCATCTTGGTGCACATACTTCGGAGCACCTATATTTGAATTACCAGCCTAAACATTTCTATGATACAATCTGCTTTCAAGCTTTCAAGGTCCAATGTTTCTATGCCCAATCTAGTTAAGTTGGTACATAAAGAGGTTAATACCGAAATTTCAAAGAGAGATGCCTTGATTTTTGTTTTTATGAGAGCTCGCTCGAGCACTGTCACATGTATATGAGACCGTAAAAAATACTAAGCAAACTTAAGAGTTTAATTTCCAATTGACGAACCCATTGCACACACAAAAATTGCGGTATTTGTTAAACTAAACCTTCAGTTATCACATGACAGTAAATGAAAAAACCAGCGTGAAATTCCGAATGACTCTACATTCAACTTGACGTGAGGGGAAATTCAAATCGTTTCCCAATCTATAACAAAAGGCCGATTGCTCACGTGTCATCGGCATTGACAAAACTTTACCGAAGCTGCCGATACCGGTCGTAATGTCAGTAAAGTAAATCCAATAATTGTTGTTGCTTAAAATTCTTTTCAAAATTGCCAGTGAATTGAATAGAAATCGGTGGTATGAAACATAGCGTTCTGCTTCGGATAAATTCAAAATATAACAATAAAATTTTTATCATGAGTTTTTATCCAATATAGCTCATGCAATCATACAAGTCACTGGATAGCGCCGAGTATTATAAAGAATAATTACATGCAATCATATGATATATAACTCAGAGTGTCAATAATGTCTTCGTAGATGCAAATAAAATTCCTAAAACTCAATTATTTTGTAATTCATTTTATTAGACATTCGACATGGATATATTTTTTTTTTATAAATTATAAAGAGTCTTATTGGAAACATTGTACTTATATATTGGGTTTATTTGAAGCCTATTCATATAATTTGCTAGTTGAATGAAAAATTCCGAATAGTTAAAGCTACAATTGAAGCAGTTAACACAATTCAACTGTATTCGTCACATGACAGTGAATAGTAAGCTATGCAGAATTGGGAGAAAATATATCACGATAAATCGGTATCGTGAAAAGACGCCTCTTTATTTTAGATCATTGGGAGGTCATGTCAATGCTTGGAACACTTGCTTGAACAACAACACGATAATAATACGATATAAGACTAATTTTTTCCAAACTATGGCATGCCATAGAATATGTCATTGATCGATTGACGCAGGTTCGAGACTCCATTTATCAAAAACCGGAAATGGCATGACTGGGCATTGTCATCCACTATCCGCCATTGAGACTAAACTCAGTAGATGATTCGACTCAAACTTGACTCAAGATTCGGCGACTTGTGACTCGAGGTTCATGAACTTTGCAACATTGCAGCATTTGGGGTCATACAGGGTGACCTCACAAAACGGAATTCATAAAATATGTCCAAATGGACTTGGTTCCGTTTTGTGGTCACCGTGTGAATGTGAATCACGTACTACACCAACACCAGAACTATTATGTTCTATTAGGTTCAGAACTACTATGTTTTCTATCATAAATTTTCTCATACTTTCAGAAACTTCAACTGATTCAATACATCAGAGATTTATTCGAAGCTGGAACGGGAACAACTAGCACTACATTATGTTGGGCAATTCTGTGCCTTGCGCATTACCCAAAATGTCAAGAAAAAATTGCCGACGAAGTTGAAAAAACTTTAGGTAATTCGTTTTTTATCATTTTTATTCATCGCATAAATTGGACTATTTGGCTTGAAAATAGAGCCCAAAGGAAATTAGGAAATAAGAATAAACGCTTGACCATTATACTTTCCTCTTCCTCATTTAAGTTCTAAAAATTTGTAAGCATTCACTTTATACTTGTTGCAGCTCGACAAATTAGGATTCTTTTATGTATATATTTGTGATTATGCAACTGTATATAATTACTGAGCTTAATTAATGTGCGTGTAAAAGAGACGGATACGCATTATAAACCTGTTGGCACCAAACACACCAAGACGCTCATTAAAGTTGCATTTTTTCGCAGGTTAGGACGGAGTACCTACTATGAAGCATCGAGATGAAATGCCTTACACATGTGCTTTCATACAAGAACTAATGAGACACAGAACTTTGGTGCCATTTAGTGTATTCCATAAAACGAACGAAGAAGCGACTCTCAATGGATATACTATCCCAAAAAATACCACGGTATGTTTTGTTATACATTTCAGGGCACTCCAGAAATGTGTGTACCAATATGGCGTAACTAATGTTGTTCGCCTACTTTACATTAAGTATTTAAAGGGACTATAACCCATGGGGGTATATTCATTTGATTAAAACAGTCTCCGAACTCGTAATAAGACTAAAATGTGGTAAATCGGAATAAAATTATGGCCTAACCTGGTACATACCCTACGGGTATACCATTTTAGTACTACAGTGAGTTGCGAGTAATTCGAATAATTTACTTGAGTATTATAAATTCCTTTTAATATTTTTCACCTCGTTTTGCACACACTATTATGAGACCGACTTTGCTTCAAATCAAACTTACTTCAACAAAACGCTTAACAATATTTTCTGTTTTAGATCAGTCCAAACCTTTGGGCGGTTCATTTTGATTCCAAATATTTTGACAACCCAGAAGAATTTTGTCCAGTGAGATTTATCGACGACGACGGAAAATTTATCAAATCCAATCACGTGATCCCATTCTCCGTTGGTCCCCGTCACTGTGTTGGAGAACAACTTGCAAGAATGGAAATTTTCATATTCTTGGTCGGCATAATTCAGCAGTTGCGGATTGTACCGGACCCGAAGAAGCCACTCCCAGCCTTTGATGTCGGTGCTTTCAACAGCCTTACGTATGAGCCTTTCGATTTTGAAGTGATTTTTCAAAAACGTTGAAGAAGAAGAAATGACTGTTTGAAATGATAATCAATTTTATCCATATAGGATTTGAAATATTTTCTTTGACCACATTATAATTTCATTTCACTTAATTTTAATGCTTGAATTCAATGATATAAATCCATTTATTTAATTCTCCGCAACCTTCAAAACCCACTTCAAGATATCTATAACTTTGATAATGTAGCAATAAATATGATTATCTTTCGTGTTGTCTACTTTTATTTTTATGGTAATGTACTCACAGGGGCGGACACCCGGGGGGTCGCTCCCCCAATAATTTCGCAAAAAGTTTAATACATGTTGTTTCCGCCTTACAAAATTATCATTTCCGAAAAGTGCGAAAGTCGAGCGCAATTAAACGGTTAATAGTTACCAATATTATAACTGTCTTCCTACAATAATGTGGACCAGAGCGCATTCGGAGCACCTCACATTTTCGTGAAACATGCGCGCCCACACGGGTAATACTCCGTCTTCAAACGCACCGCCCATCACGCGCCACGGTTTTCCACGACTAATTCATTTTTGTACAATTTAATATGGTTTTCTCATTGTCAAAATCTCTCAATAGTGTTATTGTTGGCACTTGCGAGAGAAGTGAAAGAGGCAAACTGTATTTCATTACAACAATTAGTTATCATCGCTAAAAATTAACTAGATCTAAAGTTGTTATAAACAATTTTCACCGCCGGACGTATCTTTCCACGTTATGAATTTCGTGCAAGGCCCAGCATAATTCGCGGGCAAAGATCAAAGCATTTGGTATGTCGAAACGCCTATTCGACTTTTCAGACCACAGAAACTATCTAAAAAAGATACCCCCCACCTCTCCTGAATGTTTTTTAAAATTGAAAAAGTCGCCAATAACGCGTGCAATTGCCTTTTGCTAAAATCGCCGATTGTTTTCATCATTGTGACCTACTATTTAGGTCGTAAACGCCTTTACGTTGGCGTTTATCCTCTCTAAATCACCAATTTTCTACAAATTTGTGACACGATGACTATGATAATTATTTTATTTTCGTACGAGCACGGACTTAGGAACCCGGCGAGAATTCTAATAAGTATCAACAAGTTGAAAAGCGGCAATATAAAATACTAAAAATAAAATTGTAATCAATAGGTTTTGTTGAAGCCCGCGACAGTCTAAAAACGCATTTCTAAGCATCGAAAATCGCAAAATTTCGTGTGCCTACGGCACAAATTATGTTTGCTTGACCTTTAAAAACATTTCATCACTAAAATCGAAACACGGTCAATTGTGAGCGGGATTTGCCTATTTATCCATTACTTTTAAATTGACGTCGAAAATTTTCGTGTTAACATTAAACAAAGCTGAGAACGCGCCTTTTTTGCCGGTTTGTGATGATTTATATGATAATTGAAGTATATTCGATCAATTTTTGTATTTATTGTATTTATTTTTATTTCGACGTAAGAAGTCGCAACCGCGAGTTACGTTGCACACAATTAAATTAATATATAAGAAAATTTTAGAATCTTGTGGCTGCCATGGATTGAATATTTTACGCGACAGAAAATTATACGCTTAAATAGGCGGCTCTTCGGGCGCGTAATCGCAGTGCTTGTTGCATACGGCAATGTGAAGTTCCGACTTTAACCCCCCCCCCCCCTCAAAATATCAATTTTGGAGTACACAATATTGATTTCTAGGCAATTACCTATGACATATTTGTGTAATTGCCATTAAGTTTTGAATAATAAAGATGACATTCATTGTCGTCTTGAGTGTGTTTGCATATTCACCATTAGGAGTTTACAGGGTTTCGTAATAGTATACCCGCGATATCACATGATGCTGATATTCAATGACTGTTAATATTTGATCGAGGACTGGTTATCATTATCAATGCAACTCTGTATGGCGTAATAGGTCTTAGGGAGTATATATGAAACGGTCGTAGGTGGAAGGTCGTTATAATGTCGCAGTCTGTATTGGAAGCAATTTGACAAGCCTAGCATATATGTGAAGTGGAGAGTCGAGTGCAGTGGGGAATCTGTTGTTAGTGTATTCAAAGTCCCAAATGGTTATATATATAAAATTTCGAGCGAGATTCAATTTATTTCAGTGATGCATAATGCGGTTATTTACATTATGAAATACAGCTTAATTCCTTATTTTTAGTTAAAATTGGGTATAATTTTCATGAGCATAATTAAAAATCCATTACATTTTTAAGTTTCTAGAAATATGGAATTCTGTGAGGGTACGATTGCGGTACTTGGCCTGACCCTTTTATTATGTTGGTATCTGTTGAAAAGACCGAAGAATTTTCCACCAGGTCCTCATGGGTTACCATTGGTTGGTTACACTCCATTTATGGGCGACAACGCTGCTGAATTATTTCGAAAAATGAAAAGTAAATACGGATCCGTCATGTCAGTGCAAATAGGACGCGACGACTGGATAGTTTTGAACGACTATGACACTATCATGCAGGTAAGAACAAACGGGCTCTGTTTTATATAGGTTTACTTAAGGTTGGATACTATTGAACATCAAATCATACTTTAGGCATTTTTAGAGTTTCGCCCTGCACTTCGTAGAAGCTGCTAATACCTTTAAATATGTTAAAACAAATGATTCTTATGTTATCCATCAGTGAGGTCCCAATATGAGTAGTATGTACCAAAAAGGTTATTGCTCTGGCTTTAACATATTACGTTACATATAAATTGTTATCATTTTCTGCGTATCGTTGAATTTGAATTGTCGACAATATTGCATGGCATTGGAACGATGCATTTGACGCTTCTTCATAAATTTATGAGGTTTACAATGAAAGCAATTGGTACTTGTAACTCCTTAACATCGCAGTGACCGCTTTTGTAAAACCTTGTACAATTTGAACGCGGGGCACACGGGACATAGATATGATATAAACATCAATTCATATACGATATCATGTGCTATTGCATAGACACAACAGATTACCAAGTTAATGAATGTTTGTCTAAACAAGTACCATTACCTTTTTTACTTATTCATTCTTACAATTTAGTTATTCACGATCGCTCAATTTTCTCACGATTTGACTCAGATATTGTAAGTTTCTACATGTTATTTATATTCATTTTCATTGCTTTATAATTCGCAGGCTCTTGTGAAACAAAGTGAAAAGTTTTCTGGCCGTCCCAAGCTTTTCATGCTAGAATTATTAACAGGCGGCCGCGGATTGGCAATGGTTGATTATGGTCCTACATGGAAAACTCTTCGAAAATTTGGTCTGATGACTCTAAGAGGGTATGTGTGGCTTAGTTTAAATGTCTAAGTGTAACATGTTGTTTTGCAGATTTACAGATGCGAACACTAAATGTGTTGGATACCTTATTTATTTAATTTCCAAACGAGCTATATTTATTTGTCTTTCGTTCCAAAATAGGCTGTACACAAGCAACCGGTGCTATAATATCGTTGGGAATCGCAAGAATCGGATTTTTTGTACAAAGCCCCGGTCACTGATACAAAAATATGGGATTTGAGAAAACGACCCCGCCACGTTTTAAAATTCAGTTAGCGTTGGGGATTCGGATTAGAAAAGAGTCAAAAATTTGATAAATTTGCATCATATACTGGCTCAATTTCTAAGTAAGAAACATTTTTGATATAAGAATTGAACTCCAATGCTTAAGTTTTGATATTATTGTTTCTCACTTCGCAGGTTTGGCGTTGGCAAAAAGGGGATGGAGGCAAGTGTTATTGAAGAAACTCGATCTCTAACCGAAGATTTGGCAACACAAAGCGAACGTAGTCTGAGTGTAAGAATCTAACTTATAATATGCATAAAATGCGAAGACTGTATTGTACTAATAAAAGAGTCAAGTTTTGTATCAAAATACAATTATAGGCTCAAAGTAATGCTATAATTCAGCCTTTTCTAACCATGGAGAAATCTAATTACCTCATAGGAAAAAAATTTAATTTTTCACGTCCGTGTAGTTAGTTACTGATTTGAATTTATTCTTAAATGCTCAACTATTATGTACTATATAAACATTAGAAAAACCATAGTGCAGCATGCGCGTAACTTTAAATAATGATCCAGTAAAATTGAACAACAAACGGCTACAAAGTTTTATGCATAATGAGGGAGGTCAATAAACTGTTTTTAAATAGGCAAGAGTGTCAAAAAGGCTGCGAACCACTGCCATAAATAATGTCTGTTTTATCGGTACTTTTGTCTTTACCAAAAACCTACTGGCCGTTTTGTACAGATGAAGTTTACTCAAGCAGTGTCGAACATTATTTGTCGAGTTGCATTTGGTTCAAGATTTGGATACGACGACAAAGACTTTCTTCAGTTAATTGGAATAGTACGAAAATAGTAAGTTTTTAGAAACGAAGCGTAAATATGAATAATTCTACAAAATTATTGTCGCCCCTTCTCCGCATCTGATGAACCAAGTGGCTATGAAAAATATAAACTTAATTTGTTTTCCAATTTAATTCAAGTACTATAGGAGTACTACGTATTAAATATATTCCACCTAAAACTTAGGTCCTTTAGTTCACGAAAATCAAAACAATTGTTTAGTGGCTTAGTTTTAGAAACGCCAAAATAACGCATTATTACAATAATTATGAGTATGTATCAACAATATTGGAGTTTTTGAATATCAGCTCTCTTATTAACGTTCGAACCAATTTTATCATAAAAAATGATTTCATCAACTGACATTGCTGTTTTGTTCTCTTTAGTCTTGGGGATACGACGGCTGGAAAAATGGATGGGTTGATGACTATGGCTCCCATTTTGAGATTTTTTCCACCATTTAGCAGCTACTTCAAAGAGGAATTGGAAGATATTGAAGTTTTCATGGGTACGTTTTGGGTAGCTCATCTCTTTAATACAAAGATTTTTTAACATTTCATTTTCTAATTCAATCATTTCAACTAATCTAGGTTATAAATTTATAATAAATTGAACAGAAATGCTCTAGCGAACCGGAAGGAATTCGGTCGTTTGTAGCAAAGTAAAAGCTTTTTATTAGCCTTCAAATCGAAAGGCTCAAATAGGTATCGTTTAAAGGATGAAATGACTTCGAGCGAGAATCTGTCGAAGCACTGCTTTGTAAAGAGCACTTTGCTTTGGGAAGACCAAAATATTCACGGTTTGATAATGCCTATTTAATTTATTACGCTGGCTCTCATTCACTAGAAGAAAAAAAATGTAACGGCTGCAAAGCGATTTTGAAAATATCTAAAATATTGCAAGAATACATTTTACTGGTGCCTCTAGAACAGGGTTTCCCAAAGTTGATTGACTGCGGGCCAAAATTTGTGCAGAAGGATATTCGCGGCCGGGAAGGGGAGAGGGCAAATGGGCGCGACGGAACGGTTGGACGGGTCGCTAAAGCGCCCTGGAAAAATTTTGAAACATAGGCACTAAAATATGCTTCAAACTTGATTTTACATACACCTAGCATCGCAGTTTATTATGTAACGGAATGTATATATTTAAGAATAGGTTATTTCACTCAAGTTCGGCGGGCCATTTTAAACCGTTACGCGGGACGTTATTGGCCCGCGAGCTACGGTTTGGGAACCCCTACTATAAAAGATCTGTTAGAACTAAATCAAGCTATTAAAATTTATATGTGAAAAAAATCCCGTGGCTAATCCCATTGCATAAAAACATTTTATCTTATACAATTTTGTATTAAATTGGGATTTATACTCAGGTATCATAGCCAGAATCATCGAAGAGCATAAAGAACAATTTGACGAAAATGATATCCGAGACTTCATTGATGCTTTCCTCAAAGAAATGAAGACACGGGATAAAAATGATGCCTGTTTCAACGTAAGTTTATCTGATTAGGAGCGGATAATTGCCTTCTTATAAAATTTGATAAAATCATTTTTCTTTATCATAAATATCAATTTTCCGTAGCTTGAATGCTTTTTAGACCATCGAGACTAATAATAAAAACATGCGTATTCCAGAGTTTGATCGTACCCGCTAACTGTTTCGATCTAACTTGGAAAATAATAATTTCAGAACCCTCCCCCCTGGCTTCGCCCCTGGCACGGACACATGGATATGAGACCGTAAAAAATAATGAGCAAATTTAACAGTTTAGTGTCCCTTTTACGAACCCATTGCACACAAAAAATTGCGGTATTTGTTAAACTATAGCATCAGTTATCACATGATAGTGAACAAAAAAAACTTAAGAGTAACGTGAAATTCCGAATGACTACCTTCAACAAGACATGAATTTTCAATCGTTTTCAATTCAAATCGTTTCACAATATTTAATAATGGGCCGATTTGCTCACGTGTCATCGGCATTGACAAAACTTTATTACCGCTTCTCACATGACATATCTTTCGATCTAATTTAAAGACAAAATTGTCGCAAATGTCAATTGTAAAGGTTTCAATGTGTCGCGATATTTATCACATGATAGCGCAAAACAAAGTGTCACGTTATTCGACTGTAAGGAGAAAAGGGTTTCGGTAAACACTGTCATTGTCTACCTGAGATGCCGATACCGGTCGGAATGTCTGTAAAGTAAATCCAATATTTGCTGTTGGTTTCAAATGCTTTTAATAAGCGCTAGTAAATTGAATAGAAAACGATGGTATGAAACGTAGCTTTCAGCTTGGGATAAATAAAGCTTTCATTATACATTTTATCCAATATATAACTCTTACAATTATTGGAATCATTGTACTTTTATATTGGGCTTATTTGTAGCCTATTCATATAATTTTCTAGTTGAACGAGAAATTCCGAATAGTTTGAGCCCCAATTAAAGCAGTTAACACAATTCAACGGTATTCGTCACATGACATTGAATAGTTATGGGATGCCATGCACAGTGAGGAGAAAATATCTCACAGTAAACAAGAATCGTGAAAAGGCGCCTTTTCATTGTAGTTCATTGTCAGGTGATATCAATGCTTGGAAAACTTGCTTTAACAACAACACGAGAATAAAACAAGGACTACTTTTAAAACTATGGCATAGGCAGGGGTAGGCCAGGTTTTTTGGATCAGGGGAAAATATTGCCAGCCTAGATTGACGGACCATATAATTTCGACGTAAAATGTTACAATTTGTTAACAAGAATTGCAGTGTTATAACAGCAAAAATCGCAATGAATAAGCCTCGTGCCAAAACTAAATTTAAACGCAATCTCAGCAAAATACTTGCCCCATTTTATTTTTATAAATCATCATAATTCAGTTTTATTCCGGTTGAGACAGCATCAAGCGACCCAGATTCAATTACCCGACGGGCCGGATTTGGCACGTGGGCCGTATTTTTCCTAATCAGGCATAACCTATGTCATAGACTCGACTCGCGTTAGACTTAAGCCTTTATTTAACAACGACTTAATGTTATCAAGTTGCATGAATCAGACTCGACATCAATTCAATGCCTATGAGATTTAATTGCCGCCGTAATTGACTCGACTCGTGGCCCAAGATACATGGAATTGTATCCAACATTGGAGCATTTGGGGTAATACAGGGTGACCTCAAAATAAGTAACCCATACAATATGTTGCAAATAGCCTGTGTTCCGTTTTTTGGTCGCCCTGTACATGTAAATCACATACTATACCAACACCCAAAATAACAGGAGCTATGTTCTCTAACTTAAATCTTCATATTCCTTCAGAAACTTCAACTCATTCAATACATCAGAGATTTATTTGAAGCTGGAACAGGAACAACAAGCAGCACTTTATGTTGGGCGATTCTTTGCTTTGCACATTATCCAGAATGTCAAAAAAAAGTTGCCGACGAAATTGAAAAAACTTTAGGTAAATCGGTTTATTTATCATTTTATTTATATTATTATATTATTTTTATTATTATAATATTTTACTTCCTATCATCATAGCGTTTTTATATGTTAGTCAGCGACCAAATCAATTCACGTATATTGGAATCACTACATTGAAATAATTTGTATTAATGGTGGTAATTATGAATGAGAGCATCAAACAAACAACAACTGGTAACAAATTAACGATATAAGGGCTCCAAGTCTTGATCTGACCTCACAATATGGCCACGAAGTTCTATTTACAAACCGCAGTCCCCGCGCATAAATCTATTATCTGATGATTCAAGTTCTGCTTATCGAATGTCGAATGTACTTGGTGACGCAGTATACGCAGAAATGGACTTTCTGGCGTAGACGTAGAGCCGCAGAGAAAATTAGAAAAATAAGAATGAATGCTGGACTTTCATATCTTCCTCTTCCTAATTTAGGTGGGAATTGTAAAATAATTTACTTTTTACTGGCTCTGCCTCGAAAAATTCAGATTCCCTTATGTATATATGATTATGTACTTGTATATACGAAATAGATAGATATAGAAAAAGAGACGGATACACATAAGTTATATTGTTTGCTACAAACACATTGAAACAAAACGCATAAGTAACTCACTGTAACAATAAAGCATACGACAAGAAATGAGTTGTCATCAAGTCGCTCATGAAAACTGTGTTTTTCTACAGGTTCGGACGGGGTACCCACTATGAAGCATCGAGATGAAATGCCTTACACTTGTGCTTTCATACAAGAACTAATGAGACATAGAACTTTGGCGCCATTAAGTGTATTCCATAAAACGAACGAAGAAGCGACTCTCAATGGATATACTATCCCAAAAAATACCACGGTAGGTTTTGTTATACATTTGAGCAATATGGTGAGTTGTGAGTAAATTAAAAAAAATTAGTTTTATAAATTCCTTGTAATATCCTCACTTCGTTCTGCACACACTTTTATGAGACCGATTTTACTTCAAATCAAACTTCAACAAAAAACGAAATTGTATTTTTTGTTTTAAGATCAGTCCAAATATTTGGGCAGTTCATTTCGATTCCAAATATTTTGAAAACCCAAAAGAATTTCGACCTGAGAGATTTATCGACGACGACGGAAAATTTATGAAATCAAATCACGTGATCCCATTCTCCGTCGGTCCTCGTCACTGTGTTGGAGAACAACTTGCAAGAATGGAAATTTTCATATTCTTGGTCGGCATAATTCAGCAATTGCGGATTGTACCGGACCCAAAGAAGCCTCTTCCAGCCTTCGATGTCGGTGCTTTCAATGGTGTTACGTACGAACCTCCCGAATTTGAAGTAATTTTTCAAAAACGCTGAAGAAGACATGTAAAAGTGATAATATAAACCCTAAGAAAAACTGTTCGTAATGATATTAAATTTTATCTATGAAGGATTTAAAATATTTGCTTTGTCCCAAATATAATTTTGTTTCAATTTTGTAATTTTCTCCAATCTTCAAACTCCACTTCAAGATATTTATGACTTTGATAATGTAGCAATAAATATGTGTAGCTTTTATGTAGTCTAATTTTGATTTCATGGCAGTGCACTCAGAATGATTAGAAAACGCTGATCAGCAATGCGGGGTAAGAGAGTAAACAAAATGCCGTAAACACGAGGTGGTGATGTTGTGCAGAAAATGCTATTTGGCCATATTAAAAAAATAGTGAAATAATTGATTGCGTTCAGATTAATAATCTAAATATCCAATGAAATTTTTAGTTTGAATATCATTTTTGAGGTGCACAAGATTTTTTTCTAGGCGATAACCTATGACATTTTGTCATATGATTGCCGTCAAGTTTACGAATATTCAAGATGACAGGAACTAAATGCCGGGTATCAATAATTAGACATTTCGTTTTTCAAGTAACGAATGTTTCGAAATTGTATAAATTTACAATATGACTCCTACATTTAAAAATAAATATTAATGTCTGTGTATGTACGTACACGCGTTAATAATTACCTCCTATCTAGTATACTTCCCTGATGGACACAGAAAAAACGATGTGAATATTACAAAGAAGTTGTCTATAATTAAACATGTGCTAATTTAAAATAATAAAATTTGCTATATATATACGAAAATCGTCAAATTAAAATATTGTAGATATAAATTTTCCAGATGATAATGAGTCATCCTAATTAGAACTGAGAAATATATACTTTTGCCGTTCTAATTAAAGCTGAATTTAAAGATTAGGACATACCGCACTGAATAGGGAGTTTCTGCTTTGACACGCAGTGTGGCCTATCCGTATTTTAAAAACATAAATGTTTGAATAATTTCTTATCATTATTATTTAGCATTTTGCTCTGCATAAAGTTAGTTATATTGATTTTACCGGTTCAGTATCGTTTTGGTCTTTTTGATTTAGATATGTTTGCTTAGGTGTTTGACTTATTCAATCAAGGCTGATTATGAGTTCATTTTAGGGTTCTCCCGAAGTTTCGTACCAAGATGGCGCACAGCCTGAACATAGTATTTGTACCAGGTTAGGGTTGTTCAGTTTGTGCGTCATATTGATGCAAATACTTCCGGAGAGTCCATTTTTGTTCTGAACAATAAGTATCTGAGCATTACTTATTCTGTATAAAAAAAAAACAATGCTCCAAGATATTGATACGAAGGTCAAGCATCGGTACCCATGCGATGATTTTTTGGAACATCATTTGTTTTTAAAGATCGCCAGACTTTTGTAAAAGAGGGTGGATAATGCACATTGCAATAAATAGCCTTTGCCTCTATAGTGAAAATAAAATGTAAAATTGTGGAAATGATTTCGTCTCAATTAGTTCATTAGTATCTGAAAAATCGTTTTTTTTTTTTTCAACAACAACAACAACCGCACAACAACAATGTAGCAAAACGCTTCATATATATTAACTAATTACGAAATACGTCACTTTTTATGAAATGTTGAGACATGTTTTTGAACAATGTCTCTAAAATTAAAATCGAAAACAATGGTCTATTGTTGTCTGTGGCCTTTTAATAGGAATTTTGTCAATAAAATCAGAATTATCAATCACTGTATATAAATATAGCTCACTTCACTTGTTAAATCATATTTTGATATTATACTGAACACTTCGAACACTTCCTACTACGATAAATTACTTTTTATATATTTTCATTTGATCCTGTTATTTATACACGGAACGGAACGCGTTGACTTGGTAGTTTCTCATTCGAAGTTGTCAGCAGTGTTACCAAGAATATGCGCCGAATTTTGATTTGATTTGTGTTTTTGTATTTTACTTCCAATTTATTTTTCTACGAAATGATCTCATGAAGCGTTATATTTACCTTGGAATGAAGACCTAAAACTATTCAGCTAATATCGCTTAGTAAAGATGGAGAATTACTGAAGAAGTGATGTTCTGAAAAAGAGTTCTTGTTCCTCTCTTGATTTATCAAAGAACCTTACAGACCGTTTACAATATGAAAATCGAGATAAATACATTGAATGTCAATAATTTGATTGATTTAGATTTGGATGTATATTATTTAGTTGTATATTAAATTTCAAACTATGGTAACAGATATAATTTCAGGTCTTGACAGAACATAAATCACTGGTAAAAATAAACTGTATTTTATTTTCACAAAATAAATAATTTTCACAAAATTAATAGCTGTGAATATTTGACTTTTGTACATTAAAGCAACTTTTTTACCTGCAAAATGTAAAATATTGGAAACTTTGTGCTCGCTTGTTTATCCCTCATGTTTGCACGATAAACATCACTATTAATAGATAAACATTGTCAAAATGTAGGTATAATCAACATGTTATAGGTCAAAATGAGTTTGATGCATCCCTAAGGCGTCTCAAATATGAAACAAAACAAGGAAAAGCTTTATCATAATCCTCAGTTCCACGGAACAGTTTTATAGTAAATATTCCTTCTAGAAGTTATTTTTAATATATTTCTCAAAATTAATGGTAGAATAGATAAGTCTGATAAAGTTTTCTAAACATATGAGTTAACAAACCCAAAATATCATTTTCGGTCATCTACGGAACGGTAATTTATAAAAATATCTTTTAGAAGTTTTATATGATACCGGTACATTCAGAATGATCTGTGAGGCATAACACGCATGAAATATGTACCATAATCTGTACTTCTAAGATACGCTACTTTATTTAATTTTTGAAAGGAGCTTGTCGATTAAAGTTTTTAACAATTTAAGAAAGATGTAATTTGTGCTTTTCAGCATTTACGTCAGACAATACCTAATATCGTTATGTAAAATGTCTAGCAACATCATTTTAGTTTTTCACATTGCGATGCAAAGTTTTACGAAAGAGCGAACGAGAGCAAAGGGCGAATATTTACGAAAGTTTCAATCATGTATATTCAAAGCAGACCGAATAACATACATAATATAAATAAAGTAATTTCATTTAGGCATTTGTAAAATTATATAAAATGACTGCATTAGGCTTATGTATCGTAGGCTCGGAGCAAATAACGTATTACGAATTTATAGTTATTTGTGGAAGTGTAATTACTTAGGCTTTAAACCAGATTATTATCAGCCTCAATTAAGATATACTTCTAGCTGGGGATTTTAAATCTAAATGGTTCGTAAGTAAGTCATTCAGTATTCCAGTTCAAAAATATTTTTCTAGCAGTATAATAGATTTATATATCCCATATTGTATGCATGATGACGTATGTATGAAAAATGATTTAAAAAAATCAGCAGACAAGCAATATGTAAGAGCTCGACAGTACGTAGACAAAATCATTTCGTTTCTGCATTTCCTATGCATCATATTGCTTGCCTGACGATCGTTTAAATCAGGTGTGTACAAAGTGCGGCCCGCGATACAAATGCGGCCCGCGGAGAAGTGCCAGTTTCGAATGGTGTGCCGCCAGCTAAACTAGTTTTTAATTTAGTTTGATCTGGGATCCCTTTGCGTTTTAAAGCTTATATCCAATTATTTGTCTATGTCATGACGTTACGTCTTAACAGCGAAGCGAACAACGCGATTCACAAAGCTCTCACTTGCTGAGCAGCGAACAATTTGAAGGGGTATGCGGAAAAGACGCTAATGAATTTATAAGAACGGGCAATTGAAGATAAGGCAACTGGAAAGCAGTTTGAATTTTTTTTATATTAAGAGATACGAAAGTTAAATGGGGTTTGGTTCCAGTCTATCAGATTTTGTTTTAATCTAATCTAGAATAAGATTTGACAGCAAAGTATTTGGAAATGAATCACACCCTGAACATAGTATGTGTACCAGGTTAAGGTTGTTCAGGTTATGCGTCATCTGGTTACGAATACTTCGGGAGCACGTTTTCGTACCAATATGGCGCACAACCTGAAAATAGTAACTGTACCAGTTTGGGGTTGTTTAGGTTGTGCGTCCTCTTGGTACGAATACTTCCGGAGCGACGATTTATTTGCATTTTTCAGAAATGACTTGGATTAATTTTGCGGTGAATTATTATATTGATTGAGTTCAATGCTTTTTTTCCTGTATATTGAATATATTAATATCAATTTACTGTTATTACTCAGTGGTATTTTTTGATTTGACGTTTTAAGTAAAAATTATACGTTTTTAATACATTTTACCGCCAATTCATTTATCGAATGCGCGAAACTTTCCCTTCCAATCTGAGAAGATACTTGCGTTTCTTCTGAAAACAAAATTACCAAGTTTTTGTTTGAAATTCAGGTTAATTGTGAATATTCACATTAATAATGAGTTAAACCACCTTGCAGCTAAACAATTTCGTGACACCGTCTTCATTTGTTGCAAACGCAACGATTGGTACAGTCATAATGAAATGATATTTGAAGGTAACTACTATACCTACCTATTTGGTTTAATTTATTGTATTATAAATGGTATGTTGAGCATTAGGATTCGAAATCGAATGGTTTCAAGAGTCAATCATTTTTATATATCTTCGAAGACCTGAAAATACTTTGTAATGGATTATGGATATTGTTAGTTGAGTTAGTATGAAGTAGTGACGCGCTTTACAGTATCTAAATTTAAAATTTTTAGAACAAGTCTTTTTGGTGAAAACTTGCAAACAAGTTGTGTAAACAAAATTTTTCCTCGTTTCATAGAACTTATGCCGGAGTAAAACAAAAAGGTAAGAACGGGATCACCAATAAGACGATATTTGAATAACAGGTTCGCGTAAAATTGTTCGAGCCCGCTGATTCTTATAAATATAAATCAACAATTTGAGGGACATATCTGTAGATGGGTATTGAGTCAATATTTAAGAGAATAAATTTTAATTTTATTCTCAGTAAAGCATATCTATAAGAAATAAATCTTATCAATATTACACATTTGAATTTTCTGCAGATTTTGATATCAAAACAAATACAGATTACTGAAAAGTAAGAAAAAAATGTGGACGAAATTAATCGAATATCCAAATGCTTTAGCTGGGCTTGCAGCCTTCATATTTTGGTGCTATTTGCAAAGGAAACCAAAAAAAATTCCACCTGGTCCTCGAGGTCTGCCTCTTGTCGGTTACATTCCGTTCATGGCAAAGAATCCCGCAGAAACTTTTATGAAATTGAAAGAGAAATACGGATCAGTTGTCTATGTTCAATTTGGACAAGAAGATTGGGTCATTCTGAATGATTATGACACCATTAACGAGGTCTGCTGTACAAAATATTTCAAATGTAGCTTCATTCAATAAATAAACATGAGATTCAAAATAACTCGAGTAAAAACTTCTATGTTCTAAAACAATTATTGCCAACCACCTGTTAAAAAATAAAATTTCTAAACTTCTCGCCATTAATTTCATGAGCCATCGTCGTTCGTGTAATTTGTTTTATAACATTAGAAAGCAAGCTGCGTCTACTACCTGATAGATAAATAAGGATAATAATATAATACAAATATAACTCAATGCATGTATCTAAAAAAAATACCAAATCTAAAGACAAGGACGGTGTGGAAACCCTGACAATAACCAATAAACCTAGCGTCTAATATGCTTACTTCATGTCAACGTTATACAAACTTCTTTAAACCAAATACTTGAATGTTTTTTTTTCGTTGTAGGCATTTGTAAAACAAGGAGAAAAATTTTCCGGACGACCCTACAATCTTTTATTCGAGTTGATAACCAAAGGACGCGGGTTCTTGACGTTGGATTATGGATCAACATGGAAAGCTTTGAGAAAGTTTGGCCATGTTACACTGAGAGAGTAATCATTTATAAAAAAAATCTTATAGAAATTAAAAAAAATATTGATAAAGAGTTTATGAAAAGATCTGTAAACACGTTTTTTCATAAATTTTTTTTTTCACACATTAACTCTGAAAAAGCCTCTGTGCAAGTGCAAGTGAACTATACTATATATTTATAAAAAGACCTTGCTTTTTATAATTTGTAATCACCGGCCTAATTTATTTCGATACTCACGTAGTATGTGAACCACGATGACGGACATCAGAAGGTAGTATGTGTACCTCGTAATATAACTGAAATTATAAAAATTGGAATAAAATTATGACCTGAACCTAACCTGGTACACATACTACATTCCGCTGCCCGCCATCTTGGTCCACATACTACGGGAGCGCCTTATTATTATACCTTCATAAGAGTATATGTAAATTTGTATTTAAATATTGACACGGTGTGCATTGGATTTAAATATTATCAAATTTATTATTTGATGTTCTGACCTTTTTTATTTCAGAATTGGGATGGAAAAGAAAAATATGGAAACAAATGTAGTTGAAGAAACGAAATTCTTGAAAATTTGGCAACGAGGAACGGAGAGAGTCTTAATGTAATATTTCAATAATTCGACATATAAAAATATATGCCATTTTTAAATAAAAATTTGTATATCATTCAAGTACTTTCGATATAGCAGTTGCTCTGAAAAGCCCATTTAAACTGTTGGACACCAGGTATGCATATAGCTTGTTTTGCCAAATTGTTGTTGTTGTCCTTTTTGTGGTGGTACTTATTGTAATTTTTCAATATCAACTGAGTATCTTCGCTGTTTTATTCTTGTTTATGGAAACACCTGCTTATTTATTATGAGAAAAATTTTTACTTCACTCTAGGCTACCGATATTTTCTTTAGAAAACTCGGTGTTCAACTACAGCTTAGACAGTTCCGTTTTGTTATTGCCGCGCTTTTGATTCATAATTATTTTGGGATCACTATTTTGTTTCTTCTAGATAAAATTAAATCTTGCATCATCCAATATCATTTGTCGAATAGTGTTTGGTACAAGGCTCGAATACCAAGGAAGTAAATTAAAGCATATGATCGAAATATTTACAAAGAAGTAAGTTTATTTTAGCACATGCTCTTCGTCTAATTACATTTTTGGCGTAAATTCCCAGATGAACTATTAGAGAGCTTCCGAGTTTCACATTGATAACCAAAATAAATAGTTTTCAAATGGTGCTGTGTATGTTTGTGTTTGGAAAGTTACATATTGCTTGAACGAATTCGTGATCTATAATTATTCTGCAATTCTAAATGGGTATACTAGAAAATGGCAATAAGGTACTATCGTGCTCAAAGTCAAATTTGTGTATTCGAAAGATTTCATGATTTTTTGTTGGAAGCAAGTTCTCTATTTGATATGTAAACATATTCCCCTATCAAAATATACCTGACCACAGAACAAGCAATGGTAAAATCCGAATCCAAATCGAAACTTTAAATTTATCCCGATCTTCAACGTAATTTGAGATTTACTGAAGATTCTGGATCCGACTCAGAAATTCAGCCACACAATAGTTTGTTATTTGTTAACTTGCTTACTTTTATTATACCAAAAGCTTCCAAGACAATGCTCATTCTCGGATGCTATCCACGGTTAGCTTGGCTCCCATCTTACGTTTTATTCCCCCGTTCAGCAATGTCGTGAAAGTTACCTCTGATGAAGCAGACTGCTTTATAGGTAAGAGTATCCGATATATTCTCAACAAATTCGCTCGTTTACCATTACCGATGCGAGACCTCATTGTTCATATTTATTTATCTTTTATATATATACAGCAAAAATAAATTATATTTTAGCATATCTACGCGAATTTGTAGAAGAGCACGAATCGAACTTTGATGATTCCGACATCCGGGACTTTATTGATGCTTTCCTGAATGAAATGAAGAAACGAGAAAAAGATGATGATGTTTTTAATGTATAATTTCATATATCATATTAGGGACGTGATTTTGAAGTCGGAGTCGGACATGGTATTTTTATAATTTCCGGGGTTGCGAGTTAAAGTTAAAATTGCAGTATTTCAGTGGTGATGTGATCGTTTATTATTTTCTACAGAAACTCAGAGCATCAAGTCTACTACACAGTATTAATAGCTAAATATAGTAATAATAGTTAATATATTTGAATTTAAGATTAAATATGAAATCAAGTCGACATTTTTTAAACATTTTCATCTATTATAAATTGGTGGTTTCATAGTACAAATTATTTAAGTCAGCATAAATGACTAAATATTTGAATTTTTATTTTCAAATCAGAAAATCCAGCTGGTCAGATTCGTACGTGATCTATTCAATGCGGGATCAGTTACAACAAGCAGCACATTGGCGTGGGCTTTCCTCGCTTTGGTCTGTTACCCAGAATGCCAAGAAAGAATTGTAGGGGAAGTTTTGACAACCTTTGGTAAGATAAAGTTCCAGTTTTCTATATTAAAAATAATTTAAAGCGATGCTCAAATATATGGACACGCAAAACAATTCCTCCAAAAATCATATGAAGCGACTTACCAGTACCTGTATAAACAAAGCACCACATCACAGCAATCAAACAGACAAAAACACGGTGGTCGCAAATTGGTTGACAAAGATAGTTTGACGTATTGGAAATGCGCACCCCCTATTCACCCTCCTTTGAATGGTTACTACAATGCTTATCTCTAATACACTTCGTTCCACATTAATAAATTTTGAAGCGCTGAAAAAAAAAAAATACGCGTGTTGCGTTAATGAGCCTTTCCAACTATAATTGTGATGTGCCTCTTTGGGCGTTTAAAAAATAAAAATGAGGATTTTACTTTCGTTTATGCAAATACATCCTAAAGCGCTGATTCGAAATACGATCGTATTTGTAATCATATTTTGAAAAAAATGTTCAAGTCAACGTAAATTATATTTAAAGAAAACGAATGCTAATATCTGCCAAAATCGGTATTCGATATTTTTGAGTAAACCTCGTTGGGTTTGATACCAAATATAGAACGACTTACAGATTAGAAAGAAGGAAAATTGAAATGCATGTGAGGAAGAAGAATGTCTGTCACATTAGTAAACAAAATTGAAATAATTATGATACAATATAAAATGCTACAATCGCGCGGTTTCTCGAAGTTGATTCGCGGGCGTTTCTTTCTGAAGTTCTTTTGTTTCATATCTTTTTCATCGTTTTTGCAGTCAAGAGTTCTGACTAGTTTTTAATTTTACAATTTCTTTTTTTCTTTTCACACCAAGCGAAGCAGTGAAGTACGGTTTACTGTACCTCTAGACCACAGTCTACAAATATATTCACAACAAGCGAAGCAGCAACACAGTACGGTCCCCCGTTTAGCATCACCGCCATTCACCGGTAACCTCGAAAAACTTGCGATTTTTGACATTTAAGAATCCGCCGTTACGCCAACGTTCGCTGGCACGTAATCAAAAAGAGGAGTGCCTGCATATGCGTCCGCAGAAGGTTCAGTGACGTCATAGCAAACAAAAACAAATTTCACACAGCTAACAGAAATATTTGAAATAAATAAAAGTAATAGCCTTCTGGAGAAAAATTTCATCTTTAACCACTACAAATTTCAAAGCAATTGGTCCAGTGATCAAAGAGAAAAGCGGTTTTTTAATATTTCCGAAAGGTGTCCAAAAAGTGTCAATGAACAACAAGAACAACATAACAAAACGACGTGTTCACTAAACGTTTCCAACATGAAAACCGATGTAATTCCTAATAACATTTGAAATGCCATTCACTTCATTAACCATATTTTTTTTTAACATGAATTTTAGGTCTGATTCAGCTCGTTTTCTCGTTGTTATTATTTTTGTTTTTATTTTTGTCCTTTTTAAAAAATTATAAAAGACAAACTTTCATTACGTCACTATCTCCGTCAGTCGCACTTGTTTTTACAGATTTTCATGTATATTTCAGCATTTCTCGTGTCATCATTCGATTTTAATGAATTTTTTATAATACTGTCGTTAACATTCTTCTTTTAATCTAACAGGTGAAGATGGAGTGCCGTCAATGAAACATCGAGATGAAATGCCTTACACTTGTGCCTTCATACAAGAACTGACGAGAAATAGAACTTTGGTTCCACTAAGTGCCTTTCATAAAACGAACGAAGATGCGACAGTGAATGGATACAATATTCCAATAAATACGACGGTAGGATTTGCACATCTGATGATTACTATTTTGTGGTTTATATAACAGCGGCTAATCGAAACAACAAAGTGAAACAATCAAATTTGACCTGTTTTATACAAATAATTTAACATATAAACTGAATTTATATTACAGCTGCCTTCAAAAGATAGTTATGACGAGTTATGAAAATAGCTTTTAAATGTTTTTTTAAGTTACAAGCCATAGAACTGTATTACGACGCTAAGCAGTCAGAAATTTTCCTGCACATATCCATCGAAGGTATTCGGACGACGGACGGCAGATTGGTTTAAACGTTAGATGTTGACATCGCATGTAGGGATTATCTGGTAGAAAATAAGGAGTCAATAAAATTTACAATATTTTACACTTGTATATTATAAACATGTCATCCTCTAAAGAAGAAAAACTTAATTTTTTTCATAAGACGTGCTTTAAAACAAGACTCCGTAAAAGTATCCACCAATAAGGTAAGATCTACCATGTCGTTCGGCATTTTCCAAACAATTTTAAAACACCCCGGATGAAGTCGCACGCATTGGATTTAAAAATAAATTGTAAACTGAAATGCCAACATGGTTAAGTTCATCGAGTTAACTCTTCGTTTATACCATCACGAGCACGAGTAAGAAATGAATTATTAAAAATTCATATTCATTTAGCATAAATAATATATTTCTGTATTGCAGATCGTTCCGAACATCTGGGCAGTTCATTACGACCCCAAATATTTCAAAAATCCGGGAGAATTTCTACCTGATAGATTTCTGGGTCGTGACGGAAAATTCATCAGTTCTAATCACGTGATTCCATTTTCGATCGGTCCTCGACATTGTCTGGGAGAACGACTTGCAAGAATGAAGGTTTTTGTATTTCTAACGGGAATATTACAAAAGTTAAAACTATTTCCGCACCCTGGAAAGCCCCTTCCTTCATTCAATGACGGTGTGTTCCGCATGGTCACATACGGGCCACCCCAGTTTGACGTCGTTTTCGAACGACGATAACATTTTTTGAAATAAAAAAACCAGCTTTTTATAATTGGGAGCAACAGGATAAAAACGATTAAAATTATTACAATGTTTCTCTGTACTTGACAGATAGGCACATAGACATGTTTTGTTCAAAGAACTGTAGGCGATGCCACTTCACAAAAAATGAATTTCCGTAACGTAATAAACATTTATGAAGGCTAAAATATTGTAATGACTGTGTATTTGTAACGCTAACAAATGAATTAAATCGTTTGGCAATTACGACAACTTATCCAAATGAATTTTCCAAGATATTTATTAATTACCTTTCGCGTAACAATATATAAATTCCTTGGTCGATAAACTTTGTTTTTGGTTTGCATCGTTATGAAGTAATTTCTCAAAAAAAATTAGCAGGACATGAAAAATGATAAGTGTGTTTAGTAGTTGTACATGTGCATGTCGTAATTCTTAGTGAAGAAAAAAATTAATATAACAATGTTACACTTCATCTTATTTCATTGTGTAATATAATGGGTAGGCAATGCCCAACATGCATGAATGAACACGCATAAACATAAGCATAAACACAGGTTTCATTGGAAGCTTGTATTATTATTCGACGATTTTAGCGCCGTTCAACACAAAGGTACTTACTCTAAAACAACTAAGTATATCACTTGACTATAATTTTGAAGTTTGAAATTTGTGGGGTTCGGCAAATAAGGATGATTATATTTTATATTATTTTCGTGTGTTTTACTGCAGAAAATGCCCAGTACAAAACGTCCCTAATGTATGGGAAGTTGGTATATTTTGAGAATTCTGGAATCTTTTTTGGTTTAGAATCAAACCTTTGCTTGCGTTGAGGGCGCGAAAGGCTTTCAATAAAAAGATCTGCAGCCTTTTGTTAAGTTTTTTAAAACAAAATGCCGCAATCATATCTTTGCAGCGTCCAAGTAAACATCGTTAAATGTAGACGAGACGAATGTATTAACAAAAAGTGTTCTAAATGCATAGGTCAGTACTTACGTAAGCAAATTATAAGCGTTTACAAAATGTAAATGATACATATTTTGTGTTCACGATGCACACTTTAAATAAATGTAGTTTTTCAGACAGAAGTCGCATTACTCTGTATAAGTAAAACACAAAATGTCCTGAGTGAAATTTTCGTATCGAATTATACTTTCTACTAAAAAATATAACTGAGATTTGCTTTTCAAAAATGTTTTGATACAAAGAGGCGATAATTCAGTGTATGAGCACGAATGTCCAATGTCAGTCTGAGACTTTGCCGTTGGAGTCAGTGTCAGGAGTGGACGTATGTCTTGTTTCCATCGATTTTGACGGTGTCGGAGCCGAGGTCAAATTTTTCAAATCTCCCGAGTCAGAGGTAAAATTTTGAATTTCTTGATATTGCCTTATGTTCCAATATTTTCCAACTTTTAACAGTATTAACATAAGTTGACCACGTTTGAACAGAAGCACATATTCTAAATTTAACCATTTTCCTCAACAGGCAATTTATTGTTAAAAAAGGCGTTTTATTGCCAAACTTTTTATTTCTCGCGAGTTGGAGTCGTGGTGAAAATTCCGATTGCAAAGATCGATTCAGTTGCTCATAAAAAACTAGGTATCTGCTAAAAAGTTTTTTTTTTAATTCCTGCTTAAAATTTCGAAAAAAAAGTAATTCTTGCGCCATTGAATTTTCACAAACCGAGGCGATTCGTTTAGCTAGCCAGATGTGGTTCAGTTTAAAAAAAGGACTAGAAATCCGCATAAACACTGAAACATACATAAACCTAAGAGTAAACTAAAAAATTATTTTTTATTAATGTATATACCCGGAGATGCAATTGGGCTTAAACCTCAGCCAGCAGATCAAAAATGAACAACCATAACTCATCGAGTTTATCATCGGTTCCACGCTATAGGTGAGGTAAAATATTATGTAATATGTACTCGGAATAACTGAATGAATGTACAAGCTTGATAGTGGAAGAAGGTTCACCTCATTTATTGGTTAAATGTACCTTTGTACATGATTGACGTAGAAAATCTTCAAATGTTCAAGTTTGAAAAAAAGTCGAATAGTTGGGATGCCATGCCTAAGCTTGTTGTGTTTTATAACGTGAGTAATCATTTTCGGATGAAAGAGTAACATCATATTTAATTCCGTGTTCAATATAAAATAAGACGTTTTTTCTACGAAACCCAGTAGGCCATGGCCATATGCTGGAATTCATGGAGTTCTTGAAAAGCCTGAAGCATAATTTTATATTTCTCACGCACATTAAGAGATTAGAGACTTCAAAAACGCGACCCAATAACCCAATCCCGACCCCAAACTTATACCGTTTAATTGGTACAACATGAAATTAAATTCCGTAAACAGCGGTTAAAGTGCACCCAGATTCTTCTGTGCCTTCCAAGTGCTGCCCCAATATAATTTGACTTGAAATCGGTGAATAATTTCAATAACAATCAACAGGCACTTCAAATCAAATCTCGAACATGAACCGGGAAAATAGAACTTGCCGGGTACGAGAAACGGAACGTTGTTAATTAATGGAACGTAACGTAAATCTTGATACCGGGTATAAGAAACGGTTTTCTGCCAAAATATTAGATAAAACTAAATAGCTTATATGGCACAATTAATCAAATATAACAGCATTACCATTTTTACATGCAATACCAATTCACAGTAACTAGCAGATAACCGAATGTCACAATTATGTACAGATTAAACCACATAGGATAAAATAGCATTCACAATACTAAAATACAGAATAAATGATACAAGATAAAACAATATTTACATACTGAATGTTTAGGATCTCCAGGCAACTCAATTCAACATAATATAATCCAAAGCAAATCCGAACTTAACTTATGTGACTAAATACAAAAAACAGCAGTTATCATTCCATTTGGACTATAATACATCCCTAACCTGCATACCTACGTTATATTACAACCTTAGATTAAACCTCTTAAATAACTTTAATCCGAATCGTTTATTCTAACCGCAAATAGTAAACCAATATTAAACACGATAAACAACTCCTAGCGCGATAGATTACACTGGATACAAGACAAAAGGTGCCAACTCCTCGAAGCAGCGTGGCGATAATTTAGAATTCCCGGGATTAATCAAGAAACTTCTTAAACAGGACTATGTCGCAATAATGCTTCGTCGAAACGTTTGCAACGTCTGCGTAACAACGTAAAACGTGATGAAATTGGAAACACGTTATGATTCTCGCTAACAATAACTACATGGGTTAGTTTTGAATACATAGTAACTTTGAATCCCTTTACAATGTCAAAAATTCAATTTCAGTAAGATAAATAGTAGTTTATTTTACTAATATAAGCCAAGATCCATCGACAGCATCTAGCCACTTTGCGCGCTTCAAACTACATTTGTGTTGCCGTGGGCATTTCGTTTTCCTGCTTGGAGCTTAGGAACTTGGGAAATATTTTATTATCAGTCAAAATGGATTGGAACAAGGCCACTCCGAACAGGGCCATGTAAAACCATTCACTGGTATCTTACGACGTGTAACGTGTTTTCTTTTGGTAGAACCGGAACCTTTCAGGTGCAGCATTGACTTTGGCCAAATTAATATATCCTTGTGGAGATAAAAGGTATGCTTATGCGAAACCGAGATGTGCATCTGTTATGCCAACATAGTTGAGTCAAACATTTTGATCACTAGTACATTACACACATTTTTCTGTGTGCTTCGGTTGTACGTAGTAACGCACACATCCTTTTGCATATGCATCAAATTCCACTTGTTTATTGAGCTATAGGTTTTTGACGAGCTTTTGTGTATGATTTCATTCTATAGAATTTGTACGCTGTTCTGAAGAATACTAGTTTCAGCTTTTTCATTCGTTCAAACCGCGTGTTGGAAGTAAGGTTTGTAATATTGCGTGTTGGTTTTCCTAAAAAGCTCCAAGTCTTGGTCTGACCTCACAATATGGCCTCGAAGGTCAATTTACAAACGGTAGACCTACGCAAAAATCTTTCATTCAACGATTCAAATGCTGCATATCGAATACAGATTATCCTTGGTGTCGCAATATTTGCAGAAATAGGACTATTTGACGTGGACGAAGATTCCCAGAGGGAATTCGTAAAATAAGAATAAATGCTTGACTTTCATATCTTTCTCTTTCTTATTTAATTTATAAAAATTGTGGAAGAGTTTACTTCGTAATCGCTGTGCCTCGAAAAAAATAAAGAATAAGACAAGAAAGGAGCTGTCATCAAGTCGCTCATGAAAACTGTGTTTTCCTACAGGCACGGACGGGGTACCCACTATGAAGCATCGAAATGAAATGCCTTACACTTGTGCTTTCATACAAAAACTAATGAGAAACAGAACTTTGGCGCCTCTCAGTGTATTTTATAAAACGAACGAAGAAACGACTCTCAATGGATATACTATCCCAAAAAATACCATGGTAGGTTTTGTTACACATTTGAGAAATATAGTGAGTTTGAATTAGAAAACAATCGGTTGTGAGTAAATTGAAAAAATTACTCAAGTATTATAAATTCCTGGTAATACTTTCACTTCGTTCAGCACACACTTTTATGAGACTGATTTTACTTCAAATCAAACTTGAACAAAACGCGCAACTGTATTTTTTGTTACTAGATCAGTCCAAATATATGGGCAGTTCATTTCGATTCCAAATATTTTAAAAACCCTGAAGCATTCCGACCAGAAAGATTTATCGACGACGACGAAAAATTTATCAAATCCAATCTCGTGATCCCATTCTTTGTCGGTCCTCGTCACTGTGCTGGAAAACAACTTGCAAACTCGCAAGAATGGAAATTTTCATATTCTTGGTCGGCATAATTCAGCAATTGCGGATTGTACCAGACCCAAAAAATCCACTTCCAGCCTTCGATGTCGGTGCTTTGAACAGCGTTACGTACGAACCTTCCGAGTTTGACGTACTTTTTCAAGATAATAATTTAAACTATAAAAGACTGTTTGTAATAATATTTAATTTTATTTATAAAAGATTTGAAATATTAGATTTTACCATATAATAATTTTATACCAAATTTTAAGACTTTGAATTTAATGATATGAATCAATTTTTCCATTTTTTTGTTGGGGGTATATTCACTTGGCTAACACAAACATTCCTCGAACTCGTATTAGAATTAAAATAGCGAAAATCGGAATAATATTATGTCATAACCCTAACGTAGTAGTATGCATACTACGGAAGTACCATTATTTGTTGCAAATATTGCTATGGAATAATTTGTATCAACCGCTAATTATCGAAAACTCGGTCGCTATTATGAACTTGTATTTAATATATATTCTCAGTGCGCCAGCAGTTTTATGCAAACTTTATTACTCTATTTATTCAACTTTTAGTCTACGGATCAAAACTTTGATTTGGACAGACTTTGCATTAAACTATTTGAAAGTATGCTCAAATAAATTACCCATTGGTTAAATTGAAATGCCTGCCCTAACACAAATAAAGCAAAATGAGCCACCTTCCTTGGGTTTACTGCACTTGGATTTTAGGATCAGTCATGGTTTAGACACGAGTTTGATATCGCGGGTAAAATTTCTTTAAAAACATCGTTTTATGTGAACTTTTTCACAGCGGAAGGAACTTTCACGCTTTATTAGTCGAGTTATTTGAGGTTTGGTGATACTTTTAATAAAAAGATTGTTGTTACACGATTTTATGGAATAACACTACAACACGCCTATAACCCTATTTTACTTCATTGAAATTTAAATTAAAATCGAAACTTATATAAGATATATATACACTAACTTTTGTTATGATCGAGTGTGGTCAAGGGATTGAAAACGACTTCGACATGCGATCCATGTTGACATACGATTCAAAAGTAAACACGTGCTGCATGATTGTTACGTCATTTTGCAGAGAATTTTGCAAATTTAATTGAACGGAACAAATTATCCATTAATGTCACTCTACCTAAAGAAGAAAATGTGCAAAATTTATTCGCTTTATAGGGTTAATTAAATTGGCGGAAAATCACGTAACAACAAAAAGTAATTATTACTAATATCATCGCTTTCAGTACCTTCAATTTGATTTGTATTAATATGATTTTCATGGAATAGCATTTCTAACTTCCTAATCAGGTGTTGAATTATGGTGAAATTTTGGTAAATATCAATTTTTTGGTTTACATTTTAATACGTAGGAAATATGCATTATCATCGTATTAGTTGTCGATAACAATGTTTATCTTGTCATATAACGGAGTTAATTAGTGGAATGTGGCGTGGTTGGCAGCACAAGGTACCGCAATGTTTGTATGTTAGTACAGCGTGGATAGTAATGGGCAGTGTTGATTTTTTTTTTCATGGATTGTATATGATATCTTCATTATTCCTATTTATATTATTCTTCATTCAGACTGCAGAGGTTCTATGTATATACATTTGGCAGTGTTTATCTTTAGTTTGAATTTGTTAAAGGTTCGTTTAAATAAAAAGGTGCAATGTAATTACCACAATACCCCCTATATAATACAGTGTCTAATGAATTGGATAGTGATTGACGCAACGAATAATTTTCAGTCTTTCACACATACGTAAAAATAACGTGATCTCTTTCAACGAAATAGTAAGTATATTTGTGAGCTTTTGTTAGACCGGGGTCTAACTTCTTCAAACAATACAAGGTATAACTTAATTAATCAGCGAATACATATAATCGCTTTATAGAGTAAATTAAATTAGCAAAAAATCACATAACAACAAAAAAGTAATTATTACTAACTATCATCGCTTTTAGTATCTTCAATTTGATTAATATTAAAAATTAAGTTATATCTTGTATTGTTTGAAGAAGTTAGACCATGATCTAACGTAAGCTCGCAAATATACTTACCATTTCGTTGAAAGAGATCATGTTATTTGTACTTTTCACTTTTATACTATCTCGTTCAAGCATCCTTGTGGTGAGTGCCGCATACGGATCCGAAGTAGAAAGTAATCAAGGAGAAAGGACCTGCAGTTCAATACACAATATCCAAGTTCCCTTATAACTTTCATACATAGTTACGTAATCATGACTGCTTTTCTATGAACCTACTTCAGCCTGGAAGAGAAAACTTCATTTATTAGTGCATAATGTTCAGAGGTTAGGTAGTGGGATGAATGACAAGTGATATCCATCGCAGATGTCGAAGTGAGTATCAGGGGTTATACGAGAAAATAAACTACCTAACCTTCATCTCTATGTCTATGCTTTGATAGATCCACATGCGTATATTGCAAGGATGCTGTAGAAAGTATAAACTAAGTGTGCAGCAAGAGTCTGAATCAGTTAGGAAGTGAGAAAGCAATTAAGCAGATTTATATTAGAGTGTAAAGATTTATTTATAGAGAGCTCTGACTCTGCTTAACGGTTCTGCTCCAGTTCGTTTTGTAAACAAACAAAGCATGTAAACAACTTCCTGAGTTAATTTTTTTTATGGGTAACATTAAATTAAACTAGTTGAAATCAGAGCTATATATGTAAAAAATTCGGAATTTGGCCTCATTGTCCAAGGCAAATAACTCAGACAGAGGTACAATTTTTGAACCTATATAGAGTGAGTTGTTTTGAACCATTTATGAAGCAATTAATAAAATAAAAAAATCTGAATATTTAGCACAAAACAGAGTACTCGTACTTCGGTTGTCTCTATCGCCCTTTTTAAATCTTCGACAAAATTTTTGAAAATTTTTTGCTACTGGCAACATAGGTCTATTATATATAAATTAATAATATATTGATTCTTTTGAGAACTCCGCATGATGAGGGTGGATTTACCTCTCTTTGCAATATTGCTGGCTACTATTTCTCAGGTAGGAAAGCTCTATCAACTCATTTGAAATAACCAGAATGGGTGGAATAACTATAGAATATAATTTAAAGTTCCCAAAAAACTAATTAAGTGCAGCACCAAAACATAGCATTGGAATTTTTACAAAATGTAATACTGGGTCTGATGATGGACGCGTTAGGGTAACGATGTTGACATCAAAGGATAACTCGTCGACCGAGTAATATGTGTTTCAATGCAACGATGGATTATGTAGACAGAGCCGACTTGAGTTACAATAAAATTTAGCACATTATATATTCAACATCTCTTATCTAAGGCCTCGTTTGTAACTAAGGCACAAGAACGTCTCATAAAAACGGTTGTGATTTTATTAGTATTCATATTATCGAATCAAATTGCATAAGCTACTAAGTCGAGAAGACATGATAAGCATATTACGTTCTGTGACCTCTCGTTCAATTAGCAAAGGCCCAGCCCTGACGTAAAAACAAAAATATTTACTTGTTCCAGATATATGCCGATGACGGGCTTGAAAAAGCAACGATTCTCACGTTTATAACTATTGTTTATAAAATTTGAGCCTGTGGAAGCTCACACAACAATTAGCGAAACGATGAAAGTGTGTTTTTGAAACGTATATCCATGAAGCAGTCAATCTCTGTGAACTTCTTCTTGAAATATGTACCAGCTAACGTCTTTCATGTGAATCTTCATTGCATTATTGCTAAATACAATTTCTTTGATTTTAAGGTTCAAAGCAGAAATGTACCGCCTATGGACGTTGTTAATAGACGCGTCAATGAAGGACTTATTGCAGGTACAGAATAGGGATTCAAATAAGAAGCAAATTGTTTATATTAATCCCGTGGCCGTATAGGCAAGAATATGTTGAATTGGTTCATTTGAAACTTTAATGTTTATATATTCAAATTTTTTTTTTCCTCCCAACTGCAAACCCATCATTTCACACAGAATGCAAAAACTGGGTAAACTCTACCAAACTATTAATAAATGGACCATTTCGGAAACTAATTTATGGCCGTAGCCGAAGCGGAAGGGCGAGGTGATGATCGGACATCCCTCACCCCTCAAAAACAAAATTTTATTTATGTGCCATACATACCCATTTTCCGTGGCCGGAAACGCTTTTTAGACCCTCAAGACCCTTGAAAAACCGTGTTTTCCGGCCCCTGGCCGGATCGCTATCTGGTACGGTCTACCTTGGTAGTTCAAACTTTCAGAACCAACCACGCCTTTTACTATTTTTGGCCTATGATCCTGATTCATATGTATTCTGTGCACTATCCAGATTCACAAAATGAAATTCCCGCAATTTATTGAAAGAAATTTGGGTTTCCTATTAATACTAAAACATGCATATTCGAGGACTATTTGGTAGCTTCTCCATCTATTCCAATATATACGTAATTAAGCACGAAAGTGCATATATAAAATACAGGGCAGCGTAGAAAATCTTGGTCAGAATACCCATTATTAAAGTGAGAATCCGTGATTAATTAAATAGACGCCTGAAAGGTTCAATCATACCCGAAAACTCACGTCGCTCTAGACTTGTGTGTACCAATATGGAGATAACAATCAATTTGCGTAAAGGGACTGAAACCTACGGGCAGGTGGTACATTTACTTGACTAACACAGACAGTTCCCTAACTCGTAATAGAACTAAAGAAAAAAAATCGGAATAAAGTTATCGCCGAACCCTAACCTGTTACACATACGGGAGTACCAAACACACAGGTTGTTACAACATATTTTTGATATAATATTATATTACATTTTCTTGCAGACACATATAGTGAAGGGAATATTTTTGACATCGAACCTTCTCTGAGCATCCCAGATGTCAATGCCCGTAAGTATTTGAAAAATTGATTTTTAATATTATTAGGTTGTTGTCACTGGTACACGTTCACTACACTGCCATTATGTTTACATTTTACCAAGTATTTAAATTGAAAAAACCTTTTTTTATTAAATTTTATATTTTATGGGACTTTATTTAAAAGTTAAATTTTCAGGTTGTTGTCACTTTTACACGTTAAATACACTGCAGTTATGTTTACATTTTAACAAGTATTTAATTTGAAAAATACTTTTTTTATTGAATTCAATATTTTATGGGACTTTATTTGAAAGTTAAATTTTCAAATGTCGAATCGAAATTAATAGTTATTTTTCGCCTTATCATAATACACACAAATCGTAATAGAGTTCTAATTATTAGAATTCATTTATTAGAAAAGAGAGCTAAATTTTCGTTAGTGCTGCTGGAAAAAAATGGTATTTCAGCGCAAATTATATAATCAATCTATTTCGATTTTTTTATATTTGAAATGGACAAATTCGCCAGTGGGCTATCGTGTTTAGAATTTAAATTTTTCCTCCTAGTCTATTCCCCCCAATAGTTAATGCGAAGTTTTGCTGTTTCATTATAAATCATGGCAGCGCACTCTCTACAGAAAAGAACACACTTTGTTTTTTAAATCTTCACCACTACTGTCACGTCGCATTACTCTCTTGTTTCATAGGTGAAGGCGTACTGGGGCAACTCAAGGAAGGTGACTTGATGCAAAAGGATACAAGAAATACTATAGTGGATGATGAAGATTACAAGGATTACTTCTGGCCAAACAAGACAATTCCAGTTGCTTTTACCAATGCAACAACGCTGTTTGTAAGAATAATAAATATTTCAAAAACGTTTTTTCAAGACAAGGTTTTGCGTATCCGTTAATCAATGTGTAAAAAGCTATTAAGACATATATAATTATGGCGAAGTATTTATTTCACATTGATAAGGCCGATTGGAGCGAGATTCAAAGTTTAAGGTTGATACAATAGGGAAAACATATTTTCTCATGTGAATTGTACCAAAACTGAAGAGAGAGAAATATATAATTTGTCATATAAAATAATAATATTCAAGAAAGATCAATCAATTCAAGAAAAAGATAAGAAAATTAACGCAAAGACCTAGTGGTTGGGGCTTTTGGCCCATTTAGGTTGCCAATAATTGTTTAATATCTCGGATTTAAAATTCGTGCCCCGCATCTAAAATAGAGTGTATTAGACTTAGAGAGTGTATAGGCCATAGTGTTCGCAAATACGAAGCCGAAAAAATCTGATCTATGCAAACATAGTAGCTTAAATTGATTAGTGACCGTCCGCAGAGAGCCTTTTAGGAGTAAAAAAGTCAAAACAACTGAGATTAAATTTTTGTCTAACCCTATATCTTCAACTAACTCTTTGCTGTTATATAAAGTTGTTCTTGTCGAATCTTTATTGTCATGATATATAATAAAATAGTTATATTCGACCTAGAAGATAATTTGTGGTAATTCTCTGTGACAGGGCAAAGCAGCTATAGATGAAGCAAGACGGGAGTATGAACTACGTACTTGTTTGTCTTTCCCTGCCAGAACTAACGAAGAAAATTATTTAATATTTGACCAATCGTCGGGGTGAGTAATGCGAAACATTTCTTGAGTCGAAGAAATGAATATTTTATAAAATTTAAGTGTTATATATATATATTGGTGTAATAAAACAAGGTCATTGCACTAATTTCAAAGCAATGAGTTCCCTCCTGTGAGCAACGTTACAACTGGAATGATACGAGTTAGTGAAACGAAATAAATTTATTCTAGCTCATTGCACGTCAGTGAATACCAAAATGGCAATAACACAGACAGTTTTATTGACAATAAATGTTGAGGAGGCAAAATATTTAGGATTTTATCAATCGCATGGGATGTAGTACATTTCTTTATATATTTTTTTGAAAATCGTCATAACTAATATGTTTTGTTCAAATATAATGCGTGATCTAATGTTCTCGTCTCGGTATCAACGTGCAATAAATATAATGTTCGAATGATAGAAACATGTTGTCATTGCTAGCCATACCAAAAATATCTAATGATAGTAAGCTTAGGCTTTTATACCCCAAACTTTTATTTTAATTTGAATTTTTTTTGAGCCGTAGACTATTGAAATAATTGTTTGGCAACGCCAACAATAAAATATTTGGCAATCGGCGCTAGAGAATTTTATGTACCAATATAGGGGTAACTCTTTTTGTTTCCTACTCTACATCAAGTTGTATAAAGGGACGGAAACCTATGGGTAGAGGGTATGTATATTCACTTGACCAACACAGACAGTCCCCAAACTCTTAATAGAACTAAAATAAAGAAAATAGAAATAAAATTATGGCCAAAATGGCCGAAACTCCACCAATCGAGAGTATAATAAATTACGTAGACAATTCCAAACCTGTACGATTTCAGTCGTTTCGAATTAGAAGCTTGCTTCATACATTTCAATAGCTGCTTGTACAGGGTCTTTGTTCGGATGAGAATTATTACCGTGGAAAAATATAAATTCTCGTGTTTTTATCTTATTTAGATGCTGGTCCTATGTCGGAATGCAAGGAGGAGAGCAGACCGTTTCAATAGGTAGAGGGTGCGAAGATATGTCCACAGTTGAGCACGAGTTAATGCATGCAATTGGAGTTTGGCACGAGCAGTCAAGAGCTGATAGAGACGATTATATTGAAATAATGTGGGACGCTATATCACCAGGTATAATCGTAATAGATATAATATGTAAGAGTTATACTTCAGTTATGTGGAGTACTTTACCCCACAGCTGCTTTACTTATGTATGGTCTTGGTATACAGAAGTTTAGGCGCGCAGGCTCGAGTAGGAGATACGTTTATCAACAACACCCAAGGACCGAAGGCCTTGATTACCTATTTCGTTAATGAAAGCGAAGTATTTTGGAATTTTGGTATTATTATAATTAATGAAATTAGCAACAATCTTAAAATTTCCAAGGCAAACGAAACAACACCATCCTTGATTTTTATGGGGTACATTCGGTATAAAATCTATACCTTGTGAATAGGACTCAATCGACATTGGCCGATGCACATTGCACCATCATAATCCTACGTATCTCGTAACTCTTGGCATTTCAGTGGTTACCATTAGCCTTTATCATACGCGATTCTTTAATATTGAGTAAGCGTACATAAGGAATTTTTCAAAAACTATTGTTGTGTTGTGATTATTTGATGTTGTGTGTTTATATTTGACGACATGATCTTATTCTTGAAAATCTTTGGCATTTGCATACTTCATAGCTTCAGTTGAATTTTTAACTCCCGACACGGATATTTAACTCTGAAATTATTAAAGATACGGTTCCGTAATTGAACTATGTTGCTGTCAAAAAATGTTTTCTTCATATTTATTATTTTACTCTTGCTCCATATTTAACACATTTTACATCTATATCTACAGATATGGCTTACAACTTCAATAATTACCCATACAACGTGACCGATAACCGGAGAGTTGCGTATGATTTTGATTCTGTGATGCATTATGGAAAAACGGCCTTCACGTAAGTAAATAAAAAGAAATCAATTTTTAGAGAGAAATACAATAAATCTACTCAATGAAATGTCTCTAAGATACGCTTATTGATCGTTTTTGGTGCGAATTTGTTAAACTATGCTTGAGTTCACTTAGGATTAAGTAAATTGGTTTATTTCTGTTTTGGGAAAACCCGACTCTCTTATATGGCAATAAATATGGTGGTCGTATATAGAGAAAATGTTAAAAAGGAAATTGATAAAGAGCAATTGCTAGCGAAAAAAGCAATCTTCGACGTAGAGGATTCCAGCAATCCTCTCGTACAAATGTTAGATTGTAAGAAACCGTTGGTCAATTATTATTTGGCTATTTCTATGAATGGCGAGTATCTTACAGTAGGTCCGATTTTCCATAGCGACCGTACTTTACTACGTAGATCGTGTATATTAAAGTAAGGAGCTGAGTTTCAATTTACCTACGCGACCCCGATTTGTAACCAATCCAACGTCATGGATCGGTGAAGATTATTTCCTTTTATTCTTTGTTCTTAAAATCCCGATATTTTGTAATACAAAACAGTAGTACAAACACACTCGATATCACAAGTTTAATTATATAATATATGTTTTCTTTACTTGTCTATTTATTTTTTATTTTGGTGTAGCGGAAAAATTGAACCGTGGCTTTTGTTGTCTTAATATACGGCAATATATATTATTACATTCTGACCATATTTTAATTTACTATCAATTTAGTCCCAAGCAAAATCCAAAATAAATAACTTCTCGGCGCCTTTTCTGTCGCAAGTTTTATGCAAACATATTTACATAAACTAGCAATGTTGATTCAAAACCCTCAAACACCCCCATTTCAGTTATTATCTTGTTGGCAAACACTAACGATACTCATATGATTAATACACATTGCGCGTTTTATTTACACTAATGAACTGACCTCGTGCGTGACAAGCTTCTTACGTCATTTGAAATAAACCGCTAGTAAATGTCGCAATGAGGGTGTCTGTTGTAGGGAGTATGTGCTTGTTGTTTCAGTATGTTGACGCTCAAAACAATTATTTAATTCTCTATATTTTATCAACTATTTTTGAAAACCTCAATCTTTTTCATACCCATAGTCTAATGGTGACGCTTAACTATGTTGGTGTTGCTACCAGAATTTTAATCATTATTTATCAATCTGGTAGGATTGTAACGAGGTTAAAAAAACTAAATAGTAAGTTACCTGTATATCAGTGATTATTTATCTATCCCTTTGTTTGGAGAAATTCATGAATATATCTTATGAAAAGCAAGGCCATGCCGCCCGTATTTGTTGAAATATTGGCAAGTCAACGAATTAAAATTGCCGTCTATAAATTATATACACTATGAATGAAGTAAACTCGTTGTATCTTTCACATTGGATGTTTTATATCATAAGTATTTTCAGAATTGAATTTTCATGTAGTATAGGATTTCTTATTCATTTAAAAAAGAGGAAAGCTGACAAAATGGCTTAATTGTAAGACGGATTGGTAACCAGGCCATCTTGGGGCAGTTTAATAACAAACTGTTACTACCTTTTGTACTAGAGTTTAATTTCCAACAGCAAACTCAGTTTATTATTTTTGACAGTTTTTTTGATTTTTGACATGAATAATATTTCTTTCTTAGGGAGGATGGAAATATAACAATCAGAACACGTGACCCAAAGTTCCAAGACGTGATTGGTCAACGCAGTACGTTCAGCCCAGGTGATGTGACAAAGATCAAAAGAATGTATGATTGCAGTAAGTAAAATTGTTCTTTATTAGGATAGGATTTACATATTTATTCATGGGGATAGGAAAGCCGATAAGACGACTCAATCATATTGAAAACCACGGCCTCTCGTCGGTTATCAGTCCATGTCGGGTATGGGATTAGTTAGCCAGTTATTTTTTTTCGGAAGCATGGACTTGATAGAGAAGGATGCCATAACCGACTGGCGGTTACGTGAACCACCCTACGGCGGCGAGGAGTCCAGCAATCCGAGGAGTCCTCGCACAAGACTATCCCCGCATTGGATTCGAAACTGCGAACCCATGCAGGGTAATCAGAGGTGCGGTGGCGAGCGTATTTCTGACGCTTAGCACGATGTGCCACACCGCCGAGCCAACATACTTATTCATCAGAAGCTGACTTCAGTAACTTGTTTTCTGGTATTTAGCTCACTATATATATTCAAACCTAAAAGGTTACACTAAATCTCGGGCGTATATTTGAAACCATACTAAACCTAACTTATGGGTTTTAGCATCCGCATATAGATTGAACCCGCGGATATACACATGGGTTCAAATGTACGGTCACCATTATTTTGCACTGCCACCCTAACTAATATTTTGAGGCACATAACTAAAAAAAGTTGTGTAATTTCACTACCTTTTGGTCTATCCGAGGTTTCTATTATACTTTGTAGTACGTTTTTTCATTGTTTTTGAATATATGTGGTGCCCATAAAGTCTTTACAAAACTTTAAAATCGCAAAGGGAATTTATCAAAACCATATGTTGCTTTGGTCCGTACAGATAGATGTATTGAACGAGATAAAAATCCCTCATTTTTTGATTAAAATACTTCAAACATGGTTAGGCTACATAGAAAACTGACTTCGTAACAAAATTTAAATTGTAAAGGGACTTTCTTTATTATTCACTTCTTCTACTAAATTCATTTATATATATTTTCTTTATCAAGGTGATACCGTCAGAATCAGTAATACCGTAAATTATGAAGAAACGAATGCTGGAGGGTATTCAGAAGACAACAGTGACGTCATGTGGTTACGTCATAACATAGAAACGTCAGACGCATCTGGTCCCACAACCAAGTATTTACCAAAATTTGATTCGACGTTTGGAACACAGGGAGAAGGTAATGTGTATTATAGAAATATTGGAGCATTTAGTATATACAGGGTGTCCAATAAGTCTCTTTAAAATTTCAATTTTCATTAGGTCAGTTCTAAATGTATTTTAACCAGGTTTGTTGTTTTTAATCAGTAATTGTTCAAGTAATTTTACTTCATTTTTTCACATCGGTGAGGACCAAAACAATATATGGTATCGATAAATTCTCTTTGCAATTTCCGAAAAATGTTAAAGAGTTTATGAACACCCTGTAAATATCTTTCGGTAGATTTCAAAACTAACTGACCTAAACAAACTTAAACGATAAAATGAATAAAAAATCGCTGCCAGGAAATTTAATTCATACATTTTAAAAAATGCAAAGAGACAAATAAACTCTGAGACACATATTTTTGTCCCACACATCTTTAGGATAACTAGTAAAATAGAAATTTACGACCTCGGTATTATAAATACGCTTGGCATCAAACTTTACACATACATATTTTTCTATTCATTGAAAACTATGACTTTTCTGAGTGAATAATGAACAGAATTATTCAACTTTTTATAAGTCAATTCAAGTCAAGTTATAAATTAACAAAGAAAGTATTATTATTTTTCGGTAATACTGATCTGACCGCTTCATTAACATACCTATTTGTGAACTTCGAATTGGCCTAACCTGGCTCACAAAACTTAGAATTCGCAGAAAAAAGTTTAGAAAATAAATTACAATTTAGGATGAATAGAATTTCCTCTTTTATAATAAATACGAAAGTGATTTAGGTCGCACTGCATCGCTTTGAGTTCTTGGGTCATCTGAGCCTGTTGTAGTGTAATTTCATCCTCAATTTCGCTCCTATTGTAATTCACGATCAAATTATCTAATAATATTTTCTAGATTGCTTTAGTACGTTATAAGATTCCCGGTACAATTCTTTAAACATCAACATTTTTTAATATCGCAGTGTTTTTATAAGTCATTTACCATTTCCATCTTCATCCGTGCATTGGTATTATTTCTACTGAATATTCTTTCACACAGGTAGCTTCATGTACCTTGATACCTCGACCAAATTCCCTGGACTTTCTGGAGGAATGAAATCGATGCGTTATACAACTACTGTAGAGAAGCAATGTCTCGAATTCTCACACTATATAAACCTAAATGAAGGAAGCGGGGCCTCAATGGCGTAAGTACGCAAATATAAAATTGGCCTTTTTGACTCCAGTTCCGTCAAGATCGGTGTATCTCAATGTCAGTCGTATATTTCATATAATATATCCAAAACCATTCTTTTTCTTACAAAACATGTGGCTTCGATTTTATTTCAAACCTATTTTCTGAGTAAAAAATTATTTACTTCAATTCACGTTTCATACCCATTCCGAAAATTATAATTTCGCAATGATGTGCCCAGTGGTTAGAGCGTTGAACGTAACTACCTGAATAGATTTCACGTCTTTCAAATGTATTTGCTCCATACATATTAGTGATTGTTTCTACAAATCCGTGTTCGGGGTGTGGGAACTTCACGATAAAAAACGAGGTATTAAAACCTCGTCAGCTACAAATCACTGAGTGTAACCGCGGGCAGCATCTTCAATTTAATATGTACTTTTTTGTAGTTGCAGGCACAAAGGTATATTGGTTATTGTTCCTGTGGCATGAGTTGTTCGCTTTTCACAAGCTAGCTGTTAGGTCAATGCAAGTCATAGATAATGATTTAGACTCGGATATAATTAAAGGTATTAGAATTACTCGCACAATTTCCCCTTATGGACCACATTTGGCACGCGGGCCGCAGATTGCGAACCCCTGGTAAACAGTATTACAGGATTTTCTGTGTTTTTTTGTAATTTTTTGTTTTTGATAATATTAAAGCAGTTATCTAATTGCAATAAACTAGTCAACTACATTAATATTTAGAGTTTATCTCGCCACGCTTGACCCCGTATCAGGGGAAATCACTTCGTACGGTCAACCGTTAAAAATGTTTGGTGGCAAATCGATTGGAGCTCATGATGTTGAATGGAACGTGGAACGAATGACAATTTCAGCTCCAGAATCGTTCAGAATTGTCTTCTGGGGAAAGACAGGTACGTCGCATTAGGAGATACCTCAAAGTCAGATTGGCCATTACTGTTGACTTTTTGGCAGTAAGAAGCTAATTGGGAGAAATACAGAAAATAATTATATATAATGTACTTTACAATGGGAAAACTTTCGTCCATAACTGAGAAACATTTTATCTACCTCGATTCTAACATTATCTCTCACAAAAAACTTGTATTACTCGTCTGTTTATATATATGACACCTCCCGTGAACTAGTCTAAATGAAGCAATTACGAGTTATTTTAAAAGCCACAGTTTTTATATAGCCCAGTGATAAAAAAAACGTAGTGGTGGGAATGGGATCCTTAAACTAAAACTTCAGCTAAAATTGTTTGATACCGCAATTTTTTTATATTGGTCTTGTTTGGGTCATAGGTGGATTCTATAATGACATCATTGCCGTTGATGACGTCAGTGTTTTGGACAAAGAATGCGATATTTCATTCTTCACCGTACCCCAGTATTCCATGATGGCTGATATGTACGAGGTTAATGAGTATTCTACGAGTCCGATAATGTACACTGGAAACCCTGGATATGCTTTTCAAATTATGGTATGTGTTTTTCACTAGTGAAGATTGTTTACCCAATGGGAGTTCTCATTTTTTCCCCATAGAAGAAATGATTGAAGTATTGAATGCCACCACCAGTTATCTAAGGTCAAGTTTTGAGAAATTGAAGAAAACTTATACTACCTTTTTAACTCCTCTTACCGTTTTATTAACACAATTTGGTGAATATAGCTGTAAACTTCGATGGGAAAGTCATCTCCAAAACAGCTTTTTCTTAATAATGTTTTCATTCCAAAATTTCGCTCTCTCGCTATAAAACACCCAATTTCCTGTTGTGCAGAAATCAACACCTTCTAGGTGTAAAGAACCATTGACGCTCTATGGGCTTTAGATGTCATTTCCTTCTTCTCTGAATAGATTTTGTTATGTGATTTACACATCTAAGATTAAATTAAACTATATCCGATGTTATGGTTGTATAGAATTTTGAATTTTACTTAAATATAAATTGCTAATATTATACAATATTAAACCGTACTGTTGAGAATTAAACTGAAATAAGCCTCTTGTCTAATTAATGTCACATTCTCCTGTCCCTCAACAGACAATTAAGAAAATAACAATTAAATTTGAACAATAAAAAGCAAATTTTATTTGCTGTTTTTAAACTAGTATATATATTTGTTTTAGATATATCCTAACGGCACACAATCTGCAGTCGACGCTGGAAACCCGGGCTACTTTGGCATTTTCTTTCGTCTAGTTGGTGGAAAATATGACGATGAGTTAGAATGGCCTTTCAACAATCAGTTTGTTCGACTTGTCCTCACTGATCAAGGCCCTAAACCATTATCTAGAATGAACCATTATAGTAATTTCCTCACCGACTCGGCTTCTCCTTTTTTCAGGGCTTACCAGAAACCATCTGGATTGGGGGTAAGTTTTAACCACATTTTGTCCGTGTTTATTTCGACAAGATTTGTTCTATACTGAAAATTTTTTTGCTAAACTATGTGATATTTATATTTAACGGGGTGTCTCAAAAGTATGTATTCACTTTTAATTTTTATTTGCTTTTCATGTACTGATCAAAGAGCGTTCATTTCTTTAGAACACATGGTATGGATAAGGAGTAAAATTTGGGTATTGTTTGCATTTTTCATCAACCCACAGAGTGACAAAGAGATTAACCCTCGAAATGAGGTGCAATATTGCTTTTGGGCAATAGGCATATAAATCAGCATGAAAAGTGAGCGCCACTTCAGAGAATTTGGTATAATTCGGTTACTACACGACAACCGATTCATGCGATTCAACGTAAATTTATGGAAACTGGATCTGTAGTTGATGCACAAAAATCAGGACACCCAAGGAGCGGACGCTCTGAAGAAAACATTCAGAGCCGAATTATTCCCAAATTTTCTTTTGAATAGGCGTTAAATTTTTTTACTTATTTATATGCTTTTTGCCAAACAGCAATTTTGCACCTCATTCCTTGGGTTAATCTCTTTGTCGTTCTGTGGGTTGATGAAAAATGCAAATAATACCTAAATTTTCCTACTTATCCATACTTTGTGAAGAAATGAACGCTCTATGCTGAGTACTTGGAAAAGCAAATCAAAATTAAAAGTGTATACTTACTTTTGAGACACCCTGTATACATATGTAAACTGAAATTTGTCAACCAAGTCAAATAGTGCTGTTAGACTGCAATATGGTTAATTGCGAAAATGTGAAAATAGTGTTTTATCCGAATATAACAGCCAAACATAACTTAACATAACAAACAAAATTTTATTCATAATTCTAACTTCGGGAATAAAATTACGACTTGAGTAAACTTGAGACTTTGAACTCTATTGCCATGCTTTTTGTTCGAGATTGAATAGGTAAAATTGGCGTTGTCGTATTGTTTTCCATGTTGTTGTGGTGATGATTGTTGTTGTTGGTAAAAGTCGATTTGCTCCGCGAAAATGAACAATTGATTTATAATAACAGTATCTAAGAGGGAACAATCCAACTCCGGAAGTAAAAAGCAAATGGACTCTTACTACCATTTAATAAACCTCAGACTCCAATTGTTTAGCGCTGATTTTATTTCGGGATTGAATAATTTTGTGTCGAGTAAATTCGTGTTTTATAGGTAATTTCTAGTAATGGACCTAACCAAATTAACAAAATGACTAGACTCAATCGGCCGCCAGAGTGACTTTACTTATTTAGACTTTGAAATAACAAAATGAAAGTCATTTAAATAGAAAAAGGGAATTTAATAATGGATCGTAGTAGGTCATTTACCATAAAAAGTGCCCAATAATCAAAGAAGTTTAGATATGAAATGTTGCTAGATTGCTTTTATTATTCTTGTTGCTGTAGTTGTGGTGATTATTGGTGTTGGGATAAAATTGCGTACATATTGACCAAATGTTCAATTAACTTTAAGTTTTAGATTTTTGTATTTTACTCTGTCGCGATCAAACGCTTCCGTCGTGCTTTTTTCAGATCTTTTCAGCAGATTCTATGATTTAGGGTTTTGCCGTACATTTACCGATGTGCGACTTTCGTGTCCATATAATTAAGTATTGCTCTGTTTTAATTTCAGTCTTTCAATGATGCTGTCGGTTACCGATACTTCATAAGCAAAGAAGGTTTCCACAATAGAAGGTACCTGAAGCATGATGTGGCATATTTCTCAGTACAAGTTACAGGTAACCCTCAGAGTTTTTTTTTTTACCAGATTAATGTTGTCCAAATAAGTTGCATCACGCCTGCCTTACGAGTTGTCTCTCTAACCTTCCTGTACATTCTAACCATAAACACATATCTTGATAAAACGTAGTATGTAGGAACACAAGACTCGGCCATAAAAGTCTATCATTTTTTTTTCTAGATATGCGTCCTTTTGAAAATAGTGACGAAATATCGGCTCAACTGGCAAATCCAGTAGTGAGAAATCGAAGGAATCTTCCAAATTCATTGCACTATTCCATGGAGTACGAAATGGACGAGTTTCAGTCACCTCATAGCCATCACCATAGCTACGACACTGATGACGCAGGTGATAATGAAATGATCTCAGTCAAAACAGCTTCGATCATTATCATTGCTACATCAGGAGCAGTATTCTTGTTCATGGCAGTTCTAATTTGCCTCGTTGCTTCATCTTACAAAAGGAAAATAAAGCAAGCGCCAGTTATCATGAATAACGTAAGGTAAGTAAATTTTAATACCTCAAATAATTACTGATATCTTTATTATTATTCATCTTCGCGAGGGACATGCCAGTTAGACAGAAGGGGGCGGGGGGAAATGCCATAATTATTTTGGTGAATGCCTAATCCACGACCAGTAATAAAATAGCAATAAATTGTCTGGAGAGGGTGAAGCAGTAGGAAGTAGGGAGAATAATAAGCTAATTTCGGTATAAAGTTACAATTCTGATTATGTACTACAATTATTTGGATAAAATTGGCAAAATAAAAGTAAAGTTGTTCATTAAATATTTGTGTGTAAAAAACTTTACCATTCTTAATACATCCTTGGTATAATGTGGTTACTGAATTAAACTATGGGAAACAAGAGAGAGTGAGCAAAATTACAGACATATGTACTCGAATCTTAGCACACTAGCTCCACTTTGCTCTCAATTGGTTTTGCATGTAGTGACTAATAAAACTAACTTTAAAATAACATTTTCATTTTTATTAAGGTACGGTCCTGGGCTTGCTAAAGACACATCTGTAAAGTACGCTGATCGCCCACCTATCATGTAAATCGACGATCTATATATTCATATCATTCATACCGTGTTATATCAATCTGTGTATTTTCAAATTTGATAAAATATAATGGAGATGGGTGAGGTGTTGGTTTCCGTTGTTTTACTTTTGCTGGACTACCTCAAACACATCATTAAAAAAACATATTTACCTTGATGCTGGAGCTAACTAAATGTTTTCACCACGGCTGACCACGCCTTCTCATTAAAAGCAATAAATTTGTAAAGCCGATTCATCTATGCAAAAGTTTTCAAATCAATTACGACATTTTTAATATTTGAAATTATATTACCTTTTTAATTTACATCTATCTATGCATAAATTGCATTATATTATGTGCAATTATTGTTTAATTGGGAAATTAAAATATTTATAAAACAAAAAGAAATGTTCATATTATGACGGCCCACAGTGCCAGGAAAGTGCGTATGCCTATTAAACGTATAGTAGATAATAGGAGTAAGGGTCCCACAGACAAAAAATTTCATTTGTTTATTATAGTTTATTAGTTTTATCTGGTCTTATGATGGTGTGCCTTTCCATTCCAAAATTAGCTGAGCTTCGTATAGAGCAGCGTTCACAGAATGTTAGTAAGAACGTAGAAATTGGACCACATGAAAAACTTTGGTTGATGAGAATTTCTAAATTTGGTTACCACTGCTAGTAACAGTCTTTAACAGCGCCACCTGTGGTACTTTGAAATTTGGTGTCATCGAACTAATAACAATGTTCATCAAGCTCGCGATTAACATTGTTTCATGTGAGACCATAAAAAATAATAGCGGCAGAATCTCTAATTGGAATGCAAAATTTTCCATAATAAGTTGGGAAACTATATATACTAATAACAACCCACTAGTAAAATGCGAAAGCGAGAACAGCGATTTTTTCACGACAACAATTAGAACAACAACAACAACATAATAATAATAACAAAACGATTTATAGGCCCGCTGCATGTCCAGTAAGACTGTTCATAAGTAATTATCCTGATCCCACAAGCTTAGTACAATTCATCGGTTGTTTCTGGTGGTAACATAGTCCTCGGCTTCCTTTTAAGTTGGGTAGAGAAAAATCTGAATTTCTCGCCTTGATACGATCTACAAGTGTTCGTAGAGTGCCAATTTAAAAAACGCAACGTACTACCTTCATAGCTACCTTTAATTTAATGAACAATCATATGTGTATTAACGAAATATATTGGGCAAGCAAGCAATACAGTTATTACCGAATAAGATATATATACAAACTTAACGTCGTAATAATAAATTATTAATGATCAAGCCTGTCAAACTAAACTAAACATCATGAAGCGAGATGCCACTGGTCAGTAAAGATGCTTGAAATTGCCTATTTTTAAACTGGAGCCTCGTGATAACAATTTCAAGTAATGATTTATTGAATTTTTTTTTTAATTTGAACCAGTTTGCATCAAAATATATAACTGATAAAGTGATAGAAATGAATGACCTTTAAAATCAAAATTTGAATATTTACAACGAAATATTGCATATTGATCTATGTTTATTTTAAACTCTGTTTTAAATCAAAATTAGCTCAATAATGCTCACTGAGTAGTGGAGCAGCCGAAATTTGATACAGCATTACAAAAAAAGTTGGTACTGCCGAAAATTGTTAGCCCCATTGTTCGGGGTAGGGTATCTTCATGAATTATATATGAAAACCTATTCAAAACCATAAAATACTGTCATACAAAGAAAGTGTGCAAAAAAAAATAATTGAACAAACACTTTATATGTACAGTTCAAACTTATTGGCAAATGATATTACCAAAATAATGAACTTATCAATTCTACACACTAATTGTGTTTAAACTATATCAATTACGAGGTCAAGTTCACTTCAACTGACTCTATGATATGCTATGATGGGCAAATATTATTCAAATTTTCCTTAAAAATTTATTTATCTTGATGGGCAAGGATAGGGTCAATTTTTATCTTGTAATCGAGAAAAAGCCTGTTATACTTGTATTAATTTGCCTGATTTGAAGAGAAGTGAAACTTTACAATTCCGTAAAGTAGATAATTAAGTAAGAATATCAGACTTCGGTCAAAAAATCTGTAACTATATCGTATTTCTCTATTTATATTGGTGGTTTATTTTTGGCAAACTATAATGGTTGAAGAGTTCATTTTCTATCGAAACATGCTAGAAAAATGTAACTATCAACTTTCATCGTGATGATATCCGCTTTTATTTTAGGAGAATGAGAAATTACTATTTTCTATCATAAAGTAACGATGTAAACTTGACCTGTGGATTTAACAAAAACATTTAGCGGCGTTCAAAAAGAGCATCAAACGGTGGAGGGTCGTATGATACAACGCCGTGCCCCCCACCGAAGAAAGATGGTAGTGGTTTTTCTGGATCGGGCACCACCTTAAGCTTTTGTATTATTCCGGTCAGAAAAATGAAAATTTCCATCCTTGCAAGTTGTTCGCCAATACAGTGTCGAGGACCGATTGAAAACGGGATCACGTGATTTGATTTGATAAATGTTCCGTCGCGGTCAAGAAATCTTTCAGGTCGAAATTCTTCCGGGTTTTCGAAGTGTTCGGGGTCAAAATGAACTGCCCAGAGATTTGGAGCGATCTGAAAAATATTCGAATAAAGCTTTAATAATGATGTATTTGTAATCTATTTCAAATTTGTAGGTGCCATATTTTTTGATAAATATTCCAACGGTTATTTTTTGTTATTAGGTGTTTCACACTTTTGATGCGGCCAAATATCTGTTCAAGCACAAATGTGGGTTCGGTGAAGGCTAGAAAATTTCAAACAGTAATAAATTATCTGCTATGCCAACAAAGTCAATTCTAAAGCTTAGGCAAAACTGAAGTTTCTAATTAGGCACGTTATAGTTTAAATATTCTAATTGATGGAATGCAGATTATCCTCTTTGACTACGTGCATCATTATCATGTATACTGTCAAAACATGTTTCATGTCAATTCAAAACTAGGACATGAACACGAGCTCTTTGTAGATCTGCATCGTCCCTCTTTGTATAGTAACAACGTATAGTAAATAGCTCCCTGTCTTTAAGTCTTGTTCAAACTAAAAATCATGATTTCCAAATACCGGAATAACAAAATCTATTCATTAGCCAACTTACGTTCGTGTCTTTCGGAATAGTGTATCCATTCAAAGTCGCTTCTTCGGTGGTCTTGTGAAGCACGCTCATTGGGGCCAACAATCTATGCCGCATTAGTTCTTGTATGAAAGCACAAGTAAATGGCATTTCATTTCGATGTTTCATTGACGTAATACCGTCCTCGCCTGCAAAAAGGCAAAACACAATAAAAACGAAGGTAAAATTGCTGTATTTTTAAAAGTTTGTCAAATGTCAGTACTAAACGTGAACAGCAAAACGGAAGATTTTGTCCCAGATTTCAAGATTCTGTCCCAGTACGATATTTGTATATTAATGGAGCATATACAAATTTATATATTCTGAACATAGTTATTTATCGAAATAAGCATGCAGTATGTTTCGAGAATAATTTTTTTTTAGTTTCGAGGCCAAAAGTGAGCTGTCGCAAAAACTCAGAAAACTCATTTTGATAAATTATATTTTGAAAAGAATTGAATGAATATTATGAATATTATTATGAATTATTTTTTGAAAAGCCCCTATTTAATCTTTTTTAATTAAGAATAAATTTATTTGGATAATTTGGTATTTCAACTTTTGTTGTGCATATTTATTTCTTTTTCGATAGAAATATGACTAAGTATACATTAGGTTCGATTTGTTCTGTAATTTTGTTGTTCAAGATCAAAAAGTTATCTGCCTTAACATTCAATGTAAAAACGCAGTTATTTGACAATTATATCCCAGTGAAGCAGCATGTATAAAAAAAAATTGATGAAAAAAATCTACTTTATACCCAAAGTTTCCTGGATTTCCTCCGCAATTTTTTCTTGATACTTGGGGTTATGCGCAAGAGCTAACAAAGCCCAGGTTAATGTGCTGCTTGTGGTTGTTGTTCCGGCGTTGAACAGATCGCGAACGAAATAGATGAGTTGCTTTTTCTAAAAATATAATGTGAGAGACAATATAATATAAATTACATTACTCAAATATATTACCTCGTAAGCTTTGCTGGTTCGTCAAAATTGCATCACTTTAAGCTTATAATATTATATTTTTTTTTCTAAAAGTTCATGAATATAAATAATAATAAATAATTTTATAAACTAAAAAGCGACATGGTGGTGTAACAAGCTGGGGAGATTGTGTTTTTCATATGATTAAGAAAATACTGTAAAAATACCAACCACAGAGACCTATTGACAACAAGATCTATGTGATCATTTCGTGTATATTAAATATTGGGTTTCAAATTCAGTGAATTATTGCGCGGCTATTGATAAACTATGCTTACATTAAAAGCACTGTCATCTTTATGACTTTTCTTTATCTCACTGAGAAACGCATCAGTAAAGTCTCGGATGTCCAGTTCGTCAAGTTTCGCCTCGTGTTCCTTTATAAAATCACGCACATATTCTAGAAACCAATTCAGGATACATGTTAATTTCGAGATTATTATTAGCAAATATATAATAGATACGATGGTACTCCCGAAGTATGTGAACCAAGATGTCGGACACCGGAAAGTAGTATGTGTACCAGGTTAGGATTAGGCCATAATTTTAGGTACAAATGCTATGGAATTCACTTGGCTAGTCCCCGAACACGTAATAGAACTAAAATGCGAAAAATTGAAATAAAATTATGGCATAACCCTAACATGGTACACATACTACGTTTCGGTGTTTGCCATCTTGGTTCACATACTTCGGGATCACCGATACGATTGCCTAGTGGATGAAGCGTTAGATTTAACTATATGTTAGCATTGTATGTTACATATCTAGGTTCAGATTTTCCCAAACGCACTTAGGATGATATAATTTCCGTGTTACCCGACCTGTTGATGGACTGAAACTACTCTTGGTTCGCTGGTTGTTTCCAGAAAAACATTCAATTTTTTCCTTTTCGGGGTAAATTTTCGTTTTTTTTTGCATTTGATATTGGAGCATCGCTCGGTATTATTTGTACATGTGGGAAGTAATTCAAGAAATTAAATCTTGGTAGACTATATTTTGCTTAAAGTAAAGATACACCACAATTTCGAAAAGTCGCTGATGGCAAACACGCGCAGTAGTCTCACTCTGAAGTAATTTCTGTCAAAATGACTCTCATGTAAAAATGATTGTTTGGTATATGTAGTTTTTCGCCATGAAAGCACTACATCAAACTCAAGTTTTCGGAAAATTTTGGTTGCTTGAAAAAAGTTGGTTAATATTACATGTCGTTGGATATCAGTGGGGCATTTGTATGATCAGTGCCACTGGCTCTTATACTAGGAGTGATGAATGAAAAAAGATTCTCTTCGTGAAATATTTATTTTCATTTTTAAATTTTCCAGTTCTAACGTCGTGGAAAGAAGAAAAAAAAGGAAAATATAAACTTTTCTAAAATTTTTTATTTCTCTGTAAATGTATCCTAAATGTAGCCTATAATTTTTTATTGCTTATCTGCACAAGTTTGGGTTGAAACAAGCAAATAAAAAGACACGCTGCCGCAATACTACCTGATAAAACCCTAAAGATTTTGACAAATATAGGCAATTATTCTCACCAAGTAAGCATTCCGCATCATCAGCCGTAACCTTTGCAGTATTGCGGAATGGAGGGATAAACCTCAATATAGGAGCCATTGTTAGCGTTCCCATTAAACGAGAATGGGGCGTATCTTCAAAGCTGTGAATTTAAAAAAGATTACAAATGTTCAAAATTACTTAAAATTGATGGAGCTTATATCGGAGATATGTAGGCTGTAGTACCAGATTCGTTTTCCAGTTTAACCCGGTGTGTCCCAAGTTGTTTTATCAAATTTCCGTTTTGAAAATCTTTATTCCTCCCTAACTACGCATAAAAAGTACCCTAATTAATAATGGTTTTTAGCTAGTGTTAAGCAAAAGTCCTGTGTATATATTTAAGCTTTGCTCCTTTGTATTTAAAATAAAACTTACTTTCTTTTCATCATTTCAATTATATGTTTCAACATTTTGTCGTTGTAGTCAAATCTTGAATCTAATATTATCCGACTAATAATATTCGATACTGCCGAAGTCAATTTCATCTGAAAGAAATAAGGATGACCAAATCAAACTCTGTGGAATAGTACAATTTTTGAACTTTTAATTCTGTATTGTGTGATTAAGATTCTTCATGAAATGCATTCGATGTGAAATGCTAAAGATCTAAAACAAAATCTTGAGATCTTCGAATAAATTAGCATACTGAAAATATATGGACACAATACAATACCGTTACTCTTACTAAATATGGTGTGTTTTAATCAGCCAGCCTACTTAAATATTGTAAGATATCAGTGACTGCTCAAGTGGTAACGTTTTTTTCTGGGCGGCGAAGGGCGTGAATAGGCGTCGTATTACTAACTAAAAATATGTCTAGATTTTGGTATTTCCACAATACGCCTAACTTTGATTTGTGAAAAACACAAAAAAGGAACACTTGGATGTTTTTTTTTGTGTACGGTGGCACAAACTAGTTCCGTAATCTATGACATCTTGAACAAAAACTATGTTTCCGATAAAATATGTTTCAAATAACATGGGTTATGTTTTATGTTACTGGTTTCAAACAAGGGGTTCTGCGGCACACTAGGATTCCTCCTATACAGACTACAATGTTTAATTCGAATCCGAAAGTCTATATTATTATATATAATGTTTGAATCTGATCAAATATCTATTAGAGGTTTGCCATTACTATTAAATATGCTACACTTTTAATATCATTTTATTTTGCCAGTATTTGGTTTCCTTCCATATAATTCATAGCATATACAATTCAGACGATATTTCATTTCGATGTTTCATTGACGTAACTCCGTCCTCGCCTGCAAGATAGCACAACAAAATGAAAACAAAATAAAATTGCTGTGTTTTTGAAAGTATGTCAAAAGTCTGAACGTAAACAGCAAAAAGGAAAGAAACTTCAAAATTTCGTTTTACTTCGGAATTTGCAGAAGAATGTAGTATATACGAATTTATACAATATAAATCACGTTATTCATCGAAATAATCGTGCTATATGTTTTAAGAATGAAACTTTTTATTTAATGAGTATAAGTCATGAAACTATTTATCGATTTTTTTTTACAAATAATTAAATGTGCTGAATTGCACCAATTCCATATTCGTAATTTTGTGTTTCGAGCCAAATACATTGTTATCAAAACATATATTCAAGTACATTTTTTTCGAAAATCTCCTGTTTAGTCCAATAGGCTTAAATCTATTAATAAATTGGTTAAATCAAATTTTTTGCACTTCAAAAAAAATATGATTAAGTTTACATTGGGTTTGATTTTTTTTTTTCAATTTCGTTTCTCAAAATCAAAATGTGATCCATTCTAACATGTGTTTAAAACTCAGTCTTTTGACAGTTATATCTAAGTAAAGTAGAAGCCTGTATTAAAAAAAAATCAAAATTTACACTCTTACCCAAAGTTTCCTGAATTTCTTCCGCAATTTTTTCTTGATAATTGGGATAATGCGCAAAAGCTAAGAAAGCCCATGTCAAAGTGCTGCTTGTAGTTGTTGTTCCGGCGTTGAACAGATCTCGAACAAAATAGATGAGTTGGTCTTTCTGATAATAAATTTGAAAAAAAAATATAATTTAAATCGAATGTACTCGAATATATTATCATATATGCTCAGCCATTTCATCGACATTGCTTCACCAGTTAGTGTTTTATTTTTATTTTCATTTTGGTTCTGAAAATTTTATGGGAAAAAAAGTTCCTGAATATGAAACACATAAATAATTTTCTAAACTCATAAGCGACCTGGACGTTCAACAGTCTGGAGGTTTGTGATTCGTCATATGAATATATAAATTAAGCTGGCTCTTTCGTTTTGTTTTTCTCTCTGGGATAAATATGAAAACCATTATTTATCATAGCAGTGACACTTGTATTACAATTTTATTTTCTTGGAAAGAACAGTAAGAGAGACGTATAGACAACAAGATTTGTATTGTCACTCTGTGTACAATTTTAAACTAATATTGCTCAACATATCAAAATTAAAAGCACTGTCATCTTTATGACTTTTTTTAATCTCACTGAGAAATGCATCAGTGAAGTCTCGGATGTCCAGCTCGTCAAGTTTCGCTTCGTGTTCGTTGATAGTATCACGTATGTATTCTAGAAACAAATTCAAGATACATGTCAATTTAAAAATTATTATTATCAAATATATAATAGATACGAGGGTACTCCCGAATTATGTGAACCAAGATGGCGGAAGTTGAAACGCATTATGTGTACCAGGTTAGAGTTAGGCCATAATTTCAGGTGATAAGATGGCGAAATATGGAACGCAGTATGTGTATCAGGTTAGAGTTGGGCCATAATTTTAGGTACAAACACTACGAGAGTCACTTGTCCCCAAATTCTTATTAAAAATAAATAGAAAAATTGGAATAAAATTATGAACTATCCATAACCTGGTGAACATACCACGTTCCGGTGTCCGCCATCTTGGTTCACATACTTCGGTAGCACTGATAAGATTGCCTAGTGCTGAAGCGTTCGATTTGACTATAAGTTGTTATTGCAGATCACATATCTCGGTTCAGATATTTCCATCATCACATAATATCGTAACATTTCAGTGTTACTTGACCTATTGGTGGACTGAAACTACTCTTAGGTCAATTGTTTTTTCAGCAGAAAACTTGAAGGTTTTTTATATTAAATTTTCATTCATTTTGTATTGGAGAATTGCTAGATATTGATTTTACATCTTAAAAGTATTGAAATTTAAATACTTGGTAGTATCTATTTTTCTGGAGTAAAATTGAGATTCAGAAATTACATGTCGTTTGATATCAGTGGTTCTTTTACAGGTCATTGTTCGGAGCCAATGACATGAATAGACCTCTTATAATAGGAGAAATAGAAAAAATAGATTGTTTTGAAGAAATATTTATTTTCATTTTTAAATTACCAGTTCAACATTTCTGGAAACTTATAATCAGAGCAAATAGTGGGGGGGGGGAAATCGTCCTAAAAATACTTTTCCAAAAAATATTAAATTTTAAATAAATTTTAATTATATTATCTGTAAATTTATTGTTTATACCTTTTCCCACCCTATCGTAATATGATCTTTCAAAATTGTGAATTTTTTTCCTGGAAAGTATTGCTTCTCTACACAAGATCGCCTGAAACAGTATTAATCCAAGCTAAAATAGATACACATTTGCATACGTTGCCACAATACTATATATGCCAAAATATTTTAAACTATAGACAAATATATGCAATAATTCTCACCAATCAAAAAGTCCGCATCATCAGCTGTAACCTTTGCAATATTGCGGAATGGAGGGATAAACCTCAATATAGGAGCCAATGAAAGCGTACCCATCTTACGCGAATGAGGCGAATTTTCAAAGCTGTGAATTTTGAAAAAAAGATTAAAAATATCAAAAATTAATGTAAAATTGATCATCTTTATTTGGTCTCTTCTCTTGTTCGATTTTATTTGATATTCCAGAATTTTTGGTGTGTAGCTGGCAGTTTTAAATTGAAGTGATTTAGGTTTTTGATGATTTTGTCGTACATATTCATATCAATCTAAAATTTTTCTTTTTGATTTGATATTCAGCTTTATTTTATAACCGTAAAAGACGACATATACTTTTTTCATTTGATGGAGATATTTTTATTATAATTTCCATTTTATTTACTTTTCCATACTCTCGCTATGAACAAGGATTGCCATCGTATACGAAGGATCTATTTCAGTTAGACAAATCGTGTAATATTTTTTTATACAGAACTCTCTCGCTATGCGTCTCACTATGCGTGAAACGGCTTGTTTATTCAATCTGTAATCTATCTCTAGCTATTGTTGAGCATATGTCGTGCCAATATATTTGATCATTGGTCTCATGTATTTAAAATAAAACTTTTTCTCAATATTTCAATTATTTGTTTCATCATTTGGTCGTTGTATTCAAATCTTGAACCCAATATTATACGACTAATAATATTCAAAACCGCCGGGGTCAATTTCATCTGAAAAAAATAAGAAAGACCAAATTAAACTATGTAAAATAGTATAATGTACTAAATTACGATGCTATATTTGGTGATTAATATTCATACTTGTGAAATTTCTGATATCTTCAAATAAATAAGCAAACCAAAAATATATGGGCAAAATACAGAACTGTTACTTGTACTAAATGTGGTGTATTTTTCATCAGCTAGCCCAAATAAATATCGTTAGTAAATATCAGTGACTGCTCAAGTGGTAAATGCCTCGTCGTTTGGAATTTAGCCTTCCGAAAAAATTTAATGCACGATGCGCCTAACATTGATTTGTAAAAAACACAAAAGATGAAAACTCGAATGTTTGATTGCGTGTGTAAATTTCCGTAATCTTTGACATCTTGAATAAAAACTATGTTCTCGCTAAAATATGTTTCAAGTAATACGGGTTTTGTTAATATTATTAACTTGGCCAACTGATGTTCGCCGAGAAAATGTCACATTTTAAATAGAAGACGGCCCCAAAGGGTATGTTGCTCTTTCACCCGGAAACGCTTACTCACAACATGATCTGACACACAACAACATGACATTGCAAATATTCGACTTTTGCACATTTGCAGATTTTCTACCTCAATCATGTACAAAGAGAACACCAAATATAACCAATAAATTTGCCAACCAATAAATGAGGTAACCTTCTCCCACTATCAAGCTTGTACATTCATACATTCGAGTTACATATTACATATTATTTTACCTCACCTATTGCGTGGAAGCGATGATAAACTGAGATTACTGAGCTTCATTCTTGGTCTGCTGGCTGAGGTTCAAGACCAATTACATCTCCGGGAATATAGTTTGATGAAGTTTGATTTTTAATTCACTCTCAGGACTATATATAAGTTCAGTGCTATTGCCGATTTTTAGTCCTTTTTTGAACTGACATAAACGAACCCAAATCTGGCCCGCTAACCGCATCGTCTCGGTTTGTTAATTTTCAATGACGCAAGACAAAATAATAAGCTATTTTTGCTATTAAATATTTTATCGTATGGAATACAGTTTTATTTTATTTTTTGCAAAATTTTTAGCAGAAAATTAAAAATATTTTAGCAGATACATGATCAAATGAAAAAACAGGCTTGGTCTTTGCAATCGTTATGGGTCTTTAAATATGTTTATTAAAAATGTGTCGTGTTTTTGACCAGCTGCTTCCGTATAAAGCATTAATATGTTGTGATTTTCATTGACACAAAAAATATCTACAATTTTCATTCAGACACCAAATTGAAAATTTTTTGATTCCAACTCCGGTAACGACGTCAGTTTGATCGGAATTTTTAACTCAACTCTAGCTCCAAATCAAAATTTCAAATATTATTACTAAATATTTGGCGCACGCACGTCTTTTTTAAATTGTCCGTGAAAAAATAAAGATATATTTAGAAAAATTTTGCTTTTGTTTAGGAATGTTTAACTTTTATTATTACCATTAGAAGTTTGAAATTCAGGTTCACAAAGCGACAACGAGAAATTCAAAATCTAACTCCTACGGCTCGGACGAAAACGATAAAAACACTCTCCCGAATATGGCTTCAGTTGCACAGTCTTAGACAGACATTGGAGTATCGCCCACTTATATCGAGACATTGTAGAAGAGCAAGTCTTAGTTGAAATTTATTCTTAGCAAAAAGTATAATTTTTCACGGAAATTTACCTTGAGACATTTTGTGTTTTACTTAGACGAAGTATTGCGACATCTGATTGACAAGAAACATTTATTTAAAGTTTGCAACGTGAGCATGAAATATATACAATTTTGTAAGCGCTTAGAATTTGCTCACGTAAGTAATGACCTATATAGGTAGAACACTTTTTGTCAATACATTCCTCTTGTCTGCGGTTAAGGATGTTTACTTAGACGCTGCAAAAATATGATTGCGGCATTTTGTTTAAACAACTTGACAAAAAGATGCAGATCTGTTTGTTAAAAGCCTTTCATGCCTTCACCCCAAACAAGGGTTAGATGTTAAACCTAGAAATATTAAAAATAGCAACTTTCTAATCCCATCAGTGACTTCTTGTATAAGGCAATTCTTGCAGTGAGAAATGTGAAAAGTAATGTAAAATACAATCATCCTTTTTTGACGCATCAAAATCTTGAAAATTTCAAACTTTGAGTGATTTACGCGATTGCTTAGAGTAACTTCCTTTTAAGGTGAAAGGCGTTAAAATCGTCGGATAATAATACAACCTTCCACTGATACTTGTGTCGATACTATGAAGAAACGGTAATCAATCAAGTTTGTCATTTCCTACCCATTTTATTACACCATGAGATGATACGAAATTCATTATTGTTTTGTTGGGAATTTCATTTTTATTAAAGATTATTACATGCAATTGTACACCAAATATTACACATCGATATCATTTATTGTCCTTGGTAACTGTTTTTTGAGAAAATTCTTCATAACGATGCAAAACATAAAAACATTTTCTTATCGGCTAAGGAATTTATATACTTCTTACATGAAAGTCGATTCATGAATATTCAACAATTAAAAAAAGATTATATGGATATTTTGTAGTAATTGCTAAACAATTCCTGTTCCGTCCTGTTAGCAGCGTTAAAAGAGAGTCATGGATGAATTAAACGAATAAATAGAAGTTACACTTACAGTTTTTTTTTGATATCTGTAAATGTTTGTTTTATTACAGAAAATTATTTTTTGTCAAGTGCTATCGTTATAAGTATAGTTTCTGAATAAAATATGTCTTATTTGCTGATCTTCTATGTACAACGACACTTTGTATTATAATAATTTTAATTATTTATATGTATGTTATTGCTTCCAATTATATAAAGCTGATTTTTTAAATCACAAAATACAATTATCGTCGTTCAAAAACGACGTCAAACTGGGGTGGCTCGTATGTGACCATGCAGAACACACCGTCATTGAATGAAGGAAGGGGCTTTCCAGTGCGCGGAAACACTTTTAACTTTTGTAATATTCCCGTCAGAAATACAAAAATATCCATTCTTGCAAGTTGTTCTCCCAGACAATGTCGAGGACCGATCGAAAACGGAATCACGTGATTAGAACTGATGAATTTTCCGTCACGGTCGAGAAATCTATCTGGTAGAAATTCTCTCGGATTTTTGAAATATTTGGGGTCGTAATGAACTGCCCAAATGTTCGGAACGATCTGCAATACAGATTTATATTATTAATGCTGAATCAATATGAATTTTTATTAATTAATTTCTTACTTGTGCGAGTGATGGTATAAACGAAGGGTTAACTCGATGAACATAACCCTGTTGGCATTTCAGTTGAAAAATTATTTTGGAATTCAATGCGTGCGACCTAACCCGGGTTGATTTGATATTGTTTAGGAAAAGACGAACGAAATAATTTTTTTTTAACTTATCGGTGGATACTTTTACGGAGTCTTGTTTTAGAAGAACTTATCATGAGTTTTTGTTTAGAGAGTTTATAATATATGGGTGTAAAATTTTGTGGATTATTTGCCCTATTCTTTTCTACTAGAGAATTCCTACAAGCGATGTCAACATCTAACATTTAAACTAATTTGCTGTCGTGCAAGGATACTTTTGATGGTTATTTGCAAGAAGATTGCTGACAGCTCAACGTCGTAATGCAGTTCTATGAGTTGCAACTTAAAAATACATCTAAAAATTATTTCCATAAATCGTCATATTTATCTTTTAAGGCCGCTGTAATACAAACCGCAAAATAGTAATCAATATATTTGCAAATCCTACCGTCGTATTTATTGGAATATTGTATCCATTCAGCGTCGAATCTTCGTTCGTTTTATGAAAGGCACTTAGTGGGAATAGAGTCCTATGTCTCATCAGTTCTTGTATGAAGGCACAAGTGTAAGGCATTTCATGTCGATGTTTCATTGACGGGACTCCGTCTTCGCCTGTTAGATTAAAAGAAGAATGTTAGAGACAGTATTATAAAAAATTCATTAAAATTAAATGATGACAAGAGAAATGCTGAAATATATATGAAAATACGTAAGGACAAGTGTTACTGACGGAAACGGTGACGTAATGAAAGTTTGTTCTATAATTTTTTATAAGGACAACAATAAAAACAAAAATAATTACAAGGAGAATTTATCAAAGTGATTCAGAGATACAATTCGTGTCCAATATGGTTCATATAGTAAATTTTATTTAAATGTAATTAGGAATTACATCGGTTTCCTTGTAATAGGAACTATGTACATTCTCGTTATTCGAATTGAAATTAAACAACTGTATGCAAACTTATGAAGTTGTTGAATCGATTATGTATGTCTTGCTACACAAATCAATGCCATATTTATTCACTATATTCACTCATAGTGATAAACATGTCCTGGTACAAATTCTCCGAGAACAGTTTTCAGTCGTCGTGCTCGTTTGGATGAGTGCTGAGCTCCTATTTGTTTACTGTAAGTGCTCTAAGTTGAAAAACGAGTGGGAATCGCCAAACTTGGAGATTCAAACGCTAATTTCAGAACTCCAAAGAATCTCAGTTATTGGCCTTGGCCGTTGAGAGTTCTTGTCATGTATAGCCACACTATAGATAACCACAAAGTACTATACTACTTTCAAATATATAAAATGAAATCTATATCTTACCAAAGGTTGTCAGAATTTCCCCTACAATTTTTTCTTGGCATTCTGGGTAAGAGACCAGAGCGAGGAAAGCCCACGACAAAGTGCTGCTAGTTGTGGCTGATCCCGCATTGAACAGGTCACGCACGTACCTGACCAGTTGGATTTTCTGAAGTGAAAATAAGAATACAATTTGCTGATTCGAATAATTTATACAATTCATATTAAACAGGGTTATAAAATACGAGAAAATTTGTAATAAAATTCGACTTCAACTCCAGTTCCGAACTAAAAAAATAATAAAAAAAATTATACGACTTATGCTATCCCTCACTTTGTTAAACTATTGTTAATGTATAGTGAACCTAATGTACTTTGAGTTTCCATGGAAAATCACAATTGATCATATCACTACTGAAAGACTGCAATTTTGAAATCTGAACTTCGGGAAGTATAAAATATACGACTCTCGATTCCGAATCTAACACCACGGCCCTGATATGAAATATCAAATTTTACATTGAAGACATCATCATCTTTTTCTCGTTTCTTCATTTCATTCAAAAAAGCATCAATAAAATCCCGGATGTCTGAATCATCAAAGTTCGAATCGTGTTCTTCTACAAATTCGCGTAGATATGCTAAAATATAATTTACTTTTGTCGTATCAATATTGAAGATGGACAAGAAAGCTCAAATATATAACCACTTAGGACTAAACGAAAGCAGTACTCATTGGAGTAGTTTACCATACCTTTAACATTATCGGTTCCGGTCACCTCATAAAACTTCCGAGTTTCGAATAGCTAGAATCAGCCGTCACGCTTAGCGGATTAAAACCGTGTTCCCATAATTAAAAAGGAATACAGCGAAATTTTGAATGAAATATTAAATCTCATAGGATTCATTGAGAATTGAGAAAGAAATAAAAGTAAAAGCCTTCCGACAAAATAATCAATCTTTCACCACTGAAAATTTAAAAACAATTGGTCCAGTATTCGTAAAGAAAAGCGATATTGTAATGATGAAGAAAAACAACAAGAACAACAATGAAAATACTAAGACAATCCATAGGTCCACTACATGTCCTATAAATAAATATGGAAGATGATGTCTAGCATCGGTTATGATAAATGAGCGACTAATTTGTTTAGAATATATTGGATATCCTTACCTATAAAGCAATCTGCTTCATCAGAGGTAACTTTTACAACATTGCTGAACGGCGGGACAAAACGTAAAATTGGAGCCAAGCTAACCGTGGATAACATGCGAGAATGAGGATTGTCTTCAAAGCTGTTGGTATAAAAAAGTAAGCAAATTAACAAATAACGAAATAGTATGTGGTTGAATTTGTGAGTCAGAGCTAGGATCTTCAGTAAGACTTAAGTTAAGTTAAAGATCGATATAACTTTAAAGTTTTGTTTTGGATTCAGATAGTGCCAGTGCTGTGGTCAGGTATATTTCAATAGGTGATTATGTTTACATATCAATTAAAGAACTTGCTTCGAACAAAAAATCATGAAAAGCATCAAAATTCTTAAATATGACTTTGAGCAATATAGTACATCATAGCCATTTTCCAGTACCTTACCAGAATCGCATACACATACACAGCATACACAGCACGATTCGGGATATATTCATTTTTGTTATCAATGTAAAAGCATCTTTGACAGAATAAAATCTGGGATTTTACGCTAAAAATGTAAGGTAGCGTCCGGATGTAAGACCAAATTTTTTATAAATGATATTTTAAGGCTCACGTCAGTCGGTGTTCACTAACACATTTTTTACTAACGTATTTTTATCTGGTGTCAGTATATCTTCAGGATAACTTAAATATAGTAAATATTTCTTATTCGGGATGTCCGATTTTGCAGGATTTTTTTTCATAAAAAAGTCGCAAAATCACTGTACAATGAGAAGAAGAGCATGTGCTGAAATAAACTTACTTCTTTGTAAATATTTCGACCATATGCTTCAATTTACTTCCATGGTATTTGAGCCTTGTACCAAACACTATTCGACAAACGATATTGGATAATGCAAGATTTAATTTCATCTGGAAGAAACAAAGTAGTGATCCCAAAATAATTATGAATCAAAGGAGCGGCAATAACAATATTAAACTGTAGTTGAACACGGAGTTTTCTAACAAAAAAAATCGGTAGCCTAGCGTGTCGTAAAAATTTTCCATAATATATTAGCAAGTGTTTCTATGAATACAAATAAAACAACAAAGATACTCGGTGAATATTGAACTATTTCAATAACAACCATAACCACAAGAACAACAACAACAATATGGTAAAATAATCTATATGGCTGTCTTTTGTCCAGTAATTTATATGAATTTTTCAGGGAACTTCTATATCAAAAGCGCTTGGAAGTTATTCCAATTTTAGGTACTTCCGTAGTACGTGCAACAGGATGGCGGACACCGGAACGTAGTATGTGTATCAGGTAAGGGTTGGGTCATTACTTCAAGTACATATACTACGAGAGTCACTTGGATAGTGCCCGAACTCATAATAGAACTAAAATAGGAAAAATTGGAATAAATGTATGGCCTCGCCCTAACCTGGTACACATACTATGTTAAGGTGTCCGCCATCTTGTTGCACATACTACGGGAGCATATATTTTTATATGTTGAAGTATTGAAATATTACATTAATACTCTCTCCGTTCCTCGTTGCCAAATTTTCAATCAAGAATTTTGTTTCTTCGACTACATTTGTTTCCATATTTTTCTTTCCCATCCCAATTCTGAAATAAAAAAAAAGGTCAGAATATCAATTAACTCAATGCACACCATGTCATGCAGTGAGTAGTAAATTAGGTAGGCAATGCGGAACATGAAAAATTCAAGTCTTTACTCAGCATCGGAAAATTGTACAGAGACTTGTTTAGATTGAATGCGTACCAAAACGCTAACATCTTTGAAATACAAATTTACACATACTTTTATGAAGGTATGAAATAAAGGCGCTCCCGTATTATGTGAACTATGATGACGGGCAACAGAACGTAGTGTATGTGTACCAAGGTTAGGGTTAGGTCATAATTTTATTTCAGTTTTTCCTATTTTAGTTCTATTACGAGATAGGAGACTAGCCAAGTGACTCCCGAAGTATTTGTACCTGAAACTATGGCCTAACCCTAACCTGACACACATACTACGATCCTGTGTCCGCCATCTTGGTTCACGTACTACTAGAGTACCGAAATAAATTAGGCTGGTGATTACAAGTTATAAAAACCAAGGTATTTCCATAAATATAGTATAGTTCACTTGCACTTGCAAAAAGCCTTTTTCAAAGTGGAAGCGTTAAAAACAATAAATATAAAAAAATAAGTGTTTACAGATATGTCCATAAACTTTTATTCAATAATTTTTTTAATTTCTATAAGATTTTTTTATAAATTATTACTCTCTTAGTGTAACGTGGCCAAATTTCCTCAGAGCTTTCCATGTGGATCCATAATCCAGCGTCAAGAACCCGCGTCCTTTGGTTATCAACTCGAATGAAAGATTGTAGGGTCGTCCGGAAAATTTTTCTCCTTGTTTTACAAATGCCTACAACGAAAAAAAACATATTAATATTTGGTTTGAAGAATTTGCATAAAGTTGTCATGAAGTAGGCATATTAGATGCTAGGTTTATTGGTTATTGTCAGAGCTTCCACACCGTCCTTGTCTTCAGATTTGTTATTTTGAGATTCATGCAGTTTGTTATATTTGTATATATTCTTATCACTATTTATCTATAAGATAGTAGACGCAGCTTGCTTTCCAGTGTTATAAAACAATTACACGAGCGACGATGGCTCATAAAATTAATAGCGATAAATTTAGAAATTTTATTTCTGGACAGGTGGTTGGCAACAATTGTTTTAGAACATAAAAGTTTTTACTCGAGTTATTTTGAATCTTATGTTCATTTATTGAATTGAGCTAAATTTGAGATATTTTTTACAGACCTCGTTAATGGTGTCATAATCATTCAGAATGACCCAATCCTCTTGTCCAAATTGAACAGAAACAACTGATCCGTATTTCCCTTTCAATTTCATCAAAGTTTCTGCAGGATTCTTTGCCATGAACGGAATGTAACCAACAAGAGGCAGACCTCGAGGACCAGGTGGAAAGTTTTTTGGTTTCCTTTGTAAATAGCACCAAAATATGAAGGCTGCAATCCCAGCTAAAACGCTTGAATATTCAAATATTTCAATCCACATCTTGTTTTCTAGTAATCTATATCTCTTTTGATAATAGATTATCAAAATCTGGATAAATATCAAACGTGTGATATTAATGATATATATCTATTTCTAATAGATACGCATCCGGCATCAGGTAAGATAATATTTAAACTTCTCTCTCTTCGTAAAATTTGACTCAATACTCATCCACTGATGTTTCTGTCAAGCGATCAATTTATTTATAAATATAAACGGGCCTGGGATCAAACGGGGTCGCAAAGGTTCACGCGAATTCTTTGAATGTCGTTCTAATCAGTGAACCTGTTTTTAAGATCATTTTTTATTTCGGCATGAGTTATATGAAATGAGAGAACGTATTGTTAGCAAGTTCTATACCAAAAACAACTTGTTTTAAAGTATTGAATCTCGATACTGTATAAAACCATGTCTCTACTCGATACTAACTCTACTATCAATACTGTTCATATAGTAGTTTCAGGTCTTCAAACATACATAAAAATGAATAAATTTTAAAACCATTCAATTTTAAATTCTAATGCTCTACACACCATTTATAGTACATTGAATTAACCCAACAATGACTTTTACATTTCCTCGCAACAAATGCAGACGGAGACACGATATTGTTTAGCTTATGCAAGCTGGTATATTTGCTTATTCTGCTATGGCAAACATGCAAACAACAAGTGCAAACATGGCAAATGAATTTATAACTCGAACCACAAAGAATAATCACTCAAGCACGATAAGCACTCAAAAAGTGTGTGTACCAATATCGAGGTAATAAATTATGTTCGCCTACATCAAGTTGTGTAATGGGACTTAAACCTATGGGCAAGTGGTATATACACTTGACTGACACAGACAGTCCCGAACTCGTAATAGAACTAAAATAGGAAACATCAAAATGAAATTATGCCTTAAGCTTAACCTGTGACACACACTACGGAAGTACCAAATAATCTATTGCTCGGATATGTATAGACCAGTACATTATCCGCTTAACTTCGAAGATCAGGTGAGATCGCTGCTTGCTACTTTTTATGGATCAATGCGCAAAATGGAAATTGTCCCATTAGTTTTGAATGTCTTTTGAATTGTAATACCCCAAGAATCCAAGTATATGAGACTGTACAACAAAACATGGCAATGGTTGTGACAAATCGGTGAAACCTACAAAACTGGGTATTCCCAAATCCTCATCTCATCCGTCTTATCCAACTAATAATTATGGCCGATGACGTTCAAATTTCAAAATAAGTTTTCAAATAGTTGCAATATAGAATTTTCTCAGGTTTAGGGTTATTATGCATATGAAATATATTGTCAAAATGTCGATTAAATGTGTTATTAGATCCAATGCATCAGTGGTCGAAAAACTACGTACAATATGCCATTTTTTTGTTGTCCTCGAACGACCTCAGTTTTAATGAACAAAAACAAAAATTGCTTAAAAGTTCTTAAGACTCTTTACGACTGTATTTATCACGCAAATGGTTAGGTAAAAATTAGCTATTTTTGCACTCTTATTTTATCATTGCTTCTCACTCTTATTTTATCATCTCAATGAATCCGTCATAAAAATGTTTAGTATTGAACAATCTTGGACAACTGATCGTCACAAGAAGTCGTTATTTATCGGTGTAACAAAATTTTAAAATTCTAAGATAAATTTTATTAAATAACGTTACGCAACATAAAAGGAAAATCATTTACTAATAATTACTTATAAAATCTAGAGTTTTTTTTTGTAAATAGAAAATTCAAATTTGTCACGTTAACCTGAATTTTAAATAGGAATTTGGACGGGAATGCTTCGCACACTCGATAAATGATATGACGATGCTACTTATTACTTATTCAAAACGTCATAAGCCTCTAACAAAATTAAAAGTACAAACAATAAAATAACATAAACTTGAGATTATGATATTTTTTTTATACAGAGAAAATCATTAAACCCAATTAAAATAATTGATCTCAAATTTATTCCAATATTAAAAAAAGCAAAAAAAACTTTTACACCAAACCCAACAGCCCAAATAAAATCCAAAGTAGTTTTAGTTTGGATCTTATCAACTACTAAATACAAACAATGAATAAATCAAATGATTAAAAAACTTAAATTCATGCCAATTGTCCAGTTTATGTGTTTTTTTGAATTTGATTCAGGTTGTCAAACTCTTGTTTAAATCAAGTCTGCCTGACTATTTCTGCAAAATATCGCACAACCTGGAGACTGTTCGTACATTTAATATCATCAAATATTTCAATAGGAGTTGTTAATTTGTGCAATGTTGTGGTTTGAAATAAAAGCCTTAAATAATCCGAAAATATGGATGCTCACGAAATAAATGATGACAAAATACAATGAGTCGACATTTAGTCGCAAATAAATATCGCGAGTATTCTTCTAGGTCCATACAATCGATCGATCGTTAAAAAAAAAATTAGAGCTCATATGCAAAGCATCCTAGATTACTGGAGTTATTACACAAAAGCTAGAGTTGAAAAAAATATTCTTGATGTTTGTGAAGTAATCGGGTAATTCACTTATTATTTTTTGGGTCACCCAATACTTCATAGATATAAACTAAAGGAATAAAACAAAAGGGTATTGAGTCGGATATTTTTTCATTAGTTGTTACTAATTCATGAGGGTTGCAATCTTATTTACTCTATTTGTATAAGTATTCGATTTCAATTGGGTATTTTCAAACATTTTTTTTTTTCATTTTTGATTTCATGCGTTTTGCGCATTGAGGATTTGCGGTAGTTTTTTGGTATTTTCCGGAATTGCTGCAATTACTTTGCAGTTTACTAAGCTTTGTTTACTTTTGACTGAACCAGGTATTTACCTTATTTTAGTTTTATTACGATTTAGAGGACTGTCTGTGCTATCCAAGTGAATATACCCCCTGCCCATAGACTACAGTCGCTTTACACAACTTGATGTAAAGTAGGCGAACAAAATTAGTTTCCTCCATATTGGCAGACACACTTCTGGAGCGCCGTAATTAGTTTAAAGAAAAATGGACAACATTACAGATTTCCATTTCCAACAACATATTTATATATTTCTGACTTCATGCACCATGGAATTATTTAATCAAATATAATTGTGATTTATAAAATATTAATATGTATTAGGTTTAGCAGTAAATCGTTTTGCTGCAAAAAGCAAAGTTTGGAAGGTATTGCAACACGAAACATATTCAGAACCTCAATAAGCCCTTGTTGAGGGCCCGGCAAGGACTGATGTCAACAACTAATAACACATGTTAGTTTGACGTCTGCAAAATGTAGGGCTTAAATTCGCGTGAAGGTAAATGTTGAAAAAAGATTTATTTAGTCTACTTGCACCCATGTTTACATGAATGTGTACAGTTTATTTCCAAATGCCAAAATCTGTGACCAGTTTTGATTTCTCAATAAACTGTTGGAATGCCATTTCATGATACAACAATCAGTTTTATATACCACCAAAAGGAATTTACTTGTTATTGAATACCGAATTACATGTTTGAATTTGTTTATCATCGGAGCTTTCCTTATTGTTAATTTTATCTAAGTGGCAGTTAAAACACTTGTTCCAGTTATTTCAAAGTCACTTTGGAGCCAAACTTTCGATTTAATCCTAGAACTAAAATAAGGAAAATCGGAATAAAATTATGATTTAAGCCTATCTGGTACACACAGTGCGATAGTACCAAATAATATATTGCTACGTTACGTGTGGACCAGACATTAGCAGCTTAACTTCCAAAATTAGGTGAAATCATTGCTTCCAAAGTTTTATGGATCAATGCGCAGGAATGAAATGGTCACATTTGTGTTGGATGTCTTTTTATTTCCAGCTCCTACAAAACCTACAAAACTGTGTTTTTCTTAATTCCCATCTCATCCGTACTATCCAACTAACAACCATGGGCGATGTCGTTAAAATTTCAATATCAGTTTTCAAATAGGTCAATAATTTAATATTATTAGATGTATTATTGGATTCCGTGAGAATGATGGCCTTCATGAAAATGTTGCTCAAATTTGATACCTAACCGTCACGAGAGGTCGCTTTTTATCATTTCAAAAAAAATGCAAAATTGTAATATAAATTTTAAAGTAATGTTGCACAATTTCAAATTACAAATATATTTTTTTGCAAATGAAACATTCAATACTTTTTACATTACTTCCCATTTCAATTTTAATTTTTGTCAACAAAAAAAGTGCCAGTTTTTTCTATAGATTGAACAGGTTACTTGCACTCGATAAACGAATTTACAGTAAAACTAAAAACCTTAAAATGTTCCTCAAAACGTCATCAGCATCTTACAAAGCAATTACAGTAAATTGATATCAAGATATTTGATATTTAGAAAAAATCATTAAACTCAATCAAAATAAATTACCTCAAAATTTATTCAAGTATTTAGCAAGGTCATATCTAAAATCAAGAATTGGCTTTAGTTTGGCTTTTATTAACTACTAAATACTAACAATAGATTGATTGAAAAACAAAAATTCAAATTATATGCAAATTGTCAAGATTATATGTGAGTACTAACAATGAGTAATTTTGTTCAATTCTTGTTTAAAACAAGTTTTCATCACCTTTTTTGCAAAACATCGCAGAACATGACGGCTATTTGAAGGTTCAAAATTAGTAATTATCTTATTTTGAATTGTTCATTCGTGCATTGTCGTGGTTTAACAACAATTCTTATTTAAAGAAAAGTATTTGAACACTTTGAAAATATGAATGTTTAAAGAAAAATTGCTAACAAAATACAATGTGTCGACATTTAGTCGCATATCTTATTATAAGAATTATTTTCCTACGTATTATCCAATACGTAGGAAATTTCGTATCGTGAAATTTAAAAACAAAACGTACCTGATTAGGCCATATAAACTATATTTCATAGAAAAAATCACTTTTTTGCAAACCATCCTAGATTACTGAATTTATACACTAACAAAAGTTTGAGTTATAAATAAATTTCCTTTATTTTTGTTGTTATAATTAGGAAATTTAGGGATTCTGTTTTCTTTGGGGTACTCCATACTTCAACGACATAAATTAGGTAAATAAAGCAAAGGGTTGCTGAGTCGTGAACTTTGACATTATTTGTTACAAATTCATGATGGTATCAACAGTATTTACAATACTCGTAAATGTACTCGATTCTATTCCGTTATGAAACATTTTGATTCTATGTATTAGCAATAATATTGAGAAATTGCGATACTTTTTTTTGGCAGCGTCATAGCATTGCTGAAATTCTGTTGCAGCTTACTAAGTTTTTTTGTTTTTGAATGAGCCACATTACAGATTTCAATTTCCAACAACATAGTTATATTTTCTTACTTCATACACCGTGATAATAGTTAATTAAATAAAATTGGTATTTATAAATTATTGATATGTATCAAGTTTTGCTGTAAGAAGTTTTGCTGCAAAAAAAAATGTAGGTATTGCAACACAGAACATTACTTTGTTTGGAAAATTGTTCAGAACTTGTTGACGGCCCGGCAAGGGCGGGGGTCAACAGTTAAACACATATGTTAGTTTGACGTCTGCAAAATGTAGTGCATTAATTCGCGTTGACGGTAAATGCTGAAAACATATTTATTTAGTCTACTTGCATCCATGTTTACATAAATATGTACAGTTTATTGCCAAATTCCAAAATTTGACCTGTTTTGATTTCTCAAAAAATTGTTGGAATGCCATTTCATGATACAACTATCAATTTTATATACTGCCTAAGGGAATTTATTTTTTAATGAATACCGAATCATACATCTGAATTCGTTTATCATTGGAGCTTTCTTTAATGTCAATTTTATCTAAGTGGCAGTGAAACACCAGTTATTTCAAAGTCAAAGTTGAACTTTTGTAAATAAAATATTCATAATTTTCATACAGTGAAATATATACATTTGAAACCACATCAAACAAATCACAAGTTTTGGAGTAATTAAAATTCAAGTTCTGTTTTGCTCAGGGTAATGAAAGAATAAAGCAAGTGGACGAATGTAGGAATTTTAAAAAAAGAATATTTAAAAGAATATAAAAAATTTCTGCTGATAAAGCTGCTGGTATCTAACTAGTCAGAGATTGGAGCAATATTCATCACTGATTTTAATGAAAAGTTACAGGATTCTAGGAATCTATGATATACGTTTACTAAATTGTTCAAGTTACGCCCCTCTGGACTAAAGCATCCGATTTATAATGTTCTTATGTACAAGATATATATCGCAAGTCATTTAGCGTCTTTCAAAAATAACTTCAAAATCACGCGGTTGGTAAGTGACTAGGCTGAAACCACCGTCATGGAAGGGCGGGAGGGGTTTCTTTGGGTCGGGCAAAACCTTCAGCTTTTGAACTATTCCAGTTAGAAAGATGAAAATCTCCATCTTGGCCAGTTGTATTCCTAGGCAACTTCTAGGACCGATTGAAAAGGGGATCACGTGATTTGATTTGACGAATTTTCCGTCACGATCGAGAAATCTCTCAGGTCGAAATTCTTCCGGGTTTTCGAAGTGTTTGGGGTCAAAATGCACAGCCCATAGATTGGGAGCGACCTGAAAAATTAATAATAAGTTCAATATAAGTCACCAACGATTGACAAGCTCATTTCATGTATAAATAGTTTTTGTTGTAATTGTTTCAACGTTACAATTATATTTTCTATTTCACCAATTTTATAGTCTTTATTCTAAATGTGATTTTTATTTATATTTCGTAGAATTTTATCAAAGCAAGACCTTTAGCAGCCAATAAAATGCGAAATTATACACATATAATAGTTTTTCATCATTTACATCATCTGCCAAATATTTTACAAAAAAATTTCATTGTACGCAGTTGATTGGTTCCACTGTTCTGTATAATATTTTTGGCCAACTTGAATATCACGAGACTTATTCTAATATTTAAATTCAGCTACCACATCATTAGCGTGCATAGCGTACACATCATTAATTTAGTCTTAACACTTTTGAAGGAAATTTTTTTCCACTACATACCGTCGTGTTTTTAGGAATTGTGTATCCATCAAGAGTCGCTTCTTCGTTGGTCTTGTGATATATACTCAATGGGGCTAACGTTCGATGTCTCATCAATTCATGTATGAAAGCACATGTATAAGGCATTTCATTTTGATGTTTCATACTTGGTACACCGTCTTCACCTGTTGAATGAGGGTGAAAATTTGTTTAGTATTAAAATAAGCAAACACTATTTAACAATTAATAATTTTCATAAATATTCCGCCAGTTCATCATTTTATTGTTTTCTATTCTAGATTTCTTCCTCACATTTGTTTTCGATTAAGTAAACAAACTAAATTAAGACCCTCGATAAAAAAAATTGCCATAAGATATTGCCTCAATCTTCGATTTCAAGATAAAGTATATGAATACGAAGCATGAGTACTAGGTACTAAAGCAATTTATTAAAGATCAAAAAGTTTAGAATACCATTCCGTTAACATTGGTAGGGTAATATCTCAATAAGTATTTGTCCGTTCCTTATAATCGTAGCTATGATAAATTAATGTTCAAATGAAATTCACATTAAATTTTAATGGAATTTTTGAATTTAAATGAACACAATCTGTGATTAAATAGAAAATTTGGCTAAAAGTTTTTCTTCCTACCCAGTGTTTTCATAACTTCATCTGCTATTCGTTCTTGGCGTTCTGGATAATTTCCAAAGCACAACAGTGCCCACGCTAAGGTTGTGCTTGTTGTTTCTGATCCAGCGTCAAAAAGATCTCGAATGAATTGAATGAGCATTTGTTTCTAAATATAATATTTAAAAAATAGTGATTATTGGTAATATGATTGGACTATATATAATATGAACGAATATACAAATAAAATTTCAAACGATCCATCAGATTTTTTTTAAGTCAGTCATGACAAGTTTGGTGTTTCAAGAAAGAAGTTTTCTTGCATCATGAACTAATCTAATTGAGATTACATTTACGCATGGATATTTTTAAGTTTTGCATGCTCAAATCTTAAATTTCAAACAAATATATATAAATATTTTTTCTTGTTATTTTCATCAATCACCGATTGGCCGTAGACAAAGATTCGAGCAAACAAATGACGAATGTTGTTAGTAGAATACTTGAATTAGAGCGAACACAACTCACATTGAAGCTTTTATCGTTCGTTTTGCTTCTTTTCATCTCAACTAGAAAGGCATCAATGAAGTCATGAATGTCGTTTTCGTCAAAGTTGGATTCGTGCTTCTCGACTATCTCGCGTAAGTAACCTAAAAACACACAATGTGTTAAATTCGGTGCGATATCCTGGGACTGTGAGCTTTCGACTAAACTAAGTTGGTATGGTAGATCGAAAGTCTGGGAATCAAATCCCGTTTTCATCACCTCACCCAAGGTGTAATAAATTTTGTGGACAATTTCAAACCGGAAGGTTTTTTTTTTTTTAGAGTAAACTAGCTCAATACTTAGCAGTGAATGATTGTACCGTATACCTTGAATAAAAGGTCGTATAAAATAACTCAATTTTACCAGATTAATAGGTAATTTATCTGCTCTTCACAGTTTATTACAATATTTCAGTGTATAGATATAACAACAATTTATACCAAAAATAAAGAACAAGTCTCGCACATTTTTATGTATGTGAAATTTATAGGTAGTGTTCAATCCTATACATGTGGAACGGGTGACAAGCTCAACCGTGTTTCAGTGAATTCCGTTGATCACAAATTGTCTACTAAATTGTGAAGAACCGAGTGAGTGCTAGATCAACGTTTGAATTCACGATACAAATAGAATTATTTCACCCAAATACTAAAATAAATCTTACCTAACATACTGTTTGAATCATCTTTGGTAATCTTTGCAACTCCTTTGAATGGCGGAAAGAATCGTAACATTGGGGCCAATGACAACGCTGTCAAGAGTTTGGAATGCGTTGTGTTTTCGGCACTGTAGATGTAAAAATTACAGTATTACCGGGGTGTAATAAATTTGATAGGCGATGTTGCATATATAAAATAAATCTTACTGCTAAAATAGGGGCCCCGGACTTAACAGTGACTGCTAGTAGAGGGATGTTTTTTGCGTTGTATTTAGTAGTTCCCCGCATATCAATGGATAATATCACATTTTTATCGTTCTTCATTGTTAAAAATTAGTTATATGTACATGTATGTGAAAATTCGCACAAATCATGGTCACGCACATACTATCGGAGATATTATGCATCGATCACTGGAACTTACGGGCGATCACTTTAGTACCAAAGTTATAAGACTATAAATACTTAGAGCGAAATATATGTATAAACTATATATATATAATAAGAACAATGTAGGTCTTAGCAAGTCTGACCTTGGTCAGACGAAACGTTACAGAAATATATTTGTGTTAGTGTGCAGTAAGACTCATGAATCACTTTTAAGATAATTAATTTGGCATTTTATGTTTTTAACTACATTTTTCCGCCATTTGAACATATCATCTTCTTTGTAATGTAAATTTTAGAACAGGAATGTCATTTGTATTGATAAAGTTTACTTTAAGAACTCCTGGGGTTCCCGGCAGGTCATATAGATCGGCATGAATTCAAAATTAGCTGATCAACACTAAACGTTACATTAGCGCAATGGCCAAGCGTACAATGCGACAGACTTTGCTATGTTGTCAGCACATGTAATATCTCACGCGTTAAATTTTCATTCCGGCTCCTCACCCGGATTGTAATAGATTGGAAATCCTATGACGGAATCATATGATAGCAGCTCATAACTTATCAATGAATTTCAGTATGCGGACATTTTGGGGCAAATGACGTGAATGTAAAAAAAATTCGAAATTTAAACAAAAATTATACAAACAAAATTAGTATAAACTTACTATTTCTGAACGATTTCCAGCATGTGATTGAATTTTTTGTCATTATATTCAAACCTCGAACCCAATATGACTCGGCAAATAATATTTGACACGGCTAGAAATAGCTTCGCCTAAAATATAAATGAGAAAATTGAAAACAAATACAAAGAAAGAACGTGAGTGATGCTCACATATATGGACACGAAAGACCTCATCATTTTGAAAATATTATATTAGATTGAAGGTATTATTTATTGACATCTCGTTTTTGTAGTATATTTTGATAAGTAAGATAATCGTTTTGAAAATTGAATAACGACGATTTATTTGAATTCAAATGACCAAATAGTGACTCCGACTTTTATATTTTATTAAATTAAAAAAGAATTTTGTTTTACTATTATCAACATTCATTTATCAACAAAAATCACATTCACATTTATTTCCTACATTTTATCATATTTATCAAGGATTAAGTATAACAATAATATCATACATGCAATCTTTGTCCGTTTTTACTTGTCAAATTTTCTATTAGAAAAGGTGTTTCTTCGATAACATTTGCCTCCATTCCTTTCTTGCCGACACCAAATCTGAATTTTTTTTTATAGTGAACTGCTTATGTTCGGCAGACAGATTTTGATTTATTAGAAAGGGTCTTATCCATCTCATTTATTTACTTTTTAGGGAGACCGATGTCGAGCTGCTTTTCGGCGGGATACCGGTGATCATAAATCGGCAAAATTATCGATTTATGCGATCACTGTTTTTAACTTTGTTAAAGTGTTAACTTGACTTTGTCTCAATAGCAGATTAAAATATATCGGTTTCAATTTACTCCCCACAAGTTGGGATCAGTTTGCAAAAATGTGGGTAAGCCATGCTGAACCGAAAAACTGCAGCCCCAATAAAATATTGAACTTCACTTTTTCAGGAATGAGTGTGGGATTACATAATCAGAATCAAAAGCGTGTGAAAATGTCATGTAAAAATCAGTCGAAAACTGTTCAACAAAAATAGTTTGTATAAATATTTACCCTTTTAAAGTCATCAATCCAAACCTATGCAAATCTTTCCAGACAGATCCATAATCTCTAGTGTTTAGAGCTCGACCTGTTGTTATGAGATCAAAAACATAATTTTCTGGGCGTCCGGAAAATTTATCTCCTTGTTTCACCAGTGCCTGTAAAAAGAAAGTGTGATGTGTCAGCAATAGCGTTCAGGCCAAATAATCGAGGAATGACGAAGCACAGAGTTTCTGTTTCGTCTTGAAACAGTCGTAAGAAGCATGTGGTGTTGGTTGGGGTTCAATTTGATTGCCTGTTCGTTGGCATTCTCTTGGTTGAAACTTACCTGTGTTTCACAATAGGCTTAGCCAGCGCCCTGGTCTAATTATTTAAAGCGTTACACCAACATTTTGGCATCACGTATGATATATATCGAGTTCAAATGTCATGTCCACAAGATCATCCAAGGTGTAATAAATAGGATGGGCATCGACGGACCGAGTAACACTTTACATATCTTGAGATATTAATCCTTGATTTTATAGATACTCTTCGAGGCGGAAGGTGTGTATAATCGAAATGGAAAACATAAAAAAAAAAAATTTACTGAATATATGTGATAAAGATGTAGAATTCTTGTCAGAAACGTTGCATAGAGGAGTGATAGAATAAATTATAACATTATAGCAATGCTTTTTCCTGGGTCAAATAACGTAGTCAACAACATTTTTCGGAAATGATATATGTCTAAAGGCAGGGGTCGGCAATCTTTTGTTGCTCGCGGGTCAGAATTAAGGGTTGCAAGTCATTGGCGGGCCTCGAATATTTTTAGAAAGTTGAAAACCGACGAGAATACCTTTTACAATAAAAATCAATCAGTGATACACCTCCCGAACAGAATAGAGATTTATTTCCTCATTGCGATGCATCTCAAAAAACCTCATTCGAATATTTCCGGCGCCATTTAACCCTTTGCACTTAGTATCAACTTTTCTGCGTTTTGTTGTCATTTGTCTAATTATAATAATATTATAGGCTCATTAAACGAGTAATTGTGAATTATGTACTTGTTAGGTTGGGATAAAATTTAGTCTACACGTGTCTCACAATAAATTCTGTTACATAATGAATATAATCTTCCAAACAGCTGTTTTGTTACTATACTTCAGTGAAGCGTCGCGAGCCGGATCCGGTCCGTGGCCTTAGGTTGCCGAACCCTGGTCTAAAAGTAGCAAAATAATCTTCGGCAAATGAGAAACTTGCGCAACTGGAAGATTCAAAAATGAATTATAATTTACAAACATCATACTACTCGTTTCGACATATTCAAAATAATCCCCTTTACCGACGTTGTTTGCATGTAGTTCGAACTTTCAATTTTTAATCTGCGTTCAAATAATATAAATACTGTCCATTCTTACCTCGTTAATATTGTCAAAGTCATTCAATATAACCCAATCATCTCGCCCCATTTGTACAGACATCACAGATCCATATTTTTCCTTCAATTGTCGCAAAGTTTCTCCGGGATTTATTCCAATGAATGGGATATAACCGACGATCGGAAGTCCATATGGACCAGGTGGAAAACCCTTTGGTCTTTTCATCATATAGAAGCAGAATATAAAGGTCGAAACACCAACAAAACTCGTAGCGTAATCGATAGAGGCAGTCCAAGACATACTTCCGTTTTCGTTAAGATAACGTCAATCGTTCGATAAAATATTGGATATATATTCTACAAACAAAGGTGAAACTTAAATATATATAAAGCCAAAAGGCCGGGTATCGTAACAGTACGGTAATGCCTGAGAGCCTCGAATAGTTTGAAAGACCGGCAGACAAGCAATATGTACGAGGCCGACAGTATTACTACGTAGTCAAACTAATTTCATTTCTGCATTGCCGGAGCAATATACAGTTCTAGAGAAATACATACAACCCATGTGAATAAAAAATCTCAAACGTATTTTCTGAAGTATGCCTTAGTTGAAGCTCATACTAACCAGGTTCAAAGAGCAAGTCATTACACTTCCACACATAAGTATAAATTCGTTATACGTTGTTAATCTCAATGCAAAAGATTTACATAATTTTGTGAATCGCTCAATTAAATTACTTTTTTTTTGTGACGACAAATAAACGATTGACTGACTGACTATATTGTGTACGTTATTTGGTCTGCCTCGAATATACACGATTGAAATTTTCGTAAATATTTGCTCAATACACGTTTTACAACGTTTCATTGCAATGTGCCAAAATTGAAATGACGTTGCTAGACATTTACGATATCTGTATAACCTGACGTGAAAATTCTGAAACGCTCAATAAATATTTTTCTCAAATTGGTGAAGATTGAAATCGGCAAGCACCTTTCAAAAATTAGTAGCGTTCCTCAGAAATACGGATTATGGTATGTCTTTTATGCGTGCTCACGTCATGACGCCTTAGGACTCATAATCCATGTTGATTGTACATTACAACGTGTACTACATAAGAAGGCTTCATCAGACTTGTACCGACGTCAAGTTGTATAGTGCTTGTATATTGCGCACATGAGATTTAAACAAACGTAGAATAATACATATTAAAATAGGAACATTCAGTATATCGAATAGTTCAATGTAAATTGAATTCACGTACTGCGGTTTTCATTTCGTTGCATTCAATTAAAATCTTTATGAACGACGCACACGAGAACGCTCAATTCAACAGCAAATCTATAATTACATTAAGTGAGAAATTAAATAAAAAAAGGATATTTGTTAGATTACCGTTCCGTAGAACTAAGGATTATGGTAAATTTTTGTATGTAAAAATCATATCTAATACGCCTTAGGGATTCATCAAACGCATCTTGACATATAACGTGTTGATTGTACTTTCATTTTGACACTGTTTATCTCTTAATTATGATGTTTACCTTGCATACAAGTGGGATAAACAAGCTAGCTGCAAGTTGTCGATATTTCGCATTTGGAAGTTGAAAAACTACAAAATGTACAAAATGTGATTATTCAAAGCTTCTCCTTACTTGAATATAAAATACTGTTTATTTTTGTCAGTGATTTATGTTTGGTCAAGACATGAATGTCTGTCTCTTATTATAATCAAATATTTATTATAATAAAACACCCCAATAATGAACAAATCAAGCCAAATATTGCAAGTGTAAAACGCGCATATCCTTGAATTGATTTTAGAACACTATCATTCAAAAACGAATTACTTCAAAATGTAAATATATTCTCTTTTTCGTCTGAATCAGGTGTCCTGTCTTGTAAAAAATATCCCTTATCTTAAACTCGATAATTTTATAACATGAATCACGTGATATAGTAATATGATAATATTATAAAAGGGTTATTCGAATTAGATAGAATATGCGTAATGCGCTATTTACTTTCGTTTCATTCTTCTCCATGTACTGCCCCCTTGCGTAAATATAAACGCTCCCGTTGACTTTTAAGATTAGTGAAAATTACGTCATTTCTTACAGTGATTTCTGGATAAGTTTTATAAAAGTGGTCACTAATACCTTGAAAACGGATGGAAAATGATACAACATTTTTACAATCAATTAATATTTGCTGCCAATTTTTACAAAATGGGTAAAACACGGGCGGTCCGATTACTTAGAACAAGGACTTATTTAAATTCAATGCTACATCCCTTGCCAACAGATAGGAACAATAAATACGAATCAGTTCTTCTTTTTTATATTTGTTAGTTTGCCTGGTGAAAAATATTTAATTCTAATTCCTGCCTCACTCAAAACGTTTAAGCCTGTAACTCCTGTAGGATATGAGATTGTATGCAATGTTATGAGGTCATTCAGAAATCTTCTCACCTTGCCTTACAAGTTCTTGAACAAGTGTGACAAGTCACAGTAAAATGAAATTATTTCAAGTTAGCAGGGTGCCCCCCGAAAAACTTGATTTCCTGATATTTTAATTGTAAATTTTGCACCAAAAAGTTTAAGAAATCTTGGAAAATTTGCACAAAAGTTTAGTTCTATCTCAAATATGTTCAAAATGATTTGAGTTCTATATTTTCGGTCTTCCTTTACCAGACAAATGAAATATTTAAAATATCCAGATATGGCTTCGGAATTTGACTGTACAGCGCACAAATTACGCGGCTTTTTACTCATTGAAAGTATAAAGCATATTGAGCCACCGATTGCAATTCATGGGTTCGCAGATCTGAATCCCTAAGAAGATTATAAGTTGACGGAAAATTGTTAGACAATCGAGGCCTGATGGGATAAAATTATTCATAAAATCATTATATATGATTTAAATCTTATCATATTTCGTTGATACTTTTTATATAGGCAATTTGGTACTCCCGTAGTGTGTGCACCTGCTTAGGAAGGGGCCATACTTTTATTCCAATTTTCCTCATTTTAGTTCTATTACGAGTTCGGGGACTGTCTGTGTTATTCAAGTGGATATACCCCCGCCACAGGTTGCAGTTCCTTTTCAGAACTTGATGTATAGTACGCGAACAAAATTATTGATTCCCATATTGATACACACACTTATAGGGCGCGGCACGTTAATACTTTATACTGCTTAAGAGTATCTATTTTTTGTTATTTGATTCTGCAAATAGGCATAAAATTATTACCGAAATATACATCTAAATTTGTTTATCATCAGAGCTCCCATGATTGTTAACTTTATTTTAGTGGTAGTTGAAACACTTATATCTGTTACTGCAACTTTCGTAAATAAAATCTTTGTAATTTTTATACAATTATTTATATAAATTTGAAATATTACAAAATATATGTATCCATTTATCTAGTAACTAGTCAGACGAGATTCGATCAATCTTTATCAGAGTATTTTAATAAAAAGTTACACGGTTACACGAGTCTAAAAGTCTATAATATACGTTTAGTAAATTTTCGCACTCTTGGGTTAGTCAAAGCACCCGTTTTATAATGTTCTTATGTATAAGATATCAAGCAATTCATTCAGCGTCTTTCAAAAATGACTTCAAAATTCTGAGGTTGGTAACTGAGTAAGCTGAATCCACCGTCATTAAAAGACGGGAGGGGTTTCTTCGGGTTGGGCAAAACCTTTAGCTTTTGTACTATCGCAGTTAGAAAGATGAAAATCTCCATCTTGGCCAGTTGTTTTCCGATGCAACTTCTTGGACCGATTGAAAAGGGGATCACGTAATTTGATTTTATGAATTTTCCGTCACGGTCGAGAAATCTCTCAGGTCGAAATTCTTCCGGGTTTGCAAAGTGTTTAGGGTCAAAATGAACTGCCCATAAATTTGGAGCGACCTGAAAAAGTAATGATTCTAATATAAGTCATTTTTTTTGACAAGCTTGTTTTGTATAGAAATAGTTCTTGTTGTTAATAATATATTTGCTGTTTCGGAATTTTTATAGCTCATCTTTATAATGTGCTTCTGTGCATATTTATATATATTTTGTACTATTTTCTCAAAGCTTGGCATCTAGCAGCTAGTACTATGTGAAATGATACCAATATAAGGGTTGTGACGTATTTGAATCATCAATCAAATATTTTCCAAAAAAATATTTCATAGTTAAAAAGCTTTATACGAATTTAATGAACATGAGGGAATATAAAGTTAAGCCAGCTTAGGAGAATGGCTCAACATTTCTTTAATATTTGTTGCCAACGTAAATATCATGGAACTTATCCTAGGATTTAAATTTAGCAACCACATCATTAGCATGCATAAAATCATAGAATTAGTTTCTTCTTGAGATGAACAGTTTTTATACACAACAGTTTTTTTTTTATTACATACCGTCGTGTTTTTGGGAATTGTGTATCCATCAAGAGTCGCTTCTTCGTTGGTCTTGTGATATACACTCAATGGGGCCAGCGTTCGATGTCTCATCAGTTCATGTATGAAAGCACATGTATACGGCATTTCATCTTGATGTTTCATACTTGGTAAACCGTCTTCACCTGTTAAATGAATGTAAAATTTGTTAAGTTTCAAAAGAAGCTAACATTATTTAACAAATATTAATTTGCCCAATTAATTCTTCAGTTTATCATTATATTGTTTTTTATTCTAAATTTATTTTTCGAGTTTGATTTAAATAAACTGAATAACCTAAAATAGTACATCCAATCGAAAAAGATATCAAAAGCTTTTTCAAGAGTCTTGAGGGTCTAAAAATCGTTTCAAGCGTTTAACATTTCAAAAGAAGGAGGTTCCGATCCCACCCCTTATAAATATCGGTTGTATCGTCAAATGGTGTAACGATGTCAAACGCGAATCAATTTTTTCAAATAATCGATAGTTACTTTCACTGTCAACGATATTCAATTAAAAACTAATTGTGAACAAATAAATGATAATTGACGTGCTCATTTTTTATAATCTCAAATACAAGACTTTCATCTCACGGAATAAAAGTCTAAAAATTTGCGGAAGAGAACACCCATATCCTGTAGTGACATTGAGATCTCGTGCATTTATCCACGTCTCTCCGAAAAATTATCAAAAGCTTTTTAAAGCAGTTTAAAGATAAGGGATATGAATGCGATGTATGAATACTGCACATTAAAGCTATTTATTTAGGATCAAAAGTTTGAAAAATTGCTTCTTATGTTATAACATTATATGGTAACCGGTTTTTGTTTGTTATTTTTGACTGTTGCTATGACAAACTAATGCCACATTTGAATGAACACGAAATCAGGATTTCCGAACGATTTACTTAAAAACCCAAAAAAAATGAATTTATTCTATTACCTAATGTTTTCATAACTTCATCCGATATTCGTTCCTGGCATTCTGGATAATTTCCAAAGCACAGCAATGCCCAACCTAAGGTTGTGCTTGTCGTTTCTGATCCAGCGTCAAGCAAATCTCGAATGTATTGAATGAGCATTTGTTTCTGGATATAGTAATTGAAATATAGTGTTTATAGGTAATATTGTTAAACCATATATATTATGTACGAATATACCAAAAAATATAAATATATATAAAATTTTTAAGGATCCAATTAAGTTTTTTTTAAGTCAGATTCGTGAAAAATTGGTGGCTGCGAGTAAAATTATCTTGCATAAAGAACATAACATTAAAACAATAATTTTTTTATATTTGCATGCTCAACGTGGCAATTTTAAATTAATATAAATGATTGTTTTGATCTTGTTATTTTCTAATTACTTATTAGTAAATAGAAAATCTTCAAAAAAAATGTTAAATTTTTTAATTAGAATAGTTAAATAAAAACGAACGCAACTCACGTTGAAGGTTTTATCGTTTTTATTGCTTTTTTCAATCTCAACTAGAAATGCATCAATAAAGTCATGGATGTCGTTTTCTTCAAAGTTTGATTCATGCTTCTCGACTATCTCACGTAAATATCCTTAAATCGTACAATGCGTTAAATTCGGTGGGATGTCCTACGATTGTGAGTTTTTGACTTATCTGAGGTGTTATCGTATATATAGAAACTTTTGGAATCAAATCCCATGCACACCACCTCACCCAGGGTATAATAAATTTGGTAGACAATGTCAAACCGAAAGATTTCGGTCTTTTCAACGTATAGTAGTAGCTCTATACTTAGCAGAGACGTGATTCAGCAAGATCAATTGATCACAAACTGAACTACCAAACTTTAATAACAAACTGAGTAAGTGCTCAGCTTAAAACTTTTACGATGTAAGTAGAATTATTTCACCCAAATACCAAAACAAATCTCACCTAACATACTGTCTGAATCTTCTTTGGTTATCTTTGCAACTCCTTTGAATGGCGGAATGAATCGTAACATTGGGGCCAATGACAACGCTGTCAAGAGTTTGGAATGTGTTGTGATTTCGGCACTGTGATTTTAAAATAACAGTATTACCGTGGTGTAATGAATTTGGTAGGCGATTCCGAAAAAATCAAATAATTTATATGCAAAAATAGTGGTTCTTGACTCAACAGTGACAGTAGAATGTAAATTTTGCTTTGTATATAGTAGATCCGCATATATCAACTTGGAATAGTTGATCATTCTTCGTTGTTGAAAACAATTTGTATATACACGTGTATGTAATTTGCTCAAATTATGGCCACACGTACTGTTCCGGAAATAATATGCATCGATCTCTGAAAGTTACGGGCGATCACTTCAATATCAAAGTTACTGAGACTATTAAGACTTATAGCGTAAATACATGTAATATAGACTATATAAATAAAATAAAATATTCAACTTTTCAACTACATTTTAGAACCATTTGCACATATCTTCTTCTTTAATTAATATGTTATTTTTATATCAGGAATTTGGTTTCTATCAATGAGGGTTTAAAACTTAAGAACTTTTGGGGTTTCAGCTTGGCATAAGTTCAAAATTTTCAGAACAACTTTACACAAGCGTCATGGCGTTGAGGTTAGAATTCACTATATTGACATCTTAGCTAATACCTTACACATTCGACTTTCATGCCCGCCACCGTGACATGAATGAAAACAATTACAATATTTACTGCACAAAGTTATATACATGGTGTTCATAAAGTCTCTTTGCAATTTCAACTTTGTCATGAATTCAGTTCTCCATAACCTTAACCAGGTTTGCTGTTTTTTAATCAATAACTGGTTAATTTTTTTTTTTTATTTAAAATATCCGTGATGGTCAAAAGAATTCACTATGCAATTCTGAAAAATGTGAGAAAATTTATTGATACCCAATATTTAACTTACTTATAAACTTACTATTTCTGAACAATTTCCATCATGTGAATAAACTTTTTGTCATCATATTCAAACCGAGAACCCAATATTACACGGCTAATAATGTTTGACACGGCAAGAAAAAGCTTTGCCTATAGTGTAAATGAAAGAACTGAAAACAATTATAGGAGAAAAAAGAGAGTGATGCTCAAATATATGGACACGAATTTTCCCATAGTGTAAAAACATTGGATTAGATTAACGATATTGTTAAATCAATACATCGTTTCTTGCAGTGCAATTCGATCGGTATGATATTCGCTTTAATAAATAATACCGAATTCGAATTACAAATTTGCATTGACCACGACTCACTTTACTTTATTGAATCAAAAAAAATTATGATTTTTTTGACTTTTATTATCAACATTTATTCAGTAATGAGCCACATTAACCTTAATTTATTACATGTTATCAGATTTATTTTGTTACAGTCAATGTTAAGGATAACAATAATGTCATACATGCAATCTCTTCTCGTTATTGGTTGTCAAACTTTCAATTAAAAAAGGCGTTTCCTCGATTATATTTGCCTCCATTCCTTTCTTGCCGACTCCGAATCTGAATCGAAGATTTTTATAGTAAATTGCTTCCATTTGCAAGACAGATTCTGATTCATTAGAAAGACTCTCACGCATCTTATTTATTTATTTTCTTGTTGAGACCAGTGTCTAGCTTCTGTTCCGCGGGATAACGGTAAACATAAAACGGCAAAGGCAATCATACAGTTGTTAAACTGCGATGTCTGATTTTGTCTGCCTTCTGTGAAAAGTTTAAACTTGACTGTGTCGGAGTCGCAGATTTAAACCTCTTGGTTTTAAATTATTCCCCACAAGTTAAATTAGTTTAGAACAAGTTGAAAATGTTTGTATAAAGGTTTACCCTCTCAAAGTCATCAATCCAAACTTGTGCAACTCTTTCCATATAGATCCATAATCTCTTGAGGCTAGACCTCGGCCTGTGGTTATCAGATCGAAAACGTAATTTTCAGGGCGTCCAGAAAATTTATCCGCTTGTTTCACCAGTGCCTTTAAATGAAATTGTGAGCTAGCAATATGAAAATGGTAGTTGGACCTATTAGTTGGCCACAAAATAGACAAACATTGAAGCCCAGAGTTTCAGTTTCGTTCTGAAACAGTTATAGAAACAGAATAATGGTGTTGGGCGGAGTTCAATTTTAGTGCATAATGGTTTGCATTCTCTCAGAGATAGCAAACTTACTTGCGTTTTACAACAAGCTTGGTGGGTTTAACCACTTGGTATCGTTTAACTTTAATGCGTTACGCTTAAATGTTTTGGCATCACATATTACATATATCGGGTTCAAATTTCATTTTCACAAGATCACCCAAGATGTAATAAAATCGACCGACCAAGTGACACGATATCAGAGGATACGATATCAGGATATATCAGAGGCTGATTGTATGAATACTCTTCGGTGCGAAAGGCGTGAATAATTAACTTGTAAAACAGGAAAAAAGATGCTCATGATATGTGATGAAGATTTAAAATTCTCGTCATAAATAATAAATAGAAGAGCGAAATAATGAATTAGAAAATCATAGGATCAACGCAATGCTGATTACCGTGTTAGCGAAAAGACAACAGTTTTAGGAATTGTTATTAATTGTCTAAAAACAGACAAAGAACCATAAAAAAATAACAAACTTGCGAAACTTGAATATGGATTATAATTCAGAAATATCGAGCTATTCTTTTTGATAGATTCAAAGTATTCCTATTCACTGAAGTTGTATGCATTGGGTTCGAACTATCATTTTCAATGTGCGTTAAAATACAACAAATACTGTCAATCCTTACCTCGTTAATAATGTCGAAGTCATTCAATATAACCCAATCGTCCTGCCCCATTTGTACAGACATCACAGATCCGTATTTTTCCTTCATTTGCCACAATGTGGCCGCGGGATTTTTTCCTATGAACGGGATATACCCGACGATCGGAAGTCCATAAGGACCAGGTGGAAACCTTTTCGGTCTTTTCATCATATAGAAGCAGAATATAAACGTCGAAATACAAACAAAACTCGTAAAATAATCGAAAGAGACAGTCCAAGACATTTTTTCGTTTTTGTAAAAAAATGTAAAAAGTGTGATAAAAAATACGATATATTCTAGAAACAAAATAGAAATTTAAATATATATAAATTAAAAAGTTGCCTATTGTATCGATATCTGTACGGTATGGTATGAGAGCCGCGAATAGTTTAAAAGTTTGGCAAATAAGCAATATGTATGCGCTCAACAGCATTTAGTCAAATTTTCTCCTTTTCTAATATACAAACAATATAGCATACAGAATCTACTATGTTTCTAGAATTTTTTTTCAAACTAGAATACTAAATAATTTACATACAGTTCATGTAAATTGAAAATCCCGATTGTTATTGCATGTAGTATATTTCAATTGAGGCCCATGCCAATCAGATTCAAAGCGCAAGTACTACACTTCCCACACGAACATATTAAGTCGTTAATATGTTATTTTCTAAGAGTCTGAGATATTTAAACTCAGTGCAAACATTTCATAGAAAATATGAATACCAAAATTATCTTTTTTATAAATATTTGCTCAAAACATGTTTAAACTTTTCATCGAAATTTTGAAATGAAATGAGGTTACTAGAAATTTTACATAACGATATTAGGTAGAGTATAAGGTAAAATGCCTGAAAGCACAATATACATTTTTCTTAAATATTTATAGATTGATATTGGCAAGTACCAAGCAAAAAAATAATGAAGTGGCTTTTCCTAGAACTGCAGATTACGGTATATATTTTATGCGTGCTGACATCATGACGCCTTACGATTCATAATTATGCTAATTGTACGACACAATGTGTAATATATATTACACACAAAAGGTGTCGACAAACTCAAAATAATAGCTTAAAATAAGTTCATATAGTATAACTAATAGTACAGAGTAAATTGAATTTTTGTGAAGCGGTTTGTAGTTTTACTTGATTAAAGTACCAAGCACGATTGCTTTGCAATTTTTTTATCACTCAAATCACTGCGCTCGAGTCAACAACAAATTCATCATTGCGATATAAAATAAAACGTTTAAAAGGTATTTTTACAAATTAGCGTTCCGTAGAACTACGGATTATGATGTTTTGTTTGTTTCAACTCATTTTAACAAGCCTTCGTCAGACTTATCTAATCAACTATCAGTTAAGTTAAGTATTAAATGAAAATAACTTTTCAAATAAATATTTGTTAGATTACCGTTCCGCAGATCTGCGGATTGTGGTCTTGCGTGTATGTGTTAGTTCTTATTAAAAACGCCTTAAGGATGCATCAAACGCAAATTGACGTGCAACAAGTTGATTGCGCTTCCATTTTGACAATGTTTATCTCATAATTATGATGTATACCGCGAAAACATGCGGAGTGAACAAGCAAGCTGTAAGTGGTCAATATTTTGCAATTTCAAGGTAAACACTACAAACTGTACAAAATGTAATTATTTACAACCATTTCCTTTGAGAATATAAGATGATTTTCATTATTTATATTATTAATGGCAGTAATTTATTTTTGGCCAAAATCTGAATGTCTGTTTTTATAGTTTTACATTTATAAAACACGTTAAAAATAGTCTCATCCAAATCAGTTCAAATATTGCCATTAAATGTTAAATGCTCCATCCTGATTTTCATTCAATGAAAACGATTCATGAGAACTATACACAGAGAAAAGAAATAGGAATAAAGATTTGACATAAAATTCCCTTTTTTTTCCATAATAGGTGCTTTGTCATGTACAAAAATATCACTTATCTGAAATTAGATATTTTTATAACATGAATCACATGGAATTGTAATATAATAAAATTAATTAAAATGAGTTCATTCAATACAATAAAATATCTAGCACAATATAAATAAAATATGCGCAATGCGCTATTTACGTGTACTGCCCAACGATTTCAATGACTGGTACTTTTACGGTTAGTAAAAATTACGTCATTACCTACAGTGAAATCTAAAATTTTTCCAATAATTTATTTAATATAATTGGGTTACTCATTTATCCGTTATTTCATATTTCATTGAAAAAATGAGAAAAATAGAGAAGACTTGTAACCATTCTAATGCAGCGCAATTTGCAATCCTCCATAAAACCCTAAGTAAATTTTTAAAATTATGAATGCAACATTTTTATCGTAAAGAGTTGAGCATTTGTGATAATATTTCACGAGTCGTATGTTCACTCTCTCCCCAGAAAAGTTCTAAAAAGCGATTACTCATTCCTTGGAAGCTATTTGAATAAGATACGAAATCTTTGCAATAAATGGATATTTGCTGCCATTTTTTAAAATATTTAACGCCTACTTAATACTTAAAGCCGCAGCTATTAACCTCTTGCGAACAATAAATAACTAAAAATCGAAATAATTTTTTTTCCTTCGACATTTATTAGTTTGCCTGTTGAAAAACATTTAATTTTATTTCCTGAATTACTCAGAACGTTGAAGTCTGTGAAATAATTATACTTTTTTCATGTAGGTCACCTTCAAAATTTAACGAACTGTTTCACCGAATCGCACTTCTCTAGTAATTATCCACCTCTAGTCATCGATGGTAATTGAATATTTCAATAAATTTATAGACCTAATACTTGATACGGTACTCAAATTGAATGACAGCAATTTTCAAAAACGAGACCAAATCAAACTAAATAAATAGTAGTTTATCGTATAAGCGGAGATTCAGAGTGTTCAGTTTAACACCAAAATATGACTCAAGTGTTTCATGGCGGTATACAAGTGTTGTGAGATATATTTAAAAACAATATTTCTCATTTTGATTTTAATAGAAAAATTCCCATTAAAAGGACGCAGACCACAATAGACTTTCGTTTTGGTATTGAATTTTATTCACATTGTTCAAAATATGCCACAACATTTCATAGAGAGCATTACGTAATTAGTGGAATAATGGAGTGTTTTGCTAGATTATTGTTGCGGTTGTTCTTGTTGGTAAAAACAACGTTTTTCAGATACTAATAAATCAATAGTCTTCATATTTTCAGTTTTTATTCTTTGCGGTAGCCGTAAGAATGATATTACTTTCCATTTGACTCCTATGGGAAACGCTATTTCTATTAACAACTTTATATTTTATTTTGACTTGAGGGGAACACTATTTACTCCAATAAGAGACTGGAAGCATATAATACGTTTTACGATTCAATATTTTACAAGCATAAAATATTATTTACATTGTACTTTTAGTTTAAATATGTGAACATATTTTTCATATATTTTTCGTTTGTTAAGCCCTCATGTATGTAATACATATTACATATTCCAAGTACAATCAACATGATGTCCTGGGGCGTTATGATGTGAGTTAGCAAGACTAAACGATATACCATAATCCATAATTGCTAGCAACGCTACTGTAATAGATTTCTGGTGATTGCTTGCGGATTAATATCGGTATGTAAAATGTCTAGCAACGTCTTTTCCGTTATTTGCTCATTGGAATACAAAATTTTAAAACACGTTTTGAGCAAATGGTTACGAAAATTTCAATCATGTATGTTCGAGGCAGACCAAATAAGTAATTTCATTTAGGTATTTATAAAATTATATAAAACGTTGGTACTGAGCCTGTATATCATGATATATTGCAGACTCGTGGCAAACAATGTATAACGAAAATATACTTATGTTTTGAAGGTGTAATGACTTGTGATTTGATTCCGACAAGCATGCGTCTTAATTAGGATATACTTCAGGCAATAACTCCAATGATTTTAAATTTACATGGATTGTAGTCATACAGTATTCTTATTAATATTTAACTGGTCACAAAAAGTCAAAATCACTCAAAGAAAGAATTTAAAAAAAATAAAAACATTCAAACTTAATGTCTATCTCAGATATTCTAAATATTTTTTGAAAACAACTAATTGTAGCGTCCTATTATGATGCGCCAACCTAAATACTCGCCTTCAATACAAAAGTCTGTCTACGCCATACGCCTATATTGCAACCTGATTATTCTCGTTCTAAATTAACCTTAACGACAGATAATATCTCGGGAACACGAACTACTGGTTATTTTTAGACAAACACTTAAGCAAGCATTGCCTTCACTAGAATTTTTTAATAGTGCTTGACCATGTTCACTTAACCGTTCCGGTATTGCCTTACACACCACTCAAAGATTATTAAATTGTTAGGGATTGTTGAAAATTAATGTTGTTCGCTATATCATATTATATTTTAAGGGAACATTTTTAGAAGCTTGGTCATAAATAATATTTTTATCATTATTAAAAATAAAGTTGATCACAGAATTCAAAATTTTTGGCTTACACTTAACTGTGTTTTGCTTATAACTTTACTGGAAGATGATTATTTATCGATCTTAAGATCGGTAAGTATGTTGATAGGTATTTGTCTGTCTGTATGTCTGTTTGTCAGCTAGATGAACGCGATATCCCACGAAGGCGAAGTTAAATCTGCTGAAATTTTGCATGTGCATTCATCATATCTCGGACCAGAAGCCTATTGATTTTGGATGAATTATATAGTATAATTAGCGAGTTATTAATTAATTAGTGATGGGACACGTGGTGTCACTATAGAGTCATGAATCGAAACCGCAGTTTCGATGGATAAGTCTTCGGTCTCCGACCGATATTCTCGTTGTAACTTTATTGCATTTTATGCGTATTTTTCAAATTTGACGAAATTGTGAGAAATACAATAACTTACATATTTGAAAAACTTCTGGCTCAAGGTTCACTAAAACGAAATCGTTTTTTTTAAAACAATAGTTTCTGCAAAAAAATGCTAACGTGTACATGTTGCTAAAATAAAAAGTTTGCCATCTCTGGTATATATAGCTTATTCTATTACTGTTTCTTCATCAGCAATAGAAATGTTTCAAACGGAGAATATTTATTTCAAAATGCCTATATATAAGATTCATTTTAATGTAACCCGCTGTTGCGTGATGACTAAAAATAAGCATTAAAAGCATTATTACTCATAAATGCCGCGGCCATAAAAATGTAAGGCATTGTGTCCGATCATATATTATTTCGATTCGTATTTCCTGATAAACGGTAAAACTGGTAAAGA